CATGGTGCCCAAAGCAAATATGGAAAATATGCATAAGCAAATGCCTATCTTACTGGAATTCATCATAATTATTCACTACTATGTACATTTTTTAAAACCATGCTTGACGCAAATTTTACCTTTAGAACCCTATATAGTATATATATTCTTGATCATTCTTGATATTCTTGATCTTATCACTAGGCGAGTTGATATATCCATGTCCATCTTATTCTATTCCGCGAGCCCAACTTAACAGCTAATAAAACTTTTATAATCGTCTTTTTATATATGTACGCAGATCTAGTTTAAAAACGCCGCTGATCCGACGTCTATATCTTTAGAAATGATCAGAATAAATTTTAAAAATTATCTGTTTTTAAAGAAGATTACATAATAATCAATCGATTGCCATTAGAACGTCCGGGTTAAACTTGTTAATTTTGTAAAAATTTTGTTTCATTTTGAATCCATCCCTTAAGTTGAATATATCCTATATCTGTTATATGTATATTCGCGCAGTACCCGAAGTAACTGCAAGGGTATTAAAATATCGACATGCTAAATAAGTGTAGGTGTTTAAGAATAAGCCCAACTAAAAATACAAAATTCATCCAATCAGTATTTAAAATTTGCTAACAGGCCTAGTATATTTTCTGGATTGGACCTTTCACAGATAAGTCAAGTAGTTGACGAGGTAGGGAAGTGCATGGTATTTCTATTTCCACAAATGTACAAATGTGTAGCTACCATTTGTTTTTTTCCCTGCCAGCATGTCCGTCTGTCATAATGTGTTTCCTTGGGGCTTCTCTTTAGGTGCTTTTGTTTTAGTGACAATGATGACATCACATAGTTTCCACACCTCCAACAGCAAAAAGAGAAGCAAATACAAATTCAAACACAAAGGCAAGAAAGGAATGAAAATAAACAAACAAATGTACAAGACAAGTAAAAATACATAATGCCTGTGTCTGTGTGTCACATATGCAGAGGTAAATAAAAATGGAGACAACAACAAGAACAAAAACGGCGCAATCGTTTAAACAAATTCATAGACACTCCGACGAGACGAACGACGAGCGCAAAGCGGATCCCACGATTGGCGTTCAAGGCAAAGTTAAAACGGAGCAGAAAAGAGCAAAGCGAAAACAAAAGCAATGCCGGCCAAATAATAATAAAACATGTGAAGAGCACGAAGCAAACTGGAATAAAAAGCAATAAAAACAACGAAAACGAACCATATCTTATCAGCAGTTTCTGTTATCGCTGACGTGCAAATAACAAATAAGAAAATGAAAGGAAACCCAAAAGCAAAACCACATAACAATTTAACAACCAGGTACTGAAAACAAATTAAAAATTTTAAAAAACAATGTTGTTTGTGATTGAAAAGATTGAAGCCTGAATCTGATTAAGAATATTTATACATACTCTGTATATATATTTGTATGAACATTTTCAGATCCTTCTTTCACCTGCATAAATAATGCGCGTTGGTCCATTAAAAGCTTAGCAGAAGACAAATATTGGAAAAACGATGTTTTGCCTTCAAATTTTATCACTCATACTTACTGTTGGCTTTAATCAATCAACTTATTCCAACTAAGTAATTTCAATACTAACTTTGAGATCATTACGCCTTAATTTTAAAATATTTGACTTAAGAATAAATAAATTGCACACTAAAATCTACCATTGTAAACAATGGGAACATGAAAGAAAGCAAGTTTCGGCAGGCCTCTGCACCTGTTGCAAAAATAATATATATATTCTATATTTCGATGTCGATGCTTGAATGCAATGAAGCTATGTAGGTCGATTTTCCGATCGTTCTTAATGCAGCTAAATGATTTAATCGTCCGATTATTATAAAAGTACAACTTTACTAAATAATATCGTTAAAAACGACTGTATGTCTCTGTGTATATGTTAAGAAACAACGAATTTATTATTTTATTTCCCTTTTTCCGAATTGTTTCCTTGGCAGCTAATTATAGGATACAGTCATACGATTTTTATAAAATATTGGTAGTAATATACATTCTTTATAGAGTCGGAAACATGGCCTTCATTACGTAGCAAACTTTTGACTGAAATTTAATACCCTCTGCAAGGAGTTGTTTCGGACTCCCTAATTTACCTGTTTCTCCTCTATTGCTTTTGGATTTGTATGTCATTAACCAGCAAATAAAACCACTCTTCTTTGCACGAGCAAAGTTTTAAATAATGTAGACAAATAATAACTAATCAACTAGTCAATATCTTTGGGCGTTTAGAAACTGTAAGCGTTTGAAATATAGATTTGGCGTTTTTTCCGCTAAATTAGCAGATTTTTCAAAAAATCGTAGAAGAAATAATCGTTTTTTATAAAGATCTGTTTAAATTCTAGAACCAGACCGAGTACCTAGTCCATAGTCCCAACTAACAAAAATTTGTTTTGCAAACATATAAGTACATATGTATATTAGGGTGGTCAACAACAAAAATGTACGCCCACCGGTTATTATGGTAAATTTTGATGTGCAACAAATGTAAGTAAAACCAAAAAAAATTTTAGAGGGTAAGAGTAGAGTAACCAAATTTGTACTAATTTTTTGACAAGTCACCATTTTGGCATAATTGATTTATATTCATATTTATCTATCGATTGAATGCACCCAATTATATTGACTTGTTATAGCGAATATTCATTCACACTAGTTCTCTTCCTGCATTGTCTTTGTGCTTAGCAACAGCTACTGAAAATAATTTTTATAAGTAATGGCATACTAGTACGCTGCAGTTCCTTCTCTGTTCATTTACCAAAGGTAACAAAATATTTCTGCGCATTTTAGCGACTTGGCAGGCATCACTATTCTCATTCTTCTCTTGATTAACTTTTTCACTTGAAATTAGCTGACAGATCGTTCGGATCCTTTCGACCCGTAAAACAAAGCGAACAAATGTATTGCTTTAATAAAATGAATTCAGGAAATGAAGTAAATTGTAACGGCCAATGTGATTGACATTTGGCGGTTTCCGTGTTTGACTGAGATTCATCGCTTAGGATAAGATCGAATGCACGGATGCCCAGAGGCATTGTTGAATGATAAATTGTCAGCTAAATAATGTAGTGTACTGAATACTCAACAACCGGAAGAAATCTAGTTCCCACTTATAAATTATACATGTATAGCTTCCAAATATTTATATATTCTTAGAGTTTTTATTTTCGCATTATAACACATTTCTCACTCACTAACTATTACAATTTTTACACTTCTTTTAAAAAGTAAAAAGTCTCAGTTAGATTTAAAAAAATTAAATTTTCTGATTAAAGTAATTTAATAATTAATAATAATAATAATTAATGATGATAGTAATTAATAATAATAATAATAATAATTAATGATGATAGTAATTAATATGAATAATAATTACAGCACATATAAATATGAATTTTAATTGTCAACTTTAATACCTTTCTGTTAATATTAACAATTTCCATCCCAATTTCTAATATTAATGAAAAATAGCGATAGAATAGCGTTTGATACCAATTTAAAATAAAAAAAAACTCTTTTGCATTTAAAACAAGAAAGGAAAGCTAACTTCGGGCGGAGCCGAAGTTGATATACCCTTGCAGAATACTCTGTAAATTATATTCTCCAAAATTATTCATATGATGCATTCTTAATACTCATAAAAAATCCGAACTTCCTAGCTTTAACAACAACAAAGTTATGGCATTTCCAATCGTTCAGTTATATGGTAGCTATAGGATATAGTCCGCCGATTCTTATGAAATTTGGTAGGTCGGATTGATTGGCCAAATATAACACCCACAGAAAATCCCAAACTCCTAACTTTACAAACACCAAAGTTATGGCATTTCCGATCAATCAGTTATATGGCAGCTATAGGATATAGTCGGCCGATCCTTATGAAATTTGGTAGGTCGGATTGATTGGCCAAAAATAAAATCCATAGAAAATCCCAACTTCCTAACTTAACAAACACCAAAGTTATGGCATTTCCGATCAATCAGTTATATGGCAGCTATAGGATATAGTCGGCCGATCCTTATGAAATTTGGTGGGTCGGATTGATTGGCCAAATATAAAACCCATAGAAAATCCCAACTTTCTAACTTTACAAACACCAAAGTTATGGCATTTCCGATCAATCAGTTATATGGCAGCTATAGGATATAGTCGGCCGATCCTTATGAAATTTGGTAGGTCGGATTGATTGGCCAAATATAAAACCCATAGAAAATCCCAACTTTCTAACTTTACAAACACCAAAGTTATGGCATTTCCGATCAATCAGTTATATGGCAGCTATAGGATATAGTCGGCCGATCCTTATGAAATTTGGTAGGTCGGATTGATTGGCCAAATATAAAACCCATAGAAAATCCCAACTTCCTAACTTTACAAACACGAAAGTTATGGCATTTCCGATCAATCAGTTATATGGCAGCTATAGGATATAGTCGGCCGATCCTTATGAAATTTGGTAGGTCGGATTGATTGGCCAAATATAAAACCCATAGAAAATCCCAACTTCCTAACTTTACAAACACGAAAGTTATGGCATTTCCGATCAATCAGTTATATGGCAGCTATAGGATATAGTCGGCCGATCCCGGCCGTTCCGACTTATATACTGCGTGCAAAGGAAAGAAGGGTGTGTGCAAAGTTTCAATCCGATAGCTTTAAAACTGAGAGACTAGTTTGCGTAGAAACAGACAGACGGACAGACGGACAGACGGACAGACGGACAGACGGACAGACGGACAGACGGACAGACGGACAGACGGACAGACGGACATGGCTATATCAACTCAGGAGGTGATCCTGATCAAGAATATATATACTTTATAGGGTCGGAGATGTCTCCTTCACTGCGTTGCACACTTTTGACCAAAATTATAATACCCTCTGCAAGGGTATAAAAATAACTTTAAGAACATCCTATGAAAATTTAAAATACCTACATTGTTTGCTACTCATTAAATTACCCATGCCAAAACTTACCTTGCTTCCAAGGATTAGCTGGCTCCAGGTAACCAGTGACCAGTTCGTTATCCGGAAATGAGACTCGTCGGGCTATAGACGAGCTGAGCGAGCTGTCCGAGGATTTTCGCTGCAACAGACTAGGTGCCGTGGACAGGATACTTCCCCGCATGGGCAGGCCCATGGGTCCAATGCCTTCTCCCACTCCAGAACTTGCCAAGTCAGGACACATGGTTGAGCTGGGATTAGAGGCCAGCGAATCGGTGCGCCATACCGCCGTCTGCTTGGCATCGTGGTATATCTTGATCTTCTGTCGTTGCTGCGTTCGCATCTGAACATCGAATGCCGGGGATTCTGCAGCAGCAATATTCGACGCAGCAGCTGCATCAGCTGTTTCTGCTAATTCCGATCGCTCTGCCACAGCTGTTGTTGTCGGCTGCGGTTGACCCTCAGCTGTTGTATTTATTTCCTTTACACCGGCTGATGTTTCTTCTGCAACAGATGTGGTCGCAAAGTGCGTTCTCGTTGTTGGCTCCGTTCCATTGCCTTCTATTGCTGTTCTTGTTGATATTGTAGATGCTGTTGTGTTTGGCTGTGCATTGTCGCGGATATTGTGCAACATTGTTGCGAAGCGTTTTCAGTTGCTGCTGTCGCCTTCAAGTTTGTCACACTTCAAGTTTACTTAATTTTTCGAACTTGTTTGTTTTTATGTTTAACATTTAAATCACTATATATACACACAATCACAAGCTTCGATATCGTTCGTTTTTCGTTTTTATTTTATTTTACGTATATGTGGTTCATTCCCGCGCTTCCCGCTTACATTTTCAGGTGCTTTTATTTTATTTACACTGCAAAATTCATATCGAAATTACATTTTTTTTCAACCAAACAAAATTTTAAGATTTTCTTTTAGCCGCTAGACTACAGTTTAAAATTCGATAGTGTTTTGTTCGAATTTCTCAGACGCATCGAATAATCAGCAGCGGGCAGGCAGTTTACAAAACACAAAAATATTCCGCTCGAAAATTTCCACCGTCACAAACGCACAGTGGAACAGTAAGCCCAAACGCTCGGTAAAATCAATAGTCACAACATAAACTTAGTTAATGTTTAATTTGTATTAAATTAAATTTAAATGCTGTATTATTATTATTAATAAATTACTTAAGCAATTTTTTTATATTTTTTTTCCACCACGCCGAGAAATCGTATGTTTTAAACAAAAGAAGAACTAACACGATAAAAGGCACTGGCTGGTTCATTGTTGATTGATTTTATAACCCTTTTCATTGCCTCCTTTCATTACCCACTGTGCAATTTTTAGTTTAAAAACAAAACGAAAACAAAAAAACGAGGCAAAGAGAGCAGAGCACACGCACACACGGGCAAAAGAGAGTGGCATAAAAAACATTACCTAATTGTTAATGATTTTTGTTCGCGTTTGCACTGTCAGAAAGGAGAGAGAGAGAGAGAATGAGAGAGAGGAGAGGGAAGGGCAATCGCAGATTGTTTGCAACTGTTGTTTGTTATCATTTTTCGCCCCTCTGTACTTTTCGCATTTTTGTTTACCTCGCCAGGTTGCCTTTCTCTCACGCGTCAATGTAGTAGTGTGAGGGCTGTGCTCGTCTGTGTGTGCGAGTAACACGCGCCCTGTTGCATGCAAAACCCAAATTAAAAGGCAAATTGCATTTGGTAATAACACAGGCAGTCGAAAGGGACAAACAATTGAGCGCTCTTGCTGTTCCTCGAATTTCGTTTTAGAATAAATACACAAATTACGTCACGCATGTCTGTATGAGTTAGGGAGGACTACTGAGTTGTTGTGGTAATGTTTAAAGTTTTCTTTTAATTTCCGCGTTGCGTACTTTTGTAAAAGTGTTTACTTTTTAGTTGCTTTTGCTCACATAACTTAATGCGCTCGGCGCTCACGTTGTTTTTAATTTGCGGCACTTTGCATTTGGCGCATTTTCACGCACCAAATTTCTGTTTTCGTTATACAACTTTGGGCAAAGGAGTTTTGTTTGTGCTGACACTCATCAGAAGTAACGCTTTATCTGGCATTTAATCAATCCCGCTCCATTCAGCGTTCAGCTTATGACGTTTAGGCATCCGCGACCCAACAACAACCGATCACAAAGACGTTGAAAATGCGAAAGATAGAAATAGAAACCGAGTTGCGCATTTTCATGGTGCACAATGTGCGGTGTTGCCAGACTGTGATAAATTTCGTGAATACGCGAATTAAATCCTATGTATAGTCCCACAATGTGAATTAAAAAAAATTATATATTGAAAAGATAATAAGTTTTCTATTTAGAACAAGCTGGAAAATCAGGCTTACTAGCGAAAAAGTAGTAACGAAGTAAGTAAGCTTTTAAGTTGAAATATTGTATCGAGACAGTTGATTTTATATCATTAACATGACTATATTTTCTTGCCGTCGTCAGTTTAATATACAAAACCTTAAAACCTATCAATTCTGGTTTTAAGGTTTTGTATATTAAAAATTAATTTTTTTTCAATTTGTTTTTTTTTTTTTATTCCTCTTTGATTAAACAACGAAGAATGGTTAGTAAGGAAACAAATGTGATCGCACAAATTAACGCAGTAAAGTCTCAATATACCTGCATGACTTTCTAATTTAATTGCAACTTATTGAACGACAGCGACGTGTAAACCACACTAAACTCCCCCAACAGCCTGGCAACCCATCCACGTGTGCTCTTTTTACGCACCCTCTCGCTCACTCTCCCTTAAATCGCACGAAACATTCAACATCAAAACAATAAGATTGTGTACACATGCTTGTGTATATTCACTTCACATCGCTCATTAATGAGCGCTCACGCTAGTTGTTTGTTTTAATTCCACATTTTAACAAGATTGTTAGGCAAAAATCACAGAAACGGCAGTTGCTCTCTTTATCACTCTCTGTATGCTAACAATATGATGTCAGAGGAAACCTTTTTCATACACTTCGTCAGGAAAATTAAAATTGGGATCCAATTCGTCAGTTCATTGCTCAGGATTTAATGTAGCAGAATTACTGATTGCAGAATGGCCAGCGAAACTTTTGCGCGTTACAAGTTCGGGTGAAGTGCATACAGAAAAAAAAACAAACTTCTATTTTCAAGGTCACTTTTGAAGTTCTCCATACACACACACGCACCTTCTCTTGCCTTTCACCCGTCGACCACAGAGTTAAGGTTATTACGGAAACTGGTGTTATAATCAATGGAAGAGGTTCCCACTTGATTTGATTTACTCTATTTAACAAACTTCGTTCAATGGAGCCGCGAAACTCCGTGCTCGACAATTGACGAGCTCTGGTCAGTGTTACCAACTGCTCTAAATTCTCTAATACCAACAACTTGCGTCACCACGACATTTTGGGGAGGTAATACACTTATGGTACTGAACTTTAAAGAGTAACCAGAAAAATAGCTATTGCTAAATCGCGAATTTTTTTTATAATAAATTTGTTTATTACTAACGATTTCACAATTTTTTAGTTATTTCATAAGAAAATATTTATGACTAAGAAAAAAGTTTTCATAAATTCAGGTTGCTCAGAGAGTCTTGCGCTCCTCTTAAGCCTAGTACTCAGATCGACGAAATCTGTTCGTCAGCTTATGAGAAAGAGCGAGAGGCAAACAGCTGGTTTTTAACCCCGGTACTCATACCAGATAATTACATCTCGTTGCCAACCACCCGAAATTAACTTTGGGTGAACGTTCGTCAGGCCCTAGCGAAAAGATTAAAGCCTAGTACTCAGATCGAAAAAAGCTATTATTGCGTTTGTGGCCAAACCCAGGCTTTCTACATGGTCTTACCATAATTGCCTAGAAATGGGAAAAACTTTCTTTAAGTTAAGTTTTTTTGACATTCGGTCCCGACAATTTTATGTTTATGAATTGTACTTGATGATTGACCTATCAATTTACTATCTGTTGCAACAATCACTAATAACAACAAAAAACAATTGCAAAGAGCAGCTGGCAAACGAAGCCGGGAATATAGATTTTAATATTGCCGCTTGAATGCAAGATCTGTTAGATTGTTATTTGACTTATTGGGACCTTTGGGATAAAATTATTATTATTAAAGATAAAATCATTAACTCCAAAAAGTGCTCAAACCATCTAAAGCATATCTTCACGCATCGATTGCATTATATAAGCTGTTTTTGAAAACAAATTACCAAAATCAAGGAAATCAAATACATATAAGAATTAAATCTGTCTAGTCTATACATTGTTTTTCACAAATTCGTTTTAATACCAATAATTAACTACCCTATGTATAAAAAAAAACAATAGAACAGCTGATTCAAAACTCGAGATATTGCGGCATAGTGTGAACGCAAACTTGGAGTTATCGAGTTAGCTCGGTTGTCGATATAAAACTTGCCGAAGTGTGCAACGGACCTAACAGTAAGAAAGGCCCAATTTTGTTATAATTAATATGGGATAAAAATATTGCATCTATTACTGTGCAATTCATTACTTACTTAATTTTTTGTAACAAAAACGCAGAAACACTGAACAGTGGTCACTTGTTTTGATGTCTTTATAGTATTTTTATTGAGCCAGATAGCATTCCTTGGCGCACCTGAGACGGTCACACCGATGAAAAGCCAACTCAGCTGAAAGTGAACCCATTTTTATACACAATAAATTTAGTGGCTGCAGTGGAATAAGTTGATTCACCCGTTCACTGAGCCCCAAGACAATGAAATATGAGGTTGGCCAACAAGAAATCAAAAATGCAGCCATTGCTAAGTGACTTGGCCCTGTTGTTGGGCCTGGCGATCTGTTGTCTTCCAACTTTGACGTGGGCCGCGGCCGCGACTCTCTCCGACAAACGACTATGCGCCGACCCGAAATGTGAACGTAAGTTGTAATCTAGGGCCAGACAACACAGCCTTGGACCTCTTATATTTTCATGTTTCTTTAAATTGCATAATTAATGTGGACTTTGGCTGGGTTTTTCGGCTTGCAGAAATCATCTCGACGGGTATTGCCAAAATCAGCTATGCCACTGGCGGAGAGGGGCTGATATCCTTCAAGATTAATTCCCCCATCCGCGTCCTGTCCAAAAGTGCTGGTTCCAACATGCAGCTGTGGGGTGTCGATATCAACGGACGACGCGGCTATGCCAACAAGGACTTTATCATGGAGAAAAAGATCATAGTGCGGGACAAGGACCTGGCGTATGAAGTGCCAGTGGTGGGACCTGGCAGTCCAGTCCAGTCCGTAAAGGAGCCACTGCAGCCGGTTCTCAACGCTTCTGAGTCAACCGATGACTTGGCAACGACCACAACGTCACCACTTGATGTTAACGTGGATTCAATAGTGCTGGAGCAGGAGAAACTTAAAGATCAGCAGGTTCCTGATCCCACGGCGGCTTCCAAAGCACCAGTGCAGCTCGTGGAAGGTACAGAGCTGCCTCTGGAGGCGGTTCCAGCTTTAAACGAAAGCACACATTTTCCAGTAGAGACAGAAAAGCCCAATGAAGCATTGAAATTTGAATCCGCCTCTGCAGTTGTTGACACGAAAGAGCCACAAGCGTCTCCAGAGTCCAGTAAAGCGCGGGATGAATCTACGAAACAGCTGCCTGTCACTGAACCTCAGGAGCCAACTCCACTGAGGACGGCAATCAACGCTGAAATTGAAGACACTGATGATTTTGATTATGGGGATGACGGGGCAGACGAAGACGACGACGAAGAAGACTTCAAGCAAGGTAGTGAAGATAACGAACCGAGCATACAGAAAGAAAACGATAAGAAATCAATTAACGAATCGATTGAACTTAGCACGATTTCGGTTGAGAAATTGAATATAACTAATAGCTTGGAGGACCCAAAGGAGGACCAGAAGGTAGAGCAAGCGCAAGTGGAAGTGACAAGGAAAAAAGACGATAAACCCGTGGTTCCAGCCATTCCTGACATACTTCCTTTACCTAATGGTGCAATTACAGAAGAACCGACGGAGGTAAAGAAAATTTCCAAGATTGAGCTTGAAGCAGTCGTGGAATTAAAGCCTTTAGATGCTCTGACAGCCGAGGATGTCACGGAAAAGGTGGCTAAGGAACCGCATCCGGTTGTTAAAGATGAAGTCAAAGAAGAAATAGTTAAGCTTTCTGCAGAAATAGCAGTTGAGCCCAAACAAGAAATCACCATTGAGCCTTTTGTTGCTCAATCCGAGAACGAAACTAATGATACGACTGAATCAGTGAGTAGCTCAACTGGTCCTGTAATCGAAGATGCTCCACTGAAACCTGAACCTGTTGGCCTACCGCCTCTTTTTGAAAAGACAAACTTTGAGAATCCCAATGATTACTATAAGCAGCTGCAGGAGAAGCAAAAGCAGAGTTTAATTGAAGAAGCGGAGCAGCAGAAGAGGTTGCGTGAAGAAGTGGAGCAACGGAAGAGTATAGAAGAGGAAGCGGAGCAAGAGAAGAAGTCAAACGAGGAGGCGGAACTACAAAGGAGGTTAGATGAAGAAGCGGATCAGCAGAAGTTGTTGCTTGAGGAAGCAGAGCATAAACTGCAGGATCAAGATGCAAACCTGCAGCAGTTCAATAATTCTGATTTCGTGGATTCACCATCAAACGAAGACTTTGATAAGACCTATGACCCCTACAAACAACTGCAGCCAGAGCACCATCACCATCATCCACATCAGCACCCTTCAGAAAGTGCCTATCATTACCCATCGAGTGCAGAGCAAACTACTCCCACTCCTGACGCTGAATCACCGTACGGCGCAGTCATTGAAGAGACCACACAATCATCCCAAGCTGACACGGAGCGTGCGGGTGTTGGTTCCGTTGAGCCAGTAGCTCTGCCAGCGACTGCTAGTCCCGGGTCGGAGGTTCCCATTAAGGAGGATGGCTTGGGCTTCGGTCTCTTTGCCACCATTGTCGACACCGTGAACAATTTTATCGGGAAGGAGCCACAGAGTGCAGCATTAGAAAACAGCGATGAACTGCGAAGAATTCTCTATCCAAGCAAGGCTGAGGTGGCATCCTCTCAAAAGGAAACCCAAGGTAATTTTAATACCCCTGTAGAGGTTTTTTTAAATTTTAGTCAAAAGTTTGCATTGCATTGAAGGAAACGTATTAATCATCATCACCAGGATATTCGATCTAATCATGTCCGTCTGTCTGCTTCTTCGCAAACTAGTCTCTCCGTTTTAAAGCTATTTGAATGAAACTTTTCAAAAAGGAAAACTCGTGAAAAAAGAGAAATTAAAATTAAAAACTTCGTAATAATTATTTTGAACAATTTCCGAATTACCGTTATAATTTTATAAAAACCATACGACTATATCATATAAATCATTGTTGTTAAGCATATACGCATACAAATTAAAATATCGAATATTTAATTTTTGGAACAACTGCAAGGGTATATAAGTTTCGGCTTGCCTAAGTTTGCTTCTTTTCTTGTTTTATTATGTTATAAAAGCTACAATATTCCAAATCAATTTATGAAAAAGTTAAGCAACACCGTAAACAAAAAACTTGTTAGGGTCAAAGTAAGGATATTAATTTAACACTCACAGGATCACAGGATCTTGTATAAATCATGTATTTTTTAAATTAGAGGTCAACCTCTTTTAAAAATTATGGTTCAATTTTACAGATGCTCCTCATGCCGATTTTGATAGTTATTGTCCTCGAGATGAGCACTGCCATCGCTCCATTTCCCTGGATAATTTTGTGGATATAATGGCCGGCAAGCTGGTGGATCACAGTCAACTTTTGATGTGTGTGATTATTGCAGCAGCTTCTTCGCTGTTCTTCATCTTCGGCTACTACTGCTTCTGCAACAGCAGCCAGGAGGGCGCACTTCTCTCGAAACTAAATCACTTGGAGCGCAGTTTGCTGGCCTCTCACAAGGAAAACCTAATCATCAAGCACGACCTGATGACTACAAGAACCAAATTGGCCAGCATCGAAGACAACTCCTTTGGTTCCAACGACATGGTGGCCGACCTTAAGAAGCAGCTTGAATCTGAGCTTTACGAGAAGGCCAAGCTGCAAGAGCAGGTTGGATCGCTAGAAAGGGTAGGTCCACGCAAAAAATTATTTAGATTTTTGTTAAAAAGTGTTTCTCGTTTCAAGGATCTGGATAATGCGGCAGAGGCTGGATTGGAGCTGAATAAAATGTTATCGGAGGTGCTGAGCAGCCAGAACGGGGATGAGGCCTTTATGAGCACCGTCGATGAACTGCAGAGGCAGCTAAACGATCAAGAGAGTGAGTATACGCCTATGGCTAACCCTGACTTACATATGTTTATGATCTCTGGGTGACCAGAAAGTATATATAAAAGGAATTTATTTCTAAGTCGTCTTTATAGTAGCTGAAATTAAAATCGGGCCTTAGACTATTAGGTTTGAGAGCAATGCAACATCCTTTTCTCGCATTTTAAATCAATTTAATATTTAACTTCTACTTATTATATTATTAGAGATTTGGCGTTTCTATAAACAAATATTCTATTAAACTTGCAAAACAAATAGAACATCTCTTTATGTAATTATAAACTACTATTTCTGTTTATTTTATTTAATTTTATGTTAAGTAATGTTATAACTTGCTTCATTCTGCAGAGATCATCATCGAGATTAACTCGAGTCTGGCGGAAAAGAGTCGCGAGAACAGCGAACTACAGTATTCTTTTACGGAGGCCACGGCACGCCTCACCAGCGATCTGAAGGCCCTACAAGAGGACAACTACGAGTTGGAGATGGAAAAGTCTAAACTGCAAACACGGCTAGGGGAGATCCAGGCCGAGACGGAATTGGAGTTGGCCAATGCCCTGGAGTCACGCAATTACGAAATGCAGCGGTTGCAGAACCAAATCCTCGATCTGACCGCCAAGTGGGATCGGGAACACAGCGATCTGCAGACCAGTCTGGCCAAAATCGAAGCACTCGAGGATTGTCTAAAGGCAGTCAAAAAGGACGCCAACTTGAATGTTCAGGAGCTGATCACCTCGGCCAAAACGCGCGGCGAACTGAACGCTGCCCATAAGAAGTTTGTCGAGCTGCAGGCAAAGGTAGAGCAGGAAGTTGCCCACAAGCAGCGCCTGGAAATCCAGCTACAGCAGTCAAGTACAGATGTGGAGCAGCTGAAGCAGGACTTCAACCTATCAGAGCGCGACAAGCTGGAAGCCCAGACGCGACTCGAGGTTCTTTCTGGCTACTTCCGCGAGAAGGAAAACGAACTTAAGAAGTAGTTTATTATCTAACGAAGGTTTCCATGAGGAATTTCATTAATTTTAAATTACCGTTTCAGAGAACTTAGTATGCAGGAGACCAAATGGCTGCAGCATCAGGGCGAGAACGCCAGCACAGTGGAGATCCAGACGCTCATGAAGAACGAAATCCAAACTCTCAAGTAAGTTACCCGAACTATACCATAGTTCTTATTATACCCTTGCAGAGGGTATTATAATTTCAGTCATAAGTTTAATTAAATTAAAATCGGATATCTATATCATATAGGTCCCATAGAACGACAAAATCATTTAAATTTATTTTACTGTTTTTCTATTTATCAAAATATTTATTTAAGATATAGTAATTATTTATAATTAATTATTTTAAAAGCAATTATTTAGTATATCAGAATTACGATTTTAGTTTTGTCAAAATCGGAATATCATATAGCTGCCATAGAAACCATGGCAAAACGCAGCGCAAAATCGTCATAGCTTCATTTTTTTTTTTTGGTAATATAGGCATAGAAATCGAAATGTAGTCGTTTTGTAATAACTGCAAGGGTATATAAAAAAATTGGTTCTCTTCTTTTTTATACTACAATCTACTTAACTTTTTTGTTTTTATTTGGAAAATATGAATTGTAAAAACATTATGAAATGTCCTTTTTTAGATCTCAGAACGACGAGCTGCGTGCCGAGATCGAGGCCCAAATAGCCTCGCACAAGGCTCAAATGGGCACGCTGGAGAACCGCGCCCATGAATCCTGGCTGGCGGCGCGCCAGTCGGAGCGCCGTTGCGAAGAGGCGCTGGCTGAAGCCGCCGGTCTGAGGCGAAAGCTGACCACCATGGCCAGCGGAGGAGGCGGAGTCGGAGATACGGCCAACATGGAGGTCATCGCCTCTAACGGAGCGCCTGTGCTGGGGGCAGAACTGAAAACGGCTCCATCGCCGCTTCCCTTGCCGGGTTCGCCACTGCTGAGCATGCCAAATCCACTGCCATTCCTGGCGGCGCCCTTCTCTCCTTTCATGGGCCTTCCGCCACCATTCCTGCCTCCAACCGGAGCGGGTGGGGCACGCCCTCCACCCCTGGGGCGAAAGCGTTCCCCGCCGCCTTCGAGCCGCGGCGACCGGGATCGAGATCGGGATCGGTACTCGGACTACAGCGATTACGATGATTATGACGACGATGATGAGGAAGACAGGGGCATGAACCGCCGCCGAAGACTCAGCGGCAGCTGGGGCCGGCGTCATCATGACTCTTACAACCACTCGCCGCGTACATATCGCTCGCTGTCCCCGTCAGACAGTCGCTACAACTACAACGACACGGAGACGGACTTTAGTCCGCCCCCAAGTCCACCGCCAGTTTCTTCAGGACGGAGCGCGACATCTCGACCCTACAGCGAGGTGTGAAAGGGTTTTTTCGTGTAACCAAGTCCTACCAAGTATATTAGACTCAAAACTAGTTCAAATATATTTATTAATCAACGATTATCGATCGGTCGGGCCGATTCCACTTACAGACATCTCAGGAGAATCAGTCAAAATCAAAAACTAATAAAACTCCTGACTCAATGGTGAATGATAACTAAGAAAATCAACAAAATTAAATACAGCGAAAAACCCAAATACTGCTCATTTATTTTTGCGGAAAGAAAGAATCCTTTTTTCGGGTCACAACTTTGCAATCAATTTTCCTTAAAATAAAAACACTGAGGTACATATTTTCAACATTCTTTGATGTTTAAGTGTAATAATTTATGTATAATTATTACAAGCTTCCATATTAGGCGAATATCTTTTTTCAATATATACCCTGTATACAAGAAATTGATAGTGTTTTACATTACATATTTTGGTTTATTACATGAATTTTGCTGTCATGGAAAAACATATATTTGTGTATTACGATACAATTTAACGCGTAATATTTCCAAATATAAAAACAAAAATTGAACAATTTTGTAGGAAAGACAAAACATTTGTAAAAATGTCGGAGCGGTTGAGGTTTGATATTAACATTGATATTAATTACCATTTAAAACATAACTAGCGGAATACAAATTTTAAGGAAGAATGGTCTTGAATCAAAGAACACCACATTGCACTTCTTGAGGATCACGATTCCTGAGGTAAAAATTCCAGTTCCACTGATTCTGCAGTTAATTGTGAGAAAAGGTTATTTGTTGGATTAAAGCAAATTTTCAGATTCGGATGCCTAAAATGCTTGGCAATCTATGGAAAACAGCGAGATTAAAAATACAAATTAATTTTAAAACCAAATAATAAACCTACCAAATCTTCCTTGCCGGTTTTATAAAAATGCATCCTCAAAGGCTCCGTCCGCTGATCCAAAGCCCGCTTCATGGTGGATTCGCAAAAGACAAAGAATTCATCGTATAGAATCTGATTGGATAGGCTGAAATCCCTGAGTCGTGGACAAGCGAGTGCTACTTCCCAAATACCATGCGCATTTAACCAAATGCGCGAGTTCTCCAGATGCAGTTGCTCCAAAAGAGGAAAGCAATTGATGATTGTCGTGCGGAAATCGATGGCGCAACAGCCTTCATCATCGACGAGAGTTAGGCAACGGAGGCTCTGGAACTTGGCTAAAATGTTAGAGGGCCTCATCCAGATGTTATCGCTGAAAGCGGCCGCCACCACATCCTGACCCCGTTGATTACCAATATCCGAAAGCAGATCGTCCAACTCTTCGAAATGGTGCAGACGGAGCTTGCTTAATTTGGGCAGTCGCAACAGCTTGCTGGTGTTTTCAGTTGAGAGGTGGACTATATCCAACTCCAACTCCTGCAGTTCCTTCAGCGTACAGATCGCCCGCACATAGGCATCTTCCTCTGCTCTGTGCCATTGGATACTCAGGGTCTGAAGTCGAAGGTTCTGGCAGATTTCCTCGAAGCACTGTGTGTTCAAGTACCAGCACAGCTGAAGGTCTAGTCGGCGAAGGTTCCTCCACCGGCTAATGTGCTGACCACTGGAGTTTCCGCTCAGCCCAATACCTTCCAAGTGCGGAAAGCAGCCCACCAGAATCGCGATGTCGGAGTCTCCATCCAACTCACTGTTTTCATCTCCCATGTAGGTCAGTTCGCGCAAATTGGGAAATATGCGGTTCTTCCAATGTTCGAGGAGATCCATGGTCAGGTACCGCAGTGTGAGTTCCGACACAGTGGGCTGGATGCACTGTAGGAATACATCGAGAATTTCGGGATCTTGAACAAATGTTTCCGCGTCCAGGGAGTGATTGGTCTGGTGCTGCCATCTGTACGAAAGCACTGATCGCAGACGGGATGTGGGCTTGAAACTCTGCCATAGCTGCAGTTGCTCCTCCAGATCCAGATACTCTATAATTTTACTATTCAACCGTTATGCCAAGATCCATATCAGTTTATTTATACCACTTACAGCAGGCAGTCTTCATTGAGGTTCTCAATGCATGACATTTTGATGTAACCAGGCTAACCGGCACAGAAGGGCCTGGAACTCGAATGAGTAGGATACATATGTATGTACATGTATAACGTAAAATTGTTGCTTTCCGTGATGAAAACAATTTACAAAAAAGCTCTTGACGTCAAAAGCTCTGGAATGTTAAAAACAAATTCAATGTGGGGTAGTCAATAAAGTAAAAACGTTTTTCAACATCAATGTTTAGCAAAAACATTTAAGTTCTTTAAATGAAAAAAAAATTCAATGTTGTAGTCAATAAAGTACAGACGTTTTTCAACATTGATGTATAGCCAAAAACATCAAAGTTCTTTAAAGTGGTGATATTTACCAGGAAAATTACCAAGAAGTTGCTGTTTATTTTAACAATATTAATATTATTCAAATCATTAGCAACTTCTTGGTAATTTTCACTTTAAAGAACTTTGATGTTTTTGGTTGATTGATTTTTTTTGACATTTTTTTATTAAAATTGTAATATTTTAAAAATAACTTTGATGTTATTTGGCTATACATTGATTTTGAAAATTGGCTCTACTTTATTGACTACCCCATTCAATATTTTCTTTTTAAACAGGCGGAAGCTCTTGAAGTTAAAAGCTTGTTGTTATCAAATTAATAATAATAAAATTAAATAAACAATTAAATTGAACTGTATAATGTTTTATTCCTTTAGTAGTCTATTTTTCCAAGAGTATCTGTCTAAAAGGTCATACGGTTTTGATCAACCAGGGATGCACCAAAAAATTGCTGGAAAACAATAAACTGGGATTGAACAGTAATAAATAAAATAAAGCGATTGAGAAAGTTTCAAGTTGTAAGCAAGTAAAGCGCTTAGGATCGAAGATACGGTATTGTCTAACACCACTCGCCTGGTGATACTGATCAAAAATAACTAAAATACATTCGAAAATGTACATACCGTCTGCAAGGGTATAGTAAAATAATTATCAAATGATTGGAAAACCGTGGGATATTTTAAGCAAAACTATTAACCGATTTCCATAGTGGTTGATATATGGGTGAAGATTGACATAAAATATATATATATGTATATTTCCCAATAAATATGAGCCTATGGAACATTGCGCTGATAAAATTTTGATGAACCACTACTGCACGTGTTTAAAATTCTATTAAAAAACATTTTGAATAAAATGGGTTATGTTTGTGATTCCACGCTATTTTTAAACCCTTGCAGAGGGTATTGTAATTTCAGTCAAAAGTTTGAATTGCAGGTAGTATATAAGTGGAATCGAGCCGGATCGGGCGACTATATCATAAGCTTCCATAGGAACAATCGAAAAAAATTTTTGAAAAAGTATAACTTTGTTGTTTTTGTGATTTTGTAATACATATGTATTTTAATACTATTACGGTTTTAATTAAAAATCGACATCGCAAATTCGACATAGCTTCATTGTTTTAAGTAATATAGACATAGAAATCGAAATGTAGTCGTTTTGTAATAACTGCAAGGGTATGTAAATTTCGGCTTGCCGAAGTTTGCTTCCTTTCTTGTTAAAATATAAAATATCAGCCACTACAAAATTCTTATATCACATTTTTTGATAAGATATGTTTATTGCTTCACTTAAAACCACCTATAGAAGTCTTTTCGTTCAGAAGTAATCACCTTAATGTTTGTTAATCCATTTTGTTTTAGTTGTTGTGACTGCCTGACATGGTTTTCTGGATAAGATTGACGCAAATAGTTTTTAAAATTGCATTTATATTTAACTGTTGATATTGACTAACTCCTGTCAATTTCAGTCGAATTCCAGTTTCCGAAAGGAACCTACAGCCCCAAACGAGGAGCGATGGTTCTTCGGCACGTGATCCCTAAATTCGCGCAACTTTTCATCAGCGCCGAAATTCAGGGACTCCTGAAAGTAGGATGAATAACTGAATAGTTTCGCTTCCATGGTTCGGCTTATGTCCTGCATGCTCCCGCCAATTCCTCCGTACTCCTTGGGTAAGTACTCGCGACGCACTATTTCAAATATGGCCGCCGGATCGGAGGTCACCGAAATCTAAAATAAATATTTTCCATAGCTCAAAGGGGAGTAAACGATGTTAAGGTTTAGACTCACCCGACTTTTGATTTTTGCCGGAAAAAAAGATCGCAACGAATTGAAACCGGTTTCGAAGGCCGCAGGGACATTGATAAAGTGAATTCCTTTCTGGCGCGTCGGCATTGCCTCATCCGCGTAGTTGGAAAACTTACTTAACAACTGCGGCTGGAGAGCAAAGAGGTGGGCACCCGTAACTCCAGTCATGTCCATAATCTCCACATAACCGCTGATCGTGGCGTTCTCGTCCTCGAACATCATGATCTCACCAAACATAGAGCCAACGCGTACTATGTCCTGGAACTTGTACTTGGTCGTGTCGTAGGACCCAGCTCGAATAATGGTCACGCAAGGTCCCGGGTCGTCCACATCCATGGGGATTTGCAGGAGAACTCTGTAAAGTACGTGGCTTATTGACATGCTTTTTTACCCTTGCAGAGGGTATTATAATTTAAGTTAAAAGTTTGCCACGCAGTAAAGGAAACATTTCCGACCCTATGAAATATATATATTCTTGACCAGGAGAGTCGATATAGCCATGTCCGTCTGTCCGTTTGCAACTAGTCCATCAGTTTGAAAGCTAACTGCTTGAAACTTTACCAAAACTTGTCTTTCTGTTGTAGGTAGTATATAAGTCGGAACTAGCCGGATCGGGCGACTTTATCATATAGCTCCCATAAGAACAATCGGAAAAAAAACAATTTTAAAAAATATAACTTTGTTGTTTTTGTTTTTTTTTGTTCTTTGGGATTTGATAATATTTAAATACTATTACGGTTTTAATTAAATTAAAATCGCACATATATGTCATATGTTTCGTTTTGTAATAAATGCAAGGGTATATAAACTCCGGTTTGCTTCCTTTCTTGTTTCTATTTTATATTAATACTTAATAGATGTATGGTCAATTCTATAACTTAGCTTTCGAATATTAATCTTGACCGTTAGGAAGATAGGACTGCTCTAATCGTGACTCCATTGTTATTGCTGATCAATAGTATACGAGTAATGGTATAACAAGTGTATAAAACGTTAAAAGCCCTAGGGATACGACAAGATTGATTTATTCAGAGTTATTTTGCTCAATGTTCCATTTTGGAACTCTAATTATAAAGCGTTTCTTACCCCATCCTGATAATATCCAGCACCTGGGGATCGGTGGCCAGGCGTCGTTCATTGAAGACCTCGGGAATGGATCGCTGCAACGTGTAGAATCGATCAAACTTTTCTTTCGCCCGTTCCAGGCTAAACTTTGTTCCGCGCAGAAAGGCTAGAAGGAACTGGTCTTCGGTGCAGGCCCGCAGATGTGGTTGTTTCAAGACCCACTCCTTCAGAGCCTCGATGTCCTGCTGAACCCGATGGGGCACCTCGTTTAACTCCCTGATGGCAATCGCCATCAATGCAGGTTTTAACGGCCGCACCAAACTCATTCTGAGGCAGGAAATATTCGTAAAAGTAATCCCCTCGCTCGGTGCCCTGAAATGGATAAAAATCGTTATTTTACCTCGTCACCTCTCCTCACATGTACACATGTATATTCGTATACTTGGTTTACCAGCTGTTTTGACTGTTCAAAATAACTTCGCTAATGGAAAATCGAACTGCGTGCATATGCTTACCGTTTGAAAATAGCTCGTCGACTGCCAAATTGATATACGAGTAACATGGGGAATCAACGTACTTTGCCTGATCATAAGCCGATTTAACAATGCACGAAGACATTGGTCGGGAGGGTGGTGGTGGTTATGGCGCCCGGGGTGGTGGGTGGTACCAGGCTGGCGCTTGCAGTATTCCAGTCGGTTCACTTTGTTATGGGTCGTATTGCGATTGATTGTCTTAATTGGCTTTGGATTTATTTTTTGAGTGCATGCGACTGCGGTTTTTGCTGGCCCAGATATGAGCTGTTAAATCCATTGATAAAGAAGGTTAATCGAGAGCAATTACTTAACGGACGGCGGATTGATAACGTGAATTGCTCGCCGGCAGCGAACTCGACTAACACAACAAGGAAATTAATACAGAAAAATAATTATCTTAAATAGGTTCGGGCAGATCCAAATAAAACGATAAGCTGTTGAGCTTGTTTTATCTTTACAGAAGGGAAGAAGACTTCATAAGTCTATTTGTATACCATTGCAGCTATAACAAAAGTATAATATTCTCTAATCGACTGCACATATTTTCGTGTTCGAATACGCTTAAAAACAATAAAGTAATTGGTGATTAACTTTCGATCCTATATATCTTATTATAGATCATATATGTAGCTGCCATAGACGGCAAGCCGAAGTTTTTATACCCTTGCAGTTATTACAAATAGATGTCCTATTTAAGTTTAATTAAACCGTAATTCCACAATATTTAAATATAACCAAACCCCAAAGAGTTATATTTTTTTGAATTTTTTTCCGATTGTTCCTATGGGAGTTATAAGATATAGTCGCCCGATCCAGCTCATTCTGACTTACATATGTACTTTTGGGAAAGTTTCAAGCAGATAGCTTTAAAACTGAGGGACTAATTTGCATAGAAACGGATGGACGGACAGATGGACGGACGGACAGAAGGACAGACGGGCGGACGGACAGACAGACATGACTAGATCGACTACATTTCGATTTCAATGCTTATATTACTAAAAACAATGAAGCTATGTCGATTTTGCGCTGCATTTTGCCATCGCTTCTATGACAGCTACATACATACATATATGATATTGTTGTCCGATTTTGACAAAACTAAAAGAGTAATTCTGATAAAGTATTAACTTCAATTTCTATATCTCAAAAGAATATTTTGATAAATAGAAAAACAGCAAAATAAAATGTTGTTTATCTATATTTTTTTTAATTTTTTGATTCTTAGGGGAGCTATATGATATAGATTGCCGAAGATTGCTTCCTTTCTTGTTTGTTATAGCTTCGACTTGCCAAGTTTGCTATAGTTTTTAATAGTAATTCATTTTAAAGACCCAAAAATTTAAAAATAAATAAGTTTCGCGGGTCTGCGGTTTAAAAACTCAACAGCGAACATTTTTCGAACTTCTAACGAGTCAGCTATCTAATTTGCCATAGTGTATATTTTAGTGCTTTTACATGTTGAACTCCAACGGTCACACTGTTTACACACAAACGTCAGGTTTGGAAAGGGAAAACATCTGACAATAAAATCCAAATTGTCCCGATGACAAGTGTCGAGGAGAACCCGTTCGCCGCTCTGCTCCAGGAGGGCACCGATACCGATGGCGTATCCCACAAACTGGTCGAGGAGGTGCTCCTTTTCACGCTGAACAAAGCGTCCCCATTTGCAGGCTTGTGCCTTGCGGACGTCGTGGTGGACACCAGCGAGGCGGTGCTGGGCGAGGACCTGGTGGCCCACGCCCTCTTTGAGCGCCTTATGCTGACCGAGACGGGCCAGTATGCAGCGGGGAACGCCAGTTCCGAGGCGTTGGAACCGCGGGCCATGTGCTATCTGCGAGGAGCCTTTGCCCGATGCGAGCGCATCCAGGCCGAGCGAAAAACCGACTGCTCCAAGGTCCTTGCTCTGATCCTAAATAACGCCAGCACCTGCATGCGTCAGCCGGACCTATTTGCCCCCCAATCCTTTGCCGCCCAGTGGCTGGAGATGTTCGAGCAGGCCGACGAGCACGATACCAGCACCCAGGAATTCCTGGTCCGCGTCGCCTGCAAAGTGGTGGAGGAGGACGAGCCGATTGAGGTCTTGGGCGCCCTCAAGGCAATCTTCTACCCATTGCTCACCGAGCTCCAGAAACTCATTGCTAAGGAGAACCTGATTTCGGTCAAGAAAAACATCTTTTGGATCCTCGGCTTCTTCGTGCGTGACAAGCGGGCAGCGGTGCTGGGCGAGCTGCTCATCGACTTCACCACTCCCAATCCCAAGGCTAAAGGTAAGATTAACTTTACCTACTCCCAATCCCATTGCTAAAGGTAAGACTCACTATATCTACTCCCAATGCCAAGGGTAAATGTAAGACTAAATTTATCTTCACAATTCGACCATTTCTGCAATCTGCAAATTTTTGTTAAGCTATCATGTTTTAAATGTGAAAAATTAGTTATACTTGCAGATATAATAAATAAATTCATATATATGACATAAGAAAGTTAGTCAGGAAAATTTTTCAAGAAAATATGATAATAGTCGAAAACATTTCATCAGAAGTTTTCAGTGAACAATTTCTATAATATAGTTCAGTTTCACAAAAATGGAGTCATATTAATATATTAAATACAACTCTAAAAACTTTCCTAAGCGCAGGAATGTACCAGGAAAGTAATTTCCAGAGTAGAGTAAAAGATCTATATTGTTTTAATGTTTTCTTGTAAACTTTATTTTTAAATGCTTAATATACTTCAGGTGGCGATTATATGGACACTTTGCTAGGAAGTCTTCTGTGCATCTCAATTCTGCCCAAGACCCAGAAGGCCAAGTATGAATTTTTTCAAGAGCTATCATTAAACCAAACGGACTCTGCTCTGTGGGGACTTTTGTCCCATCACCAGCAGTCGACTTTTCTGCTCGTCAAACAGCTGCTCGTCCTGTCGCCAGAAACTAAAAAGAAGACACTCCAATGGATAGCCAATTGCCTGGATGCAAATGTATCGCGTGGTCATCTGTGGAGTAGCATGAATCTAAACCTGGACCAAACGGTCCACAGCACGGCCAGCGATGCCTTTATGACCAACTTGACTGCAGTCCTTACGCGTCTCTGTGCTCCTTTGTGCTTGCCCTCACTAAAGGTAATCATTAAATTTATAGGCAAATATAACTTTAAACAAATTGTAAATAATCACTGTTCCAAATAGCGTAATGATAAATATTTTATAATAGTTCACAGCATTGAAATTTACTGTAAGATTTTTTTTGAAAATTTCCCTTTTTGGATTTTTGTATGTTAATTAACTAACATAATGGCATTTACCCGTTTTAGGTTCTCCTTGTGGACCCCACTTATTGTGCAGTACCGGACAAGGACCGGCAGGCGAAGAGTGTGAGCCTTCTGAAAGCCCACGACGAGACTTGTCTGCTTCCCAGTGAAGAGGGCGAAGAACGCCTTACTGCCGAAAAGTACAATTTCGTGACTGAGATCTTCTACATGACCCACAAATGCTTCGAACTGGCCAACCGGCCTTGCATCGAACGCCTAAGTCGCTTGATGCGCGAACTGCAGAACACACAGACAGCCTACGGGGAGGTTCTGAACAGTGATCCCAACAATGAGCTTACCAAAAACCTGTTTCGCATGATGCTGGACCAGATGCAGCAGGTACTGTGCATCAGGAACACGCTCTCAGAACCCACCAATGATACGGCTATGCTGAAGTTCTTCGAGGCCTCTGCCATCTGGCTGACCGAAGTGGCCATGCTACCCCGTGAAATTTTTGAACAGTGTGTGGACAAGCGGGATTTCTCCCCACAACTATTTCGCAACCTGGAGCTGCTCTCAGACACACCGCCCTTTGTGGCTCCGTACATGCAGTCCGTACCGGAAAGCATTATTGATAACATTTCGGCGTACTTGAACTTCTGCCGGCGACTGACAGGAGATCAATTCATCGATATTTATTTTTCCGCTCACGATGCCTTCTTCAAGATGATATTGCTATTCATGGGCAGCTCGGGGCTGGTTAAAAATCCCCACCTACGAGCCAAACTTGCCGAGGCCCTGGAGTTTCTCCTGCCCACGCAGATTCTGGGAAGCAATCGTCAAACTTTCGTCACCAATGTGTTTGACAACCATTCGGATCGGTTGAAGGTGGTCCGCAGTCTGCTTAACGTTTTTGTTAGCATAGAGATGACCGGGCAGTCAGTGCAGTTTGAGCAGAAGTTCAACTATCGCCGGCCCATGTATGCTATAATGGAGTTTCTGTGGACAAAACCGGAGCACGTGCAGTGCTTCCGGGACCTGGCCATCGAAGCAGAGCAAAACATGGAGGCCATAGAGCCGCCCATTTTTCTGCGCTTCATCAATTTGCTTATTAATGATGCCATCTTTCTGTTGGACGAATCGTTGTCTAATCTGGAGCAGATAAAGCAGTTGCAGCAAGCCCAGGATAATGGTGAATGGAATGCACTGTCTCATAATGAGCGCCAACAGCAGGTGACCAACCTCCAACACCTGGGCATGCTAGCCCGTTTTGACAACATTCTCGGAAGAGATACTATAAACATCCTGAAGTTGCTAACCACGGAGATAAGGAGCATTTTCTGCCATAACAGTATGGTGGATCGAATCGCAGCCATGCTGAACTACTTTTTGCTACATTTAGTTGGACCCAGAAAGGAGCGCTTCAAAGTTAAGGACAAGAAGGAGTTCGACTTCGATCCGGCACAGACGGTGCTGGAGATTTCTCACATCTACATCAATTTGAGCACTGATGACAGCTTCTGTTTGGCAGTGTCACAAGATGGACGCTCCTACAGTGAACAGCTGTTTGGCTACGCCGAGAACATCCTTATTCGGATTGGAGGAGGCCAACTGATCGGTGATATGTCCGAGTTTGCTGTGAAGGTGGCGCAAATGGGAGCCCAGTATAAGGAGGAGCAGGAGCTGCTGGCCGATGCACCGGAAGAGTACCTGGATCCGATTATCTCTTCGCTGATGACAGACCCTGTGGTGCTGCCCAGCTCCAAGGTTACCGTTGATCGTTCCACCATTGCCCGGCATCTGCTAAGCGATCAGACCGATCCCTTTAATCGCGAGCCACTTACTATGGATAAGGTCAAGTCCAACGAGGCACTGAAGCTGGAGATTGAGCAGTGGATCGAGGGCAAGCGGGAGGCGGCCCGTTCCAAGAGTTGAGCCAGCATCGAAACTGCAGCAGCAACTGCATGTGCTGTTGCCCAACCAAAGAGTTAATGGGATAACGGATCAGGCATTAGTCAATGTATTTTTTTCATAAGAATTCCAGTCCATACATAGTGTTGCGTGTATGTTAATCCTTGTACAGTTAGTGGTTTTTGAAATTTATTTTTGCATAAATAAATGTTTCTATATTCTCAACGATTTAACGGCTTGGAAAGTTTTTGTTATCAGTCTCTTAACTTATCTTTTAAAATGCTTTTAAATGTAAAGGCCGTTAGACATGAATTAATGAATTTAATATTCCTTGAAGGAATAATTTGTATCAGGTGTGGATGAAGGGGGACAACCTGGGTAAAGTTGATACCAAAATTGACAAAAGTTCCATGAAAAATGATTACATTCTTCTTATAAATTAAAAAATTGGCAAAATTACGAAAAAAAAATTATTTTGCTTTTTTGTATTTATCAAAATATTCCTTTAAGATATACTAAATATTTAATATATAAGAATTAAGTTTTTAGTTTAGTCAAAATCGAATAATATCATATAGCTGTCATAAAAACTATTGCAAAATGTAGCCCAAAACTTTTATTTTATTTTATTATTGCTTAAGTTTACTAATTAAAAAAAATGTTGCTTTATTGATCGCATCTTATAATACTTTTATTAAATGCCCTTTCTCAAGTCATCATCCTTGATCTTTTCCGGCGGGCTCGATCCCCCCTCCATGTCCCTGTTAATTGATGCGAGGAATCGTTGAAAATGACGACGTCCTGACAAATACCACAACGCCTCATGGTAGCTTGTGGGCAGGATCTCCGGAACCTTGTGATTGCAGGAATAGGTCAGGTGCAGAGTATTGCTGTGAAACTCCGAAAAGTTGTTGCCATCAATCGCGTTCACCACGGTCATCAGCTGAACGTAATTATCTTGGGTATAAACTACGTAAGCCCGTAGTTTCATATAGCTGTGCACGGGGATCTGGTGGGTGAAAGTTATATCAGATATGAAACGGATCACTGAATAGTCTCCGCCGTAGAGGCAGGCCGTGATGTAGCTCGTCTCGATGGCACTGCGGATGATGAAGCCTCCGAAGATGGTGTTCGCTTCGTTGCGGTTCTGCGGGAACGGATGCAATAGGGTGCTGCGGTGCCACTCGGACATCCAGCGGCAATCCGGGGGCAGAGTGGCAGTCTGCGAAAGTCCTTCGATGCCCTTGGTCCGAGTGAACATCTCGTACATAATCTGCTCCTCCTCCTTCGTGGGCTGCCGTTTGGAGTCCAATCGAGACAACTTTTCCGCCCGCCGTTTGTGCCGCTCAAGGGCCTCTCGGTAGAAGCAGTCCTCTAGCTCGTTCGCGGGCATCAGGGGATTTACTGGGGCCGGGCCGCTATTGGTGGCATCACGAGCTGCTATCATAAAAATGGCCTTCGCCAGCAGCAGCCCGTTTTGGCGAACGTACGCCGTGATCTCCATGGAGCTGTTGCCTGTCCACGACACGTGACCCGAGAGACTCACGTCCACGTCTGCGCTGAACTTCTCCACTAGGAAGTGAGCATGGTCCACCAGCAGGGTGACGAAAGTGTACGGTAGTGGAACGCCTTCCGGAAGCTTCGGTGGAAAAATATGGCGGTGGCAAATCCACACTACAAAAAAATATATTTAAATACATATATGCATACGGCCTTTTTTTATTATTTGGAGTACATATTTTGATCGCTCTTTTCCCTTTTTCACCACCCTTGCGGAGAGTATTATAATTTTAGTTATATGTTTACAGCGAAGAAGACATTTCCGAATTCATAAAATCAAAAATTAAAAAAAAATACATCTGAAAAAACGGACGGACAGACAGATGGAAGGACGGACAGCCGGACATGGCTAGATCGACTCTCCTCGTTTTGGTTGAATTTGACTGATTTAAATACAATCATGTTTGGGAAATGCTATGGGAATTGAACTCAACCGGTTAAAGCGTCTCCGAAAGAGTGCTTTTGGGAAAGTTTTATCCAGATTGCTCTAAAGTGACAGAAAGGGTCGGACAGATTGGCGGACGGACATAGCTAACATTGATCCTGATCACGAGTATACATAACTTGATTTGTTCTGTTATTTTGCTGCTTATTTATTTTTTTAGTTTTTAAAGTCACTTGATAAATCAGAAGAGAATCTACCGAGCAAAAGCAAAACAGTGAATTTTTATGTTTTATAACCACAAAATTTTAATTTGAATTTTTATTAATAGTGGACATTGATCCTTTTGATTAAAGTAGGTTTTAAATGCATTTTTTTAAAAAGAATTCTTAGCTTAACTTAATTTATTTCTAACGAAAACGTAATTTTTGTAGTTTTTTAAAACGAAAACTAATTTTTTTGGGTGTATAACTACACTACACAACACGCATCCACTAATAATAATATTTGGTACAAGCATTTTAATTTTTGGAAAATTCAAAATTGTCAAAGTGTAACAAGCTCAATTACTTGTATTTATAAATGTTGAAAATTGATATGTTCATATGTATGGGAAAAAAGGAACACCTTTAAAAGTCAAGAATTTTGCTATCATCTAGACATCATAACGTACCGGATAGAAGATCGAGTTCCTCCATTATCCTGCCCATGCGCAACAAGCCAACCCCGTATACAAAGCGCTCCCTCATCAGCGCATCGTTTTCCAGGAGTATGTTGGCGGTTGTGTGCGAGTCCATCATGGAGCGCTTCGGTAACTCGCTGCGCTTTGGCTGAAACTTGAGCAGCCCTTCCCGGCTCTTGGGGATTGCGTGGTAGCCCCCTTCCGCCCCGACGTGCTCTCGAATTTTCTTGCCCACTGCGCTTAGAATTTATGTCAACGGGGAGGTACACGGGGCTTGCTTACTCTTACCGTCAGCCATGGTTCCCGAGCAGTGTCCTGACTCCAGTTGCTCCCCGTCGCATTCCACAAACCGGTGACGGAGAACTTGGAGCTGAGGGTTCAAACTTGGAATGGCAATAATCCGCCTACGCAAATGCATTTTGAATTTAGGGACTCGTTCTCTATACAAAACTTCCTACCCTTTTCCACATTTTGTACACAAAAATGTGTATGTCAAATTCCATTATAGAGGAAATATAAATGATGTAATGATTTACTTTTAGCACACATAAGCAAACGAAAAAAAAAATAATTTAATGTATTCGCACTCACTAAAAATTGTTATTAATTTCAATCCGAAGTTTGTATATGTGTGTACATATCATAAAAAAGTGTACCAGATGGTTCCTATTTAATGTACTGGATATATTAAGTCGAACCATATGCAAAATATTTAAGCTTGATCGTAAAAATACGATTGGAAACAAGATGGAAAAGCGTATTATGTGACATATGTACATATATAACATAAAGACTATAGGAAAAAACAGCAAGATTTATATGCCAGATAAAAATGTATATGTTGTTGTTGTTTGGGCCACTATAACTTGGCAAAATTATTTGGGAGCTTATTTTAAAATGACTGGACTGTTAGAAGTTTTTAACACTTTTTGTGGTAAAATATTAAATTTACGCAAAAAAGTAATTTAACATAACATTTAATTCAACAAGATCCTTAAACTTTTGATTAACATTTTTTGGATTAAATTCTCTTTTTAGAGGGTAATTATTTGTATTCAGGGCCCTCAAATATATTTATTTATTTAATTAGAAATCGATCGTCGTAGCTTTTCGGAGGTCTATCCAGATATCTTAGAGTATTTTTAAGAACATTAAGATAATATTTTGACTTCAATTGGACGAAATGTGTATCAGAGAAATGGCGAAAGAAAATATTTATCAAGTGCAAAAATTATATTTTACGATACTTTTGCGTAAAATATTTATCTAGTTCTAACATAGCTCTTTCGAATTATTATTGAGTTTCGGTTTTTATATAAATAACATTTTGCTGAATATGGATCTAATTGTCTAATTTGAAGGCACTCTTTTACAGTTTAGATAGATTTCGGTTTAAGATTTTTACGTCAAACCGATTTTCGAAATTTTGATCGGCCATTAAAAACTACTTTTCTTTTATAGTTGTAAAAAAGAAATTCTAAAAATTTAACACCCACAAGAAGTTCTGCAACAAGTATTGGCACACTTTGGAGACATCTCCGACCATATAAAGTATATATATTCTTGATCAGGATCACCTCCTGAGTTGATATAGCCATGTCCGTCTGTCCGTCTGTCCGTCTGTCTGTCCGTCTGTCTGTTTCTACGCAAACTAGTCTCTCAGTTTTAAAGCTATCGAATTGAAACTTTGCACACACCCTTCTTTCCTTTGCACGCAGTATATAAGTCGGAACGGCCGGGATCGGCCGACTATATCCTATAGCTGCCATATAACTGAACGATCGGAAATGCCATAACTTTGGTGTTTTTAAAGTTAGGAAGTTGGGATTTTTTATGTGTTTTGTATTTGGCCAATCAATTTGACGTACCAAATTTTATAAGGATCGGCCGACTATATCCTATAGCTGCCATATAACTGATTGATCGGAAATGCCATAACTTTGGTGTTTGTAAAGTTAGGAAGTTGGGATTTTCTATGGGTTTTGTATTTGGCCAATCAATTTGACGTACCAAATTTTTTAAGGATCGGCCGACTATATAGTATAGCTGCCATATAACTGAACGATCGGAAATGCCACAACTTTGGTGTTTGTAAAGTTAGGAAGTTGGGATTTTCTATGTGTTTTGTATTTGGCCAATCAATTTGACGTACCAAATTTTATAAGGATCGGCCGACTATATCCTATAGCTGCCATATAACTGATTGATCGGAAATGCCATAACTTTGGTGTTTGTAAAGTTAGGAAGTTGGGATTTTCTATGGGTTTTATTTTTGGCCAATCAATCCGACCTACCAAACTTCATAAGGATCGACCGACTATATCCTATAGCTGCCATATAACTGATTGATCGGAAATGCCATAACTTTGGTGTTTTTAAAGTTACGAAGTTGGGATTTTTTATGAGTATTAAGAATGCATCATATGAATAATTTTGGAAAATATAATTTACAGAGTATTCTGCAAGGGTATATCAACTTCGGCTCCGCCCGAAGTTAGCTTTCCTTTCTTGTTTTTTACTTACTTATTACTTTTAAGAATTTTTATCCTTTTTCCTGTTAAGTCCCAGTTATCTCATACTTTAAATGGCAAAATGACTAATAAGATATTGAACATCAGTCTTAAAGTCATTGCTTTGGCATCATAAAAGTTCGGCAGCAAAATAATTTAATTTAAAACCGTACAAAATTAATGCCTTTAACTTATCTTGTTAACGAATAGTTTTAAATTATCTTTATCTTTGCATTGCTATTTATTTAAGTTTTAAAAAGCCCATCTGAGGCCCTACATTCCCAGTCCGCTCCGTTTCAAAAGCAGCATTGGCATTTTACCGCTGGTCTCGTACGGTCACACTGCAGGGGCATACGTTTGTTTCCATATGAAATGAACTGACTGTTTTTATTCGGAGTGCGAAAAATGGACAAAGCTTCTTTTGGACCGATATTCTTTATATAACGGCTTTGCGACTAGACAACCGAAAGGAGTTCGACTTACTTATCTGGCGCCACCTAAGCGTGGTCGTCCTGCTCCAAACACCTTCCCTCAACCCCGTGCTCCGCTCCTGGGTGCGCGAATCAATTACAGCAACGTCGTAACGCGAAAATCGATTTCGGCTGCGGGCGCAGGCTGAACCATCAGAAAGTATGTTCCACTGCGATGTGGACACAGGGATAGATATGACATCGCCCAGCCGGATGAAGAACGCAGCCGATCGCCGGCAGCACCAATCCTGGCCGCAGAGATGCCGGCGGAGCAACATGCTTATCCTGGTCGGAGTCGCCTTGTGCACCCTCGTTTCAGTATGCGACGCCACGGACACGGACATCGCGCTAGACGCCAAGGCCACGCTGAATCACCGCATCCAAAGCCTGGACCTGCTCGTTTTCGTGTTCCTGCTGGCCCTTACGGTCCTTACCATCTGGCTATTCAAGCACCATCGCGTCTCCTGGCTCCACGAGACCGGACTGGCAGTCATCTACGGTACGTTGGGTGCATAGGCTTACAGGGGGTATTATACTTTTCACCACTAGCTTGAAGTGAGGGTGGCACATTCTGTCCCAAAAAAACACATTCACATATGTATGTGTTTTAATCTATCTAGTTACACAGTTTTAAAGCCTAATGGAACTTTTAGAACTGCTATTTTAATATCTCAGGTAGTATACATATAGCTACACAGAAAGAAAACGGTAGATCATCATATATATGTTTTGTTTTTAATAATTTTGGACCAATTCGACTTAGTTAAACAAAATGTTAAAACAATATTCTTTAACACCTGTCAATTTGTTTATTATAACAAAAATAAATAATAAGGTTAATGAATATATAAATGCATTGCGCAGCAGTGCGACCTGAAACAGTGCTTCGATTTAGAAATTATTAAGCTTTTTTATATGAACAGATTTGTACCTTTTTTTTCTGTCGTTATATACTCGATATAAGAATTCTTCTAAGTCAAATAAAATAATTTATCACGAGTTTGAAAAGGTAGTAAAATTTAACCCAAGCCGGATAACTATTTTTTACATATTGTCTATGGCCAAGTTTCCTTAACTTGGTTTTACAAATTTTTCTGTGTTTTTCTCAAAGCACTTTATTATCGGTCACCTGCTGGCACTGTAGCCCCTGCACTTGCATCGCCGCCGCTTTCATTGTCACCTCTTTGTTGTCACATATTCGGAATTAAGCTTTTGTGTACGCCAGCCGTGACATTACGTACAAGCATTTGGGAGGCATTAAAAGAAACGCTGGGCAGAAAAAACGTCAATAGCCATAGAAGAACCTGCACGCAACGTCAATAGAACTCTTTGCAACGAATTATAATATACGAGACCTTGTCGTGCTTAGTCAGCCACTATCTTTGGGGTTTTCCGTCAAAATACGATTTCACTGCTTGTTCATGATCGCGGCACACTGCTGAATAACAAAGTGTTATTCTAACATTTTCATAAAGCAATGTAGCAATAAAAGCGCAAACAAGATTTCTTTCAGCTAATTGAAGCTAATGAAACAATTCAATAAAACAGGTTAGGCTGGTCATTGGCGAATTCCTGGGGCGGGCGTTAATTTGAATTGGTTATCAAGCTTGCCCCAACAGAGCGGGTAAAAGCTTTTTGTTATGCGCGGCTCGATTTATCACCCCCAAGATTTATTTATTACAAAATGTGGAAAGGCACCGCTTCGGTTCGTACTGGAAGCAAATCAAACAACTCCCTTGAGCACTTGTTGACTGATAAAGTTTGACTAAGCATATTTCTTATCGGTTTGTTTTTATAAGTCACACTTTGCGATAGGTCAGGCCAGAACCAGAAACCAGCCATATGGCCTTGTATTATGTTTAACATTAAATTTAAAAAGTCAGAATCTAATCTTTTTGCATTCTTTCTGTCCATATAAACCAACACCACTAAAAATATTTTTATAAAAATATATACCCAATTTTTACAAAAAGTAATTAAAAGAGTAGAGGATTATGCTAGAGGCAGAATTAATGTTTTCTCCATAGCTAGGGTTTTCATTATTTCAAAAAAATTAATTTTTTTTATGAGCATTGTACAATTTTCAATATGTCGGCAATTTAAATGCTAAACCAAATGGATGCTTATCCCTATTTGTTTACTCTTTTCAGGTTTAATTGTAGGAGCAATTATACGGTATGCGGGCACCTCCGCCACCCTTGTCCATATGCAGGTGGAGCCGCAAGGAGTTCCGACGTACAGCGACAAGGTGCCGCCCGATACACTCTGGTTTAACGTAAGTCATTTACGAGAAAACTAGTCAAAGCTAAAATCTTTTTATTTTAGTACCCCGTTAACCAAACGAATGGAACCAAAGTGCCAGAGGGCATTAAGACGTATGCCTATGTTTTTCGGGGTCAGGTCCACGATGTCGATGAAAACGAAATCGATCTTAAGGCAACTTTCGATCCGGAGGTGTTTTTTAACATTATCCTACCGCCAATCATATTTTACGCAGGTTACAGCTTGAAAAAGGTATATTTTATATTACATTTTATAAAACAAAATATACCAACTCTTGCTTTTTGCAGAAATATTTTTTCCGAAACCTTGGTGCCATTCTCACCTTTGCCATTGTTGGCACCACTTTATCGGCCTTTCTGGTCGGAGGCTTCATGTACGGCTGTGTGAAACTGATGCCAAAGTACTTGAGCAGCAGTTTCTCATTTCTGGACACTCTTTACTTTGGAGCCCTGATATCACCCACAGATCCGCTCACGATTCTAGCCATATTCAATGATCTGCGGGTCGATGTTAACCTATATGCGCTAGTCTTGGGCGAATCTGTGCTTAACGATGCCGTGGCCATTGTCCTTAGCGGGTATGTTTTGTATTCTCTTTCAATTTATTGGAATTAATAAGTAATTATTTTTTCAGAGCCATTCAAAACTATGGTGAACATTATTCCAACACAGGGGAATTCGAAACTACAGCTTTTCTGCGCTCTCTAAGTGACTTCTTTTCCATCTTTATACTGTCCCTGATGATTGGAGCTGCAATGGGCTGCTTGACAGCTTTGATATCCTTTCCAAAAATAGTTTATACTTAAGTATTTATTTAAGTCCCACAGCTAGGCCAGTTACTTTCTTAACTCTTAAAACACATGACCAAGTTTACGAGGGTGCGCGACTTTCCCCTACTAGAGTCGGCGCTCTTCGTGTTAATGAGCTACAGCACGTTCTTGCTGGCAGAGGCTACACAGCTCACTGGAGTGGTGGCCGTGCTCTTTTGCGGCATCTGCCAGGCTCACTACACATATAACAACCTCTCGGAGGATTCTCGGCAAAGGACAAAACAGATCTTCGAGCTGCTCAACTTTCTGGCTGAGAACTTTATTTTCTCCTATATTGGAGTGTCGATGTTTACCTTTCCCAAGCATCATTTTGACGCAGGATTTATCATAACAGCTTTCGTAAGTTTTTAATATAGATAAACATCGAAAGTGTTTCGCTCAATAATACTTAACATTTTCAGATCTGCGCCGCTATAGGACGTGCGGTAAACGTGTATCCCTTGTCCTGGTTGTTAAACATAAAGCGAAAACCAAAAATCTCGGCAAACTTTCAACACATGCTGTTTTTTGCAGGCATGTTTTTAACTTTGGATCTCGAAAAGTTTCCTGTAATGAGCATGTCTTTATTATAGGGTTACGTGGAGCCATGTCCTTTGCGTTGGCTATTCGAAATACAGTGTCGGATGCGCGACAGACTATGCTGACCGCCACTTCGCTGATTGTCATCTTTACGGTTGTAATCCAGGGTGGGGCAGCTAATTTTCTGCTCAATTGGTTAAAAATACCGTGAGTCACGACATATATACAAATTCTTCCATCACAATATCATCAATACCATCACTTAATTGCAGTGTTGGCGTTGACGATGAGACTGAACAATTAAATAATTACCAAGTGCATAGTGTAAGTATACAAATATCACGTACAAACGTGCTCGTAGAAAATATTTTGCAGTAATTAAGTAAAAATTTTTTTTGAGATTAAAGGTCTATTGAGATCAAATACCAATACGTGAATTTCATTAAAGAAAGACATTTTTTACAACTTTTATTGAAAGCATGGAGTTTGCAAGTGCATTGCTCAATCTGCAATTTCTCTCTTTCATTCTTTAAAAGTTTTTAACTCATAATTTTTGTTATTTATACATTTCTACGCACTTCACAACATTAAACCATCTGCTAAAAAAGGTTTACAATTCAATGGATAATTCACACCCGCAGACGGTAGGTTTTGGCAATAATCATTTAATACCAGTCCGTTTTTTTATATTCTGAAATTTTATAATTTGTTCTTAACTTTACAATATTTATTATCGAGCCTTTGGCAGGCCCGTCCTCATTGCCGAATTTAAATTTCTCCATCGTGGATTACCCTCATCGAACGCAGAGCTAAATCCATTTAAATGAGTTTTCTTTTAGTCTGATGGTTACTTGCAGGATGTGGAGAGCGGGGCAGGAGGTCACGGCAAAATGCGGTTGTCCGGTGGAACGGAGTCCAACATGGACACACCTGCGGATGGGCCAAATGGCAGCTTGGGCGGCCCAAGCGGTGGACGTCGTCGTAACAGTCATGAGAAGGCCATTCTGGCTAGAATTTGGGGAAACTTTGATACCAAGTAAGTGCCAACAGACAATCAGAATTGGAATTCGATTTAAAAATTATATTATACCTTAAGGTACATGAAGCCTATGCTGACGCACTCGCGACCGACTTTGTTGGAGACGTTGCCCGTTTGCTGTAATCCCATTGCCAGGCTGCTCACCACCACGCAGCAGCTAACCCAGGTGAGTAGGGCAGCGCACCGCTGGCATGAGGATCCTAATTAACTGCCATTCTTTTCAGGATGGGAGCGAGTTCAGGCGCGTGGACTCAGACTCGGATATTTGCATAGACAATGATACTGGGAATGGTCTCAGTCAAGACGTCGGACCTGGAACAGGACCAGGCGTGGGGCGGCGGAACTCACTAAGTCGTGTAAGTATCAAGTACACCGGCGATAATCACCATCTACTTGCTAGCTACCGAAATATTGAATAACCGAATGTGCGAAGCAACCACCAAAGACTAATCTAGGCGTAGAAAGCTGGCCATTAACACATGAAACCAAAAACCTCAACTAAACGAAATACTAAGAGTCTACACCATAGATCCTTTGGCAAAGTAGACACATTGTTTTTGGTCAACTGTTTGACTACCATGAAAATGTGATTTTTGTTTAACGATATTTTGTTATTGTATAATTTAAATGTTGATTTTCTGGTGTAAAAGGCGGGGATCGTATAATTTTGCACTTACTCTTAATATCGTTGATTAATTGTTTAAGTTTGTGCGCCAAGCGATTTCAAGTCGACAATTAAAAAACTTATGTAATATTGATTTGACTGTTAACTACTGTTTAATGCATGCTTACCAAATATACTTACATATATAATCAAAATGTAACAACTCTCTCAGCAATGATATTAATTTATTTATTCATTTCTGCGGCATCTTTCTTTCTTTCTGTCTTTCCTTCGACCAATCAATCATCTAACTAACCCATGCGGACTCCCTTATCAATTTAACTTTGGTTGCTTTAACAATAACAATAAAAACTCCAAAAACCAATGAAAAACTGCATTCATCTAAAACAAACTATGTCATGTTAAAATTTATTCATTGATTATGCCCAAAACAAAAGTCTGTTCAATTGAATGAAGCCAATCGCCTTGCAAATGAACTCTGCTTGGTTACTAATAATTTCATGTAATCATTTCTATGGGAAATCAAGAGATCGAGCCAGTCTCTTATATGTTTTATTAATTTACTATTTATAATGTTTTTGTTTGTTTTTGTCTACTTTTCCTTGGTAAACCATATGTTGTAAACGAAGCACAGACGGAAACCCAGACATAATAAACTAAATCCAGAGTCAGTCAGTCCAGTCAGTGAATTGATTAACCGACTAACAAAAGCTTATTATAGCACAGCAGCTAAAAATGTTCGTTTGTACTGTACACTTTTAATTTCTGTATTTTTCCTCATAATCTAATTTAATAGATTCTAACACGCGACTAACCATGTAAGTACAAATTGAATTACAGTTGATTTCCTCATTTCCTTATGTATATAAATACCTTTTCAAAGTTAAAAAATAATCATGCATTCACTTTAAATTATTTACATGAAACATATTTTGATTTTTTCAAACATTTTTGTTTTATTTCTTAGGTATGAGGCGAACATCGAAATTTTTACAATAAGTTTAATTAATTTTTATGTTATTTATTAATTGGTCTCATTTAAAATGAAGTATGCGAAAACTGTACAAATTAGATTGTTACTCCTCAGTTTCTCCTTGTTTACGGTATGTGATTTGGAACTCTAGTTTTAAATCTAATTTAAATATTAGGCTTATCAATTAATTTAAAAATTGTTTCGCAACGAACTAAAATTCTTAAGGGCACTCAAACTAAAAAGGCTACCGATCATCGAGCTGACACACACCAATACAATACCTTAAAACACATGCATATATATCCTGTTTAAATCTATTATTTTCAATACTTAGCAATTTATATATTTTGCCAAAATATAGATATAATAAGCCTAATTAAATGGACTTGTGAAAATTAATATGAATACTTATATAGACATATTTCCTTTTTCTTTATTTGATATCGCGAAATATGCAAACATTTTAATAATATTCGCCTGAACCCACAAAAAATAATTGTATCCAGATGGAGATTTTGGAGCATGTTCAAAGTCCGGTGTCGACGAGAATCAGACTCTTAGGATTTTATGGAAAAAAGTTATAAAAAGCAAGGCAGAAGAATTAGAATATAATTTTTGTTGTATTTTACATAACATTAACATGTAGCTTTTTCGTTCTTACAAAGTTACTGTAAATATATCGTTTTAAAAAGTTAGAACGTTTATTCGGTTTAACTTATAAGTTAAAATACCGATCAATTTGCTGATCTATTAATTTGTTCCGATATTACCTAAGACACAATTTCTTACTACATACATACGCTGTATTTGTATCAAAGCGAAGCTCTCTGAAGAAATTAATTGTTGTGCTGTTAATTTTTAAGTCTAAAAAAATAAATTTGAAAAAAAAAATCGTTTTATTTCAAGAACAAGTTATAACTGAAATTGACTAGTCAATATACTCATTTTGACAAATCATTTCTATGGCAAAAGTTAATAACACCAAAACAATTATTTTTATTTAAAAAATCTTGCGGGTTAGCGGGGCCGAAATTCGTACTTTGGTATATTATTACTCTGTGGCTTTGGGCACACTGCGTCAGCGCGCTTCTTTGACAACAGCAAACTCTGGGAATTACATTGAATTTATTGATATTTGAAATGGAGGTGGTGAAGCGTGGCTTCGTTCGCGCCTGCAAGAACCACAGCTACCTGAGCTATGAGCTGATCGACAACATTCTGTCCCCGCTGTGCGCCAACCACAAAGTATCAAAACCCTCCAGCAAGGAGTCCGTCAAGGTATTTGTGAGCGAAATAAACGACTCCCTCAACGACTTGGGTCAGTCGCTGGTTTTCATCAAGTATCCGATCAAGGGCGAGGAGTATCTGGTGTACGTCAAGACAGATGCCACGCCCGATAGCGTTTCGAACACGGGCCTCACCCCCGAGGAATGCCAGTACTTCTCCAAACTGCTGGACAGGATTGCCGCCGAGGAGGACTGCAACATCCCCTGGAATGCCGCCTACAGCGAGCTCTTACTGCAGGGCACTTCGAAGACGGTGAAGAAGAGCCGCATGCAGGAACTGCTCCAGAAGTGGACGCAAATGGGCTACTTCATGGAGCTGGACGAGAGAATTTTCCTGGGACCACGCAGCCTCGTTGAGCTGAGCTTCTACTTGGGCTCCCATCACGAAGAGCACATCAAGAACTGCATGCTCTGCAAATGCCTGGTGCTCTGGGACACCCGCTGTGGATCCTGCAACATTCAGTTTCATCGCGAGTGCATCCACACTTATTTGCAGCGGCGCGATATTTGCCCGTCCTGCGGCAACCTGTGGACAACGCCTTTAAGACGATCCACAGATTCTTCTCAATAAATAAAGTTTCAGAAAAAATAATATAGATTTGGATTTTCATATACATATCTGTGATACCACTTGTATTAACTAATCGATGTCAAGTTTGCAAATATAATAATAATAATAATAATTTAGGAACTATTGGAACTAAATTAATGAAAAAAGCAGGAACTTCAGTTTCAATTCCTTTCCATATTTCAATATTTTATATAGGTATTTTGCAGAGAGGTTGGGATGAAAACATCGCCACCTACTTAAATCTTTGCGCTTTAAAGTGTTTAGCCATAACATTTCAAAATGCATTGAAACCTCGCCAATAAATTTTTAAATTGAAAGGTGAAATCAGTACATTAACATCTAATAAAAAATAAACCAAGACTATTAAATTTTTGTTTAAAACTTTTTGCTATTTTTCTTTTTACTCTATTTTTAAATATATCTGCAAATTATAGTTTTCTTTACCCAATGTTTACTGTTTAAGTAACTGTATTAACTCTCTTGAAGCCTAGAAATAAAAAGCTCGCTACACAATGATTTTGAAAATGGCGCAAGCACACAGAAAGATTTTAATGTTCGTCGAGATGAGTCCGTGTGATAGTCCCAATAAAAATTCAAAACTGGACAAAAAGTCCCTGACCCCTTTCAAAAAGGTGCGACGCAAGAATTGGAAACAAGAAGCGGCCTACAAGGTGAAGAAATGTGCCCAACAAAGTGCAACTAACTAAACACAAGATTCTTTCATAACTAGTGTGGTACAGGGAAAAGCCAGGAGGTGTCCAATGTCGGTGAAAGGTTTATCCCAAAGCGCTTTGCGCGGGAGGATATTGAATTCAACTTGAAGTACATTGGCCAGCGAGAGGAGCGGGATATTCTGGAAACGGTGAGAACAGAATATTCGACTACACTCTTGATATTTTCATTTAATTCTAATGTCCAGGGTGTGACATTGACGGCTAGCTACTGGCTGCAGAGCGGCTTTATAGCCAATATCAATAGCACATTTGGGATCCAGGAGCGGCGCCTGCTTCAGTTTAGCATTCAGCAAAGGAACCGATCCATGGTGGTGGAGTGTGACTCTGCGGACTCGGACTGGCCATGTAATCCTCGTGCGCGACCCCATGCCATTCAGAATGCCACCCATGAGATGCCCGGAATTTGCAGTCCCGTCGATTACAACTTAATGGACTGGTCGTCCGGCGGCATGGTAGCTATGTCTTCCGGCCAGGACATCATGTTGTGGCGAAACCTGGACGAAAGTACCATGGTGTTTAGTGTCGAGTCGCCCACTTCCCTCAAGTTCTCGCCGGACGGCAAATACCTGGCCATCGGCTGCATGGATAGGAACTACCCAGGTATACCAACCTATCACCTCACCCTAACATAATGTTCCTTGATTGTCCTCTTTCATCAAAGTCCTTGACCTCTGGGAGGTGAGGTCGCCGATGGAGTTCTTAGTCTCTTATCGAAAGTTGTTATTTAAGTCCATGGGCTGCATAAGTTGCATTGAATGGTCTCACGACGGCAAGGAACTCACTTGTGGTACCTACTGCGGACTGATCCTCTTACTGGCCATGCCCAATTTAAGAACGCTAAAGAGTTTCCGCGAGCACCGTCACAAGGTAAACAAAATCAAGTTCGATCCCACCCGAAAGTATTTTGCGTCCAGCGATACGGATGGCCAAATTTTCATCTTTGATGCCGTGTTGAAAATTCGCCTTTTGAAACTTGGCGGCAGAGAAATAATCTTCGATTGGCATCCCTGGACCGGTGAGGACTTGGCTGTAGGTAAGTCAAAGGCAGTTAATTCACTAATATTAATAAAAACAGTATCTTACAATTTAGCAGAAATCAAAAATTGATGATTCATTTAGTAGATACAAAAATAATTAATAGTATATGAAATTCATTAAATATCAAATATTTTGCTTTCCAGCGGAGCGGTGTCCAGCCTCTATTTTTATTTTCAACATCCCACGCCGACAATTTGTGGCCTCATACAGGCGCAGGGATGACAGGATAGTAATCAAGACAGTCACATTTAGCAAGATCACGGGCGAGCTGCTGGTTAACGTTATAAGGCGTGGTGGGAATTTACTTGACTACACATGTTTATTAATTTAAGTAAATTTGATTTCGGTATCTGCAGATGATGATTCGGACTTCGCGGTGTTTGAAATTCTGGTGCTGGCCTCCTTAAACCGAGTTGTTGACTTGTTGTCCCACCAGGAACGCGGCACTCTTTTCCTGATGTGGAGTCCAGATGGAACCAACATTGCCACGGGCGGCCTAGATGATACCTTTTCCATGTGGAACTTCTTTCCCACCCACAAGCGAAAGGCCATACTCCGAAAACAAGCGCAACAGGCCAAGGACAAATGCAGCTCCTTGAGCCTGTATAAAGGGATTCGGTGATCAGTTTAGAGATTTTATTCGTGTACGTGTCTGTCTTTTGTTTAAACCAATTGTGCTTTTCATTATTTATTCAATTCATATTCCTTCCATAAAAATTCCATTGGATTTAACTTAAGCGTTGTTTACTCTAAAATGAACATAAGAAAATGGGCCTCTTCACCCAAATCAAAGGTAAGGAAGTAAAATTCCATTGTTCACCTTGGTTACAGTATTGAAATTTGGTAACTAATCACTAGGCTAGAGGTATGTAATGATTTTCGTAAAAGACATCCTCCTCTCAATAGTCGTCTTGACTGGGCCTTGAATTGGCGATCGGGGAGTGCCACTCCTGCTGGAAGAGGTACTCCGCACAGGCTTCGGCTTCCTCGCGACGTTTTTGGAGAAGATGGGGCTGAATGACATAGCGATGGGTGGTGTAGACGAGAGCGGTGGATCCGATACCAATGGCCATCAGACCGACAGTCGTTGTGGCGAATCTTTTGAGGCCGTTAATGAAACTCATCTGGGGGTAAGAAGAAATTGAAATTGTTTAAATAAATCCAGATTTAATTTAGGTGTATTCTAACTTTGTGGAACCACTGGGTTCAGCTGCTGGCTCGCTATCCGTTTTCTTATCGGTTTTGAACTTCAATATCAGTGGCTGCCAAATGTAAATACCGCCCAGGACCCCAATTGCCGTGACCACCATTAACTGCGGAACTGTGACACCTCGCGGACGACGAATTTGCATGGCACGTGCTTGGACTCTGTCTATTTAATTACTATTTAACATAAAATGCACAACCTTCTTTTACCGGCTGCTGTTACATCAACGCACCTTCACTATGAGATTTGGCTTTGGATCAGCTGTTGGCAACTCTTGCTGACCAACACTGGTTCCTGTCCGATGTTGCCAGATATCCAGTCGCATAACTTTAGCTTATTTAAAATTACAATTTTATTCAAAAGCTATTAATATTTGTCAGAATTGAGTCTTTGAAGCGGACGTAAAAAATAACATATTAGAAAAACCATACGCAAACAAAATTTCATTGGGCAGAATATTTTTTTCCACGGAAATTGGAAAACTTTTCTCAATTGGAAAAAATTTAAAAGAACCATTTTTTTTCGGAACGAGCCGGATCGTCGCACGACTTATCATATAGCTCCCATAGGAAAAAAAGGTATAACATTGTTGCTTTTAATTTGTTGTTTGTTCTTTGGGATATACGCATATAGTATAAGCGAGTGAGAGAAGGACCTTAAAATGATCATTCAAATAAGGAAATTATTTAATAAGCAATCGTATGTTGAGATTGGAGAAAGGATGTCCGTTTTTACCAAGAAGTCAGGAAAGCGTAAGGATTGCATAAAAGAATATTGTCAACCCTTAGATCTACTCAACATACATACATATATCAAAGTTAAGGATAAGAAGAATTTTGTCATTCTATATAAAACAGGAACAAATTTCTTAAAGTTAAACATTAAACATTAAACATGTGCCAATAATTAAATTCGTTACTGTACATACCACATGTAATAACTATTTCTAATTAAATTGTTTAAAAAAAACAGTTAAATATAAATTCCTCTCAGTGCAAGTAAACCTAATGCCATCCCGTTTGTTCCATCCACTTCTCTTTCCTTCCATTATCATCTCTTCTTCAGACAACAATGACGTAGGCCGTGCGTTGCCATTTGGGAGTCCCAACAAAATCCACATACGCACAGCCACGGCAACGCCAAAGTCGACTGCGACTGCGGCAGAGGGGAGGCGAGAGCGGCTTGAAGCTGGTTTTTAAAATGGCTTGTCCGCTCAGTCCCGTCAGTCACTCTCTTTTGGAACGGCGCTTTCAACGGTTATCGCTCGCCGGAGCCCTCCCGATTCTCGCTCCCCACCGAAGCCCCGCATTTAACTGTTGCTTTGCTGCGGATAAGAAGCGCAAAGCAAACGGCAAAGAAAGATCAATACGAAGAAGCAAGTAAAGCAATGACGAAGATGGGCGGAAATTTGGCAATGATGCTGCTATTGCTGTTTTTAAGCGAGTTTGCCTCCGGAAATTGCAACTCCATACCGACGACTACGACGCCCCAGGGCGTTTTTGAAACCCGCACAGACAAGCTGCCCAGTGTGGCTGCTCCCCTTCCGTCCAGTGGCAGTGGAGTGGGTATCTACGATGACATAGACACCTTTGTGCCCTTCAGGAGCGACTCGCACGATCCCTTCTCATGGCACTTGCTCAAAACGGTGCTCCAAAACGAGACGGCCCCTAAAAATGTGATCATCTCACCGTTTTCCGTAAAATTAGTTCTGGCCTTGCTGGCCGAGGCGGCCGGAGCCGGAACCCAGACCCAACTGGAGCTGGCCAACACTCAGACTGACATCCGGTCGCAAAACAACGTTAGGGAGTTCTACCGCAAGACCCTAAACTCTTTTAAAAAGGAGAACCAGCTACATGAGACGCTCAGTGTGCGCACTAAGCTTTTCACGGATAGCTTTATTGAGACGCAACAGAAGTTCACGGCCACGCTAAAGCATTTCTACGACAGCGAAATAGAGGCCCTAGACTTCACCAATGCGGAGGCTGCGGCTGATGCCATCAACGCCTGGGCCGCCAACATCACCCAGGGCAGACTCCAACAACTAGTGGCACCGGACAATGTACGCAGCAGCGTAATGCTGCTGACCAATCTTATCTATTTCAATGGGTTGTGGCGCCGGCAGTTTGTAAACACTTTCCAAGGCGCCTTCTTCCGCAGCAAGGAAGATCAGTCGCGGGCGGAGTACATGGAACAGACCGACTACTTTTTCTACACCAACTCGGAGAAGCTAAAGGCACAGATTCTGCGTCTGCCCTACAAGGGGAAGAACTCTATGTTCGTGCTGCTACCGTATGCACTGAATGGTATTCATGACTTGGTCCAGAACCTCGAGAACGACGAGCTAAAGGGTGCCCAGTGGGCCATGGAGGAGGTAAAGGTGAAGGTAACGCTCCCCAAATTCCACTTTGACTACCAGCAGAACCTCAAAGAGACGCTTCGCAGCCTAGGAGTGCGCGAAATCTTCGAGGATAGCGCCTCGCTTCCGGGATTGACTCGCGGAGCCGATGTCGCAGGGAAGGTAAAAGTTTCTAACATCCTGCAGAAGGCCGGAATTAATGTCAATGAGAAGGGAACCGAGGCCTACGCCGCCACAGTCGTTGAGATCGAAAACAAGTTCGGCGGCAGCACCACAATTGAAGAATTCAACGTGAACCGGCCATTCGTGTTCTTCATCGAGGAGGAGTCCACCGGAAACATACTGTTTGCCGGAAAAGTCCACACTCCCACCACGCAGAACTAATTACCTAACGCGGTTTTATCTTAAAATATGCAATAAAAATATAAAGAAAACAGAGTGGGTGGTCTAGCTTTTAATATGGCTATATAACCAAGACAGCACTAACTAAGCAGCTGAAACAAACAATAATTTGTGGTTACTTTTTTAAAAACTATTAAATATTAAAAACTGTCATAAAACTTGTAAAAACTAAAAGTTCTCTTTACGAATTTATATTACCGTACTTTTAAAAGACTAACATTTCCTTCTCAAGCCCTAACAAAAATTCGAAACCTCTATTAGAATGCTCTTGACCCGCTTTTAATAATCGCTCGTTCGTTCGATTTCCCCTGCCGAGTTCAATTCCATCTGTACCCCATTTCATTCCAGTGGCTGATAAAGTCACTGGTAATGTCGTTGTTTGTTTTTTTTTTTTTATAATTTATGCCTCGCCTCTGGCGTACCTTGAACAATTGAAAGCAAAAAAAGTGAGAGATGCAAATACATTCTGCCACTGGGAATGTCCCACGTACGTAATATTTGCGATATCCATTGGAAGATCAATGGATAAACGTTCAGTCAGCAAATAGAACCTATGACTCAGGGGACTGCGAAGTTGTATGGAAAATCAGCAAATTAATTTCTGCTGATGTTTTGCACAAACGATAAAAACAGTTAGGCTAGAGAATTTAGGGAGATCTTAAAGGCAATTAATTGGTTAAGCTGTTTAGGCTTTTAAAAAAACTACAAGTTTGACCATCTAATAAAAAATGTGGTTAACATAGAGATTATATTAAAGATACCATCATTCATTACTTTTTTATCGTTTACTTTTAAATGAAGTTTTTGAGCCCACAAATTAGTTGGACCAGATATAAAAAAAGTTGACAAAATATTTTTTCATTTTTGTTCCAACGGCAGCTATATGATATGGTTGCCCGATTTTTATACCCTTGCAGAGGATATTATAATTGCAGTCAAAAGATTGCAACACAAAGTGCACATTTCTGACCCTATAAAGTATACATATATATTCTTTATCAGCATCAGCAGGCGAAATACAGTTTTACTTTTTTAAAAATTGGACAACATTATCATATAGCTTCCATAGAAATAACCGGGAAAAGGGAATAAAAAATGCATCCTTCGTTTCTTATTAATATATACCCATATATTCCAAGACGTTTAAGAATCGGACGACTATATATAGCTGCCATAATAACGATCGGAAACCGACCTAGCTTCATTGTTTAATGTTTAATTTTTCTAACAGCTGCAAGGGCATATAAACTTTGTCTTATTATTATTAAGTCATCCAATTCCGACGATTGCACGTATTATAGTGCAATAGAAAGAATACTTTTGGGCAAGTTTCATAATGCGAAGAAACCGACTGACTGACAGATGGAAGGATGGACATGGTTAGCTCGACTGGTTATTTGTTAAAAAACTCATATTTTAGTCTTAAATTTTTTGTTTGTATATGTTTGGAAATTCTTAAATATGAATTCTCTTATCTTTCTGATAAAAAATATAGCACATCCTTAGAGTTTTTGTGAAAATGAATCAACAGATAAGCGCCCGAGACTTGTGCGAGTGCAGTCATGAAAACCAGTTTACAAATATTACGTGAAAGTTTTCATTAAGGTGCATATTTGCTCTGCTCTCGAGTCATGAGCAAGACTGTCTGACTCAGACCGAAAGTAAATACTAAGAAAAGAGGTCCGATTAACCCTCTTTTACATTGTTAAAAAAGGTTGATAAGAAGTAAAAAAATTAAAACTAATTCATATAGAACAATATATAAAAATACAATTTTAAAAATTATCCTTATAAGCTCTTCACAACTAATATATAGTAAACACTCAAGATCGCTATCCTACAGATCCAGATCCCCACCGCTTTAGTTAATAGTCACACTAATGGTGTCCTAAAATCTTAGCCTATAACGTATTTTCCGATCTATATTCTTAAGCCACTTACCTCCGACATTGGGCAGCATTGTAATTGCTGATTGAGCCTGCATCTGAGACTTGCTGAAGGAGTTGTTCTGATGGCGAATATGAGGTTGTTGTGTCTGTTGTTGCTGGGACTGTTGATAGTGCTGCTTGTATTGCGTTGGAAAGTGAAGCTGGCTGGGCTCAAAAGTTTGGAAATGTTGGTTTTCAGCGAATCGCATGTTAGCATCAGCAGAAGGACGTCGATTGTTTGAATGAGATTGCTGATGGTGCTGTCCAGTCATGAGGTGACTAAAAGCTTGGCTATTGCCACCGCCCGAGATCAAGGCTTGGAGCAGTGCATTCGAGGCGGCATCCGGTCGGGCCTGGCGTTGCTGCTCACGGTTTAGTTGTGGCTGCTGAGCCTGATGCTTGCCACCACCATTAATCAACTTGGAGGTCTGTTCCTCCATCTTGCGCTTCATCACAGCATTTCGCATTATGACATTGGCATGGGCCTGCAAATCCTCCTGAGACAGTTGCTGCGGCGCCAGTGACTGTGGATTATGCTGCTGCTGCTGCCTTGCGGCCAATGTCTGCTGGACAATGGCCAGGTTGTGGAGATTTTGTAGTTGGCTGGCAATTACCGTGCTGGAGAGCATGTCCAGTTGGTGTTTGTGCTGCTGTTGCTGCTGCTGGGTGTTGGTGAACTGCAGAACAGCCGTGATTGCTTCGCGATCCATGTCGGTCAAACGTGGGTTGGCCAACTGCACAAGCAGTCCGTGCTTAGAAATTTCCCCTAAAAGAAAGACCAAATGTTTAACCGAGAGTTACAAGCATTCCGTAATTAGAAAGGACATAGCCGACCTTGCCCGGGAAAGTTCCGTCAAAACATAAGTTAGATAAATATTTTCCCACACATTATTATTAAATGCAAGCTAATTCACAAGCCAATATGGTTTTCTAGTTTTTCCTTTTTTCAATATTGTGGCACCTCTTTAAAAATAATGGCTTTTTATTACTCACTCGATTCTTCAATACCCAAATTGGGTTGAATATAAATTTCTCCACGCGATAAACTATTATCTACTATCCCTGATTTAAAATATTTAAAAAATCTACTTGTATAATTTTCGGAAAGGTAATTCTGCTATACCATTTATAAACCTTTCCAGAGGGTATTATAGTTTAAGTCAAAAGTTTGCAATGTAGTGGAGGGCACATTTCTGATCCGTCTGTCCGTTCGTTTTAATGTAAACTAGTCTATCAGTTTTATAAAATATATATGTGCTATATGATATCTTTCATAGGAACAATCGGAAAAAAGGAAATACAATTATAACATCTTTGTTTCCTAAAATACTTCTATACTCAGGGATTGGTCGGAAGATCAGAAATTGACACAAATCTACAATATGTTTGCATGGTTTTCATACGGGTTTTGTTGTTGATCAAAATTGCTCTTCTATTTTACAATTGTTTTTTTTATAGGTGCATCCCCCGCGCATTGCCCTATTTTAGCTTTAAGGTTATATAAACTTTGGTTGGCAAACTTTGCTTCTTATCTTGTTATGTGTAGTCTCTCCCAGACTTTGTTTTGGAAAATACAATAACCATATTTATTTTTTTTGAACCATCGTCCTGAAACTCAATAGAGGTTTTTCGGGCAATGTTAAACTATTTTGAATTCCTTTGGAAGTTCTGTGTTTGAAATAAGACATCCAGATTATTATTCAATAAGATCTTATATGTAAGAAATGTAATTTTTTCGCATTAAGTGTTTCTTTAGCTTACCTTTGGTCAGCCGGAGAAGGAGCAATTGAGTGTCAGCCCGTCCTAGGATCGCCTTAAGCTGCAGACCCGCCAAAAAGGCAGTCTGTTGCTGTTGCTGCTGGATTATGACGTGTTGCTTTTGTTGCTGCTGCTGGTACTGTTGCTGTTGCATAATGAAGTTAGAAATAGCATCGCTGCCTACCGCCGACGGTTGAGGTTGGACTTTTTGCTGTGGCTTAGTCGTACTGAGAGAGCCAATTAGCTTTTGAAAGTTATCAGACTGCTTTGTGGCAGAATCGACCGCAGTAGTCAGCGAGTTTCGACGCCATTTTGCCTCCAACTGATCCACCGACGGCATCTGACTCATGTGTCCCAACTGTTTGGGCACCGGATTTTTGGCTTGACAATGGTTTATTGCCTGCTTAAAAAAGTCGTTCAGCGAAGACGACGAGGTATTCCTCTCACGGGTGAAGAATGACATAAATTTAGAATTACTATTATTTGTATTTGTTTGCTGTTGCATTTGCTGTGGCTGCGTTTGTGGCGGGTGATTTTTATAATTTCCACTCTCATAATTCTGCTGGTTTTGATTAAACTTATCAAACTGAAACGAACGGACACTGCCTGAGCGTTTGTCATCTTTAAGCAAATGGTGATCGGCGGCCAGAACCTTGTTAATGCTGTCGACATTCTGATTATTGTTTGAATCGCTCTTGGGCATATATTTATTGCGGCTAATGGGCTCTGGATGCATCACTTTGTACTTATTTTGGTCAACCTAAAGAAAATTAACATTACGAAGTTTGTTATTTATTTTGCCATGAAGTAAATTTGATGCATTGCTAACCTTATGTTTTTGCGCCTCTCTCTCCTTTTCGCCAACTCCGGGATGTTTACAGCTTTCTTTGAACATTTTCTCCTCGTCCTCGTCGAAGCCGCACAACTCTATAGTGTCCAGCCTCGAGGTGGGACCACAACTGAACCACTCCGGTTCCTCGCTTTGGTTCCTGTAGCGCCGGTGATGCCTATCCTCAACGTCCCGAGACTTTGGTTTAGATACAACAAGGAATCCGGACATTACGCGCTTCACGTAATTTTCGTTCGCACGGCTCAGATCCTCGCTGGACTCGTTTGACTGCAACGTTTCGTTCTCGGAGCGATTATTAGACATTCCAATGACGGGGGTGTTCGGTCGCCCTTGGGTCTGGCCCATGGGATTACTGCTGATCTCGCCATTGTCAAAGAATTGCAGAACCGTCATGTTACTGCTGTTCTGGGGTTTCGGATTGAGCTCTTCCATCTGCGGCTTACCATTGTGGTATGATGGCATGGAATGGTAATCGCCGTCGCTGTAACGCCACTTTGAATGATTAAAGCGACCGCTACCAATGCGTCTTTGGTTAACAATGGCCGGATCCTGTTGTTAAAATTAAATTTAAATTAACTCTTGTTTTTAAACATCTCTATAATAACCCTAATACATCTAGGATCAGTTTTCAATTAATCAATTAATTTATACTCATTAAATATGATCTGGTTAAGTAAAATTAATGACTTATTTTACTTTATTTACTTTAATTTTAATTTATATTAATTCTTGTGCAGTTCAAATTTGTCGAGTGCATATATATGTACATATGTATGTACATATGTATGTTAGACGTCTATGATCTATAACCTTTTGACGTTAAGGCGTTGCTCAAGCTTCAGTGAAGATACTTAAAAAATATTACTTTGTTGAAAAAAATCGTTATTTTTCCAACCTCTACCTTTTATCTCGTTGAAATAAGAGAGTCAAGCAGTATGTTAACGAGCTGGAGTAGGCTGTCATAAAGAGCATCTACATATGTATTTTAAAAAAACCGTATACGGCAGAAAAATTAAATAGGAATTAACATTTGTAGGTGGTACTATGTGGTAAGGTAAATAAAATAAGAAATAATTAAAAATTCGAATTTCTTCCACAAATATAATAAAACTTCGAGCTAATTAATTTCTGTCTAAAAAATTTATTAAATTAATTATAGGTGTTTATAAATTTATCATAAAACCTCCATCTCTATAGTCATTTTATCGACCTTTTCACATCCCCAATCGCCAACAAAGTAGCTCGCACATCACAGACTAACACATTCACAAACCCATATCAGCACGGACAGCTGAGTGGGAGAGATAAAGCTTATAAAAAACATTTCAACTAAAAGGCGGAATGCGTGCTAAACTAAACGGTCGCCCGCAGAGCGTGCGAGAGCCAAAGAGCGGGGGAGAGCGAACGCCAGAATGCAAGGGAAATAGCGCGCTTTCCAAAGCGAAGAACTCAGCCTGGGCTCTACGAATTTGAGTGCTGGAATTGGCATAGGAATTGGAATTGGAAAAGCAATAGCTACCGTAATCGCAACTCGACAGGTTGACATTGCGCTGTCCCGTGAATTCGGTTGGATGCGGAGCAGAGACCATAACTGTAAACAGTAGTCATAATCCGATCGGAGTGATACGAGTGCCAGACTTTTGACACGATGCAGTTTGTGGCCAGTGGTAAGTGAAGCGGCGAACATGGGAAAGCACAAAAGGTTCAATAGGAATATTTTTTAAAGCCATTCGAACATGTGCTTAGGTATTATATGTTTTTAAAATTTCTAAACATTAGTTCAAATACCTAATTGATTATTTAATAGAGTATTCTAACACTCAACAATTGATGGAAAAGCCATATAAAACTGTTTCACATTTTTAAATACATATGTATATCAGCCAAACAACTAAAACAAAAATAAACAAAAAATGTTAAAAACTAAACATTTAATGTTTATGATGTATAAGTTTCAAGTAAAGTACCGTGTCCTATTAAGAACCTTTTGCATGATTTAATTACTTTTATTTTAGTACAATTTATAAAAATGGACTGCTTTTCTGTTTTTTTAAAGAAAACACAAAATACATATTTTAAAATATCCTCTAGCTATAGTTGTTATTGTGCACTCATTTAAAAACTACAACATTTATCTAACACAGCTGCTAATACCATTTAATAAACGTAATTTCACAGAACATCCCCACCGACGTCTAAATCCCTTAACCGGGCAGTGGGTTTTGGTGTGCCCACATCGCACCCAACGCCCCTGGTCCGGTCAGCAGGAGAAGCCAGAGAAAAACGAGCTGCCCGAATTCGATCCTACCAATCCCCTTTGCCCCGGAGTCACCCGCCCCAATGGAATTGTAAAATTAAATGGCTAAATCCTCTGCAATTTTCTAATGTCTATGTAAAATTATTAGGAAACTCCAGCCTACAAAAGCACCTATGTGTTCGAGAATGACTTTCCGGCCCTGGTGGAGGTAGTGCCAATTCCTCCCAACAGCGATGATCCTCTGTTCCAAATAGCTCCCGCCCGTGGTAACTGCCGAGTGATGTGCTTCCATCCCAAATCGAATCTCACCTTGCCCACAATGAGCGCAGCGGATATTGTCGTTGTTATCGACGAGTAAGTTTCAGGTTTATGGCTTTTATCAAAGGTGAACGTGATAAATTGCATTTTTATATGTATCTTTGCTTATCTAGATGGATCAGCCAGTTCAACGAGCTGAGTGCGAAGTACGCCTGGGTGCAGATATTCGAGAACAAGGGAGCCGCCATGGGCTGCTCCAATCCCCATCCGCACTGCCAGATCTGGTCATGCTCGTTCTTACCGTCGGAACCGCAGCTGAAGCAGGAGCGTCTCCGCACCTATTACACCACCAATGAGCGACCCATGCTGGCCGATTACGTAGACCGGGAGCTGCAGCGCCAGGAGCGGATCGTGATCGAAAATCCTGACTGGCTGGTGGTGGTGCCCTTCTGGGCCACTTGGCCCTTCGAAACCATGCTTATTTCACGAAACAACAACAAGCGGATCAACGATCTAACACTGGAACAGCGCCAGAACCTGGCGGTCACCATCAAGGAGCTGACCACCAAGTATGACAACCTGTTCCAGTGTTCGTTTCCCTACTCGATGGGCTGGCACGGAGCACCGACTGGGCCAGAGCATGCACATGCATCCAGTGCTCACTGGACCCTGCACGCCATTTATTATCCGCCCCTCCTGCGATCAGCCACTGTGCGCAAGTTTATGGTGGGATTTGAGCTACTGGCCATGTCCCAGCGGGATCTAACTCCTGAGCAGGCGGCTCTGCGGTTGCGGGAGGTCGATGGAAAGTGTCATTACACGGAGAAGTGATTTCGTTTAAGTAAACTATCAACATCACCGCCATATGGAGCAGTTCGTGGCGGTTGGTATAAAATGTAATAAAAAAACGGTCAATTGCCAATGTTTATGAAGGCCTACCGTTGTAATTACTTAATAGTTACTTGCAATCACTTGTAAATATATTCCTAAATAATGAATTGACTGTAGCGAAAGCCCATGAAATGATCAGGATGATTGGCAAAGACCCCTAAAGGTCAGGCATTGCAATCATCGATTTATCAGATAAGCCAGGGAGTAAAGCAACTTTGTGTTACGTAATACACAGTTGCAATCAAAACAATATAGCAAGACAAATGAAAATCGTGTCCCCGATTCTTTGCATATGTATATACAGAAAAAAACGAGAACGGAAGCTAGCTTCGGCAAGCTTAAGTTTTAATGCCCTTGTAGATTTTTCAAAAATAAAACCCATTTTCGCCTTCTCGCGAGGAGAGCGCAAATTGCGATTTGACAAAAAATTCAAGAATCAATCTTTTAGCCATCGCGAAATATGAGCATTTAACCGAATAGTCCAGCGATTTTGATCAAATCTCGAGGGATAGATCCTTAATACTATCGAGGACGGAAGCTAACTTCGGCAAGCAGAAGTTTTCATACACAGCGCCAAATTAAATTTGACGTAATTATATAAAAAAAGATTACCTAAAAGTAACCAATTTAATTTTTAAATGGCAGCTGTAGTATATAGTTGTCTGATTGGGAAGAACTTTAACCCTGAGCAAGGTATACAAAAATAAATTATATTTGCATAGTTTCATGTCAATAGCTTTTATACTGCAAAGATGTCATATAACAAGAAAGGAAAGCTAACTTCGGGCGGAGCCGAAGTTGAAATACCCTTGCAGAATATTCTGCAAATTATATTCTCCAAAATTATTCATATGATGCATTCTTAATACTCATAAAAAATCCCAACTTCCTAACTTTAAAAACACCAAAGTTATGGCATTTCCAATCGTTCAGTTATATGGCAGCTATAGAATATAGTCGGCCGATCCTTGAAATTTGATATGTCGGATTGATTGGGCAAAAATAAAACCCATAGAAAGTCCCAACTTCCTAACTTTACAAACACCAAAGTTATGGCATTTCCGATCAATCAGTTATATAGCAGCTATAGGATATAGTCGGCCGATCCTTATGAAATTTGGTAGGTCGTATTGATTGGCCAAATATAAAACCCATAGAAAGTCCCAACTTCCTAACTTAACAAACAGCAGAGTTATGGCATTTCCGATTAATCAGTTATATGGCAGCTATAGGATATAGTCGGCCGATCCCGGCCGTTCCGACTTATATACTGCGTGCAAAGGAAAGAAGGGTGTGTGCGAAGTTTGAATTCGATATCTTTAAAACTGAGAGACTAGTTCGCGTAGAAACAGACAGACGGACAGACAGACGGAAATGGCTATATCAACTCAGGAGGTGATCCTGATCAAGAATATATATACTTTATAGGGTCGGAGATGTCTCCTTCACTGCGTTGCACACTTTTGACCAAAATTATAATACCCTCTGCAAGGGTATAAAAATAGAAACAAGAAAGGAAAGCTAACTTCGGGCGGAGCCGAAGTTGATATACCCTTGCAGAATACTCTGTAAATTATATTCTCCAAAATTATTCATATAATGCATTCTTAATACTCAAAAAAATCCCAACTTCCTAACTTTACAAACACGAAAGTTATGGCATTTCCGATCAATCAGTTATATGGCAGCTATAGGATATAGTCGGCCGATCCTTATGAAATTTGGTAGGTCGGATTGATTGGCCAAATATAAAACCCATAGAAAATCCCAACTTCCTAACTTTACAAACACGAAAGTTATGGCATTTCCGATCAATCAGTTATATGGCAGCTATAGGATATAGTCGGCCGATCCTTATGAAATTTGGTGAGTCGGATTGATTGGCCAAATATAAAACCCATAGAAAATCTCAACTTCCTAACTTTACAAACACGAAAGTTATGGCATTTCCGATCAATCAGTTATATGGCAGCTATAGGATATAGTCGGCCGATCCCGGCCGTTCCGACTTATATACTGCGTGCAAAGGAAAGAAGGGTGTGTGCAAAGTTTCAATTCGATAGCTTTAAAACTGAGAGACTAGTTTGCGTAGAAACAGACAGACGGACAGACAGACGGACAGACGGACATGGCTATATCAACTCAGGAGGTGATCCTGATCAAGAATATATATACCTTATAGGGTCGGAGACGTCTCCTTCACTGCGTTGCACACTTTTGACCAAAATTATAATACCCTCTGCAAGGGTATAAAAAGGGATATTTTCACAGCTTTTAACAATTACTAACAATTACTTAAGAACACTGACAAATATCCTGAAAAACATAAAATTGGGACCGATTTCACCCTATTATTCCTTTGGGAGCTATAGGATATAGACGTCTGATCAGTACGCCCTTTTACCCTGACTAAGTTGGCATAAAAATATAAGACTTGCAAAGATTCATGTCAATAGCTCATATACTGCGCGAAATATCCTGAAAAGTATACAATTTTAAGCGATTTCACCTTATTGTTTCTATGGGAGCTATAGGATATAGACGTCCGATCAGCACGCGCTTTCACCCTGATCAAGGTATGCATTAAAAAATAAGATTAATTTTACACTGCACGAAATATCATAAATTCTTGCACGTTATATCCGATTGTTCCTATGGGAGCTATAGGATATAGACGTCCACATGTTTTAGGACGACTGTGGAAGTTTCAGATCGCTAGCTTTTAAACTGAGCTCGCAAACGGTATTTACACAGACAGACGGACATGGCTATATAGACTCCCCTATTGATCCGGATCAAGAATATATATCATTTATAGTCAACCGATTTTTATCAACTCTCTATACTGAGAAGACCAATAAACCTCATTTTGGGCATAAGCCAGCAATTTATACTCAAATTAAAAAAAAAAAAAAACAAATTTAACATTTTGAACCCAAGGCAGCTATAGAATATAGACGTCCGATCTCCGTCATTTTTTGACTAAATCTACGTACACATACAAAATACGATTGCGAATGTTTAAAATCTCATGCTTTTAAACTAAGCTCGCAAACGGTATAGACACAGTCATTTAGACGGTCATGGCTATATCAAATCGGCACGCTGATCAGGAAAATATATACTTTATAAGTATAAATGTCTCCTTCAAACGCGTTACAAACTTCTGATCAATATTATAATATCCTCTGCAATAATATAAATAGGAACGAGCCGGATCGGGTGACTATATCATATGGTCAAATAGTTGCCATAGATTTTAATTTTTGTATTTTCCTTTAGGAGCTATATGATATACATGTCCGACTTTAATTTAATCAAACCCGTAAATCCATAGTATTTAAATATTACCACCCACAGAACAGAAAAAACATTAAAAACAACAAAGTCATACTTTCTTATATTTTTTTCCGGTTGTTCCTACCGGAGCTATATGATATAGTCGCCCGATCCGGCTTATATACTACCAGCAATAGAAAGACAATTTTTGGGAAAGTTTCAACCAGATAGCTTTAAATCTGAGGGGCAAGTTTGCGTAAAAACGGACGGACGGAGGGACAGACAGGCAGAATTAGATCGACTCTCCTGGTGATGCTGATCAAGAATACATATGTATACTTTATATTGTCGGAAATGTCTGCTTCACTGCGTTGCAATCTTTTGACTAAAATTATAATACATTTGCGACAAATGTTCCGACCGTTTCTATGGGAGCAATATAGATAATAGATTTTTCTAAATTTTTAATCGGAATTCTGAAATTAAAAAAATAATTTATCGTATGTATGATTAAAAGCAATAAAGATATAATTTTTTAAATTACTCTTTAAGTTTGTTTCTATGTTTATATATTGTTCCGAATTATATACTGCAATAAGATACATTTTTGGAATAAAGCTTTTTAAACTGGGAGACTACTTTGCATAAAAACGGACGGACAGACGGATAGTTGGACATGGCTAGATCGATTCTTCCCTGCGTTTTGCATTTTCGACACAAATTGTAATACCCTTTGCAGGAATTTTTGTTTATTGAATTTCGAACAAAGAAACCTCTATCATCCACCATTAGGCAAAAGAGGAACCGAAATTAAAAATTCAGTGCTCACCTGGAACTCGGTTTGCGGCTGCGGTGGCTGGCTCTGGATGATGGACTCGTCGCTGATCAACTGTTTGTTTTTGTTCTTGTAGAACGCAGGCATACACTCATTGTTGTTCATGTTCGAGCTGTTGGTGCTGGAGCGAGCCCGGAATCTTGTTCCATCCGAGGTGCGCCAGAGATTCATACGCCGAAGCCGGACCTCCAGTTCAATATCATCGCATGTGGCGATGCGGGGCATAACAAAGCTTTCCTTAGACCTATGCATCAGGGCGTTAAACATCTCGTTGCGAATGTCCAGTAGGTGGGAGCGCGTATAGTTCTTGACCGGCTTGCTACAGACCATTGGAGCGGCAGGATAGCGTACCGCCTTGGGCGCCCGCAGACTTCCTGGTTTGTTGGTCGCACTTATGAGAGGACGCTTCTGCTGCACCTGACGCGGCTGTTCTTCCGGCACAGTGTCCTTGCTGGCCTGTTGCTTCTTTGGCGAGTCGTGCTCCAAGTCACAGCTAACGGCCGTGCACGACAACATACTGGTGGGCTGGGTGTATGGCGTGGATGCCCGGGCCGAGAGCACTTGAAGCGCCAGGCCCTCGTCCTCATGCGGCTGCTTCGAGGACCCATACATCGGTATGGCTTCTCGGGAAGTGGTTGGGAGAATACGATTCTGCTTGGCCAGCAAGTGGGCGATCTTAAGACGCCTTTCTAGCTGCATAATCACGGCGGGCTTTTTGGTTTTGGGATGCAAAATTAGAGCCATGGACATGGATGCCATTATCGGGCCAACGCCTATTTTCTCCGGGCTTGAACGTCTGGGTAACATTTCTATGGCCTCCACTTCCTTGTGCTTAATGAACCGAGAAAACTTTGTGGCAAAATAAAAACCACATTTAAAAAATTATATGATATGTATAAGTATAAGATCGACCTGTAAACTGTTCAAACTTAATGACAAATGTAACGACCATCCCCGAAATTGCAAACTAAGTTTTAAAGTGGCCCATTTATCATACCTGTTCCTGTCTTTTCGAATGTTTACTAGACTATGATATGCACAAATATTAATATTTCGTCGATTTACATATACATTGATTAAAAAACCAATAAGTTAAAAACCGCATTTTTTAATACGTAGAATAAGAGTGGAGTTTTTCCATCTAAAACGGGCCACCCATTTTTAAAATAAAAACAAGGAAGGAAGCAAACTTCGGCAAGCCGAAGTTTATATACCCTTGCAGCTGTTAGTCGTCCGTTCGTCGTTTATTAAACTAAGATGGTATTTCCGAAATTGATTAAAAAAATACTATATTTTAGAGTATATTGATATATGTATAATAACAAAATTGTAATTTAATTTCCCTTTTTCCTTATTGTTCCTATGGGAGCAATATAATATAGTTGGCCAATCCGACCCGTTTCGACTTACATATATACTACATGCAACAGAAAGAAGACTTTTTGCAAAGATTCATCCAAATAGCTTTAAAACTGTGAGACTAGTTAGCATAAAGGCGGGCAGATAGATGCTGATCACGAATATTTAGATTTTATAGGGTCGAAATTTTGCCCTTCACAGCGTTGCAAACGTTTGACTAAAATTAAAATACCTTCTGCAAAGGTATACAAATTTTAAAAGCTGCTTCTCAGAGCGGTTCTAACGTCCCGTCCAAGTAGGAGAGAAAACGGTTTTAGTAGAAAACTTTACGGCAAACTACACAAGCGCAATGTGTTACATGAGGACAGATAAGTGCAAGTAAAACTTTTGATGACGTGTTGTACTTGTCTACAGGTTTTCTTTGCCCTGAATAGGCATCAATAGAATTTGCATATGTATTTAACCCCAAATCTCTAGCTCCTATAGCTTTCGAGATCTCGACATTCATAGAACAGACTGACGAAAATACATGTCTTCATCATAAATAATTTTGAACGAGTAAAAGGAATAAAAACAAATTTTAATTTTCAAAAATACTTTGCCTACTTTACGCAGATTGTTCAAACTTAAAACGATTTTGATCAAGAAAGGAGGAAAACTTCAGCAAGCCGAAGTTTTTATATTACAAACAACAATGAAGCTATGTCGATTTTGGGCTGCAGAGCTTTTTTAAGTATAAAGGAAACAATCATTATCGATACTTTGTATATCTAATACTTTAGAAAACTTAAAAAACAAAATTAACGTATTCTTTTTAATATAAAGGTTACTATTACATTTGATTTGTAACTGCAAGGGTTTATTAACGACGGCTTTACCAATTAAGCATTCCTTCTTATTTTATGACATATATTTAAAAAAAGGTATCACGGTTAGAATGCGTACCTTTATTAAAAAAAAACAACGATGTTATGTATGTCCATATTCCTATTATAATCGTAATAATTTCATATTATTATTTTGCGATCTTCCCTAAAGATATTGTCGTCCAACTATTATAAAAATAAAATCGGATTTTATAAATCGTAACTTACTATATAGTATACATATATATATAGAAGGGCAGACCGATATAAACAGACCGACTTCACTGTTAATGGTGATCAACAATAATATTCAGTTTATAGAGTCAAAAATGTATCCTTCCTTGCGTTATAAACTTTTTTGTATACTCTCTGAAAGGGTATGAAATGTATATCCACTTTAAATGAAACTTATTTTTGATATCGGCGGACTATATATAAGCAAACATAGTCTGATCAAACCCACGTTACTTTCCTGTTTTTACTAGAAGGGTTAATTAATTGTGAAGTACTTGGGTAACAAATTAATATAGGAAAGGGCTTGTATTTGATGCCTACCTCGGGGCTGGTTTTCTGCACTCGCTTTTTTGCCTCCAGCTTGGTAATAGCCTTCTCCAACGCGTCTTTCAGCTTAAATGCTGGCAGCTTAAGGTAGCCCAGTCCTGTAGCCAGGAAGGCGTTGGCCGGCAACGGTGGTGGTGGGGGCGGGGCACAGGGATCCTCCCACTTTTCGGAGTTCGTCTCGTCGTCGTCGTGCTCCAGATGAGCGGTAAGAGCGGTGGCCTTGGATGCCGGTGGAGCTTGAACGGGAGTCGGGGGCGGAGGTGGCGGCGGGTACTCAAACTGGGCCTTTTCTCCGGGAGTCACCACTTCCTCACCGTGGTCCATCCTGGCAGGAAGCGAGAGGTAGTGACTAGGTGCCTGATCCGTTGCATCCGCAGTGGTGGCAATTTTCAGGGCGCCAGCGCCATTTTCTTGCTTAGCTTCAGCCATTTGCATTGGGTTTTTGCTGTGTAAACTGCCAGTTAATTCGATCCCCGCCTCTTTAAAATGGTTCATACTCACGTATATAAATGGTTTTGTGATTAAAAATTAAAACGAACACTTTTGATCGGGTCGAAAATTTAAACTATGCAAAAGAACGAAATCACGTTTAACACAAGTTCGATCCAATGATCCGTTATTCAGCTTTGGTACGATGAGGACAGGAACAGAGCAAAATACCGAAAAAATACCAGAACGAATAGTGGGAGAGAAAAGAGGAGTATGCGATCAGTGTTGTTGACAGTTGCTTAATAGATTTAAGAGTTGACTAATGGAAACATATCCACTCAATTTAAAAGCCACTTTTTTACTGCTTAAATTGTACAAGAGTAAAGCTTAAAGTAAAAAAAAACAGTCGAGTTGACAAGACAATAATACAGTGTTGGTAGACAGGAGAAAAAGGAGATAGCCATGAACATGGAATAATGTAGCTAAAAACATAGCCAAAACCCGTTATTATTTAAATAGGAGTAGCATAGGAAACTAGTGATGGGCAAAATACACAGGCCGAAAAGCAAAAAATTGAACTATTCCTATTTGGGGTGCCATCCACACTGCAGTCGCGTTATGGTTTTATCGAGTTAAAGGCAAATCCTACATTTATTTAAATAGGTAAGTATAGAAAAAAATATTTGAAGTTTTTGCAAAGTTTTCTGAAGTTTAAAGAAATAATTGAATAATGGACACATTTTTGCCTTTATTCTGATACTATGACCATGAGCAGAGCTGCTTACGCAAAATTCCTTTTGAGCTGAATCCTCAAATTAATTTGTTAAATGATTTTACTTAAGCAAAAAAGAATATATGCTAATAAATATAAAAAGGTGGTTAATCAAAGGGTCACTAAATATCAGAAAATTAAATAGAAAAATTTTCATAAATTAAAAAAACAACACCGTTGAACTCAAAAATTGTAACTTATCTGCAGCAAAGGGCGTTCTGAAGTACCTTTACAAGGCATTTAAATTTAACAGTTTTTTTTTTAATTTACCATTCATATTTTGGTAGTTTAAAGTTCATATTCAAGATATTTAAAAAATGGTTATTTGTTACATCGAAATTAAAAAGAACCCACATCAAAACAACTACATATTTTATAGAAACCCAATTTCATTTTGATTCCAAAAAAAATATTTATTTCAAACAAAACTTTGTAAATAAAGAAAGTTTATAAATAGGTGTAATACAATATGTATTATGTAAATCTATTTTGTAATTTAATCAATATTTTATATACCAGTTTTGCACGTCCGGCCATATTTTGTAGTGAGATTGATGTGTCCGCTCTTGAACAGTAGCGGAGCTGGTTTAACAATTTTATTTAAAAGCTTTATTAAAATTAAAAAGTTTGAGATTACGTAATTTAAAAAAGATGCTGCAAATTAATTTTGTTTGAACATTTAAATTTGTATATCTTGTTCCAATTGTAAAACATTTATTACTATTTCGATAACAGTTCAATTGCAAGCAGTGTACAGTGAATCGATATTTGTGACTGCTCACGACATGCACCGATTGAAAAAATTTTGAACATATCGATGGTATCGAATACACATCGATTTTTGTTCCAGATCTACTACACAAGCCTGGCGAAAAAGTGGTGAAAAACTGAAAAAAATTGAGGACGATCGATTCTATAATTGGTACTTTGCTAAGTCGAAGTACACCTACGACTTTATTCTTGCCAACCGGATGGCTGCCTAAGGTAAGTTCCTGTTGCGTTCCTTACTACTTGCAGGGTAAACAAATCGAAACCTAACCTCAATGTGCCGTATTTTCCGCAGACGAGGAACTTCGGGAAAAGGTAATAACAAAAAGACCCCAAAATGACCCAATATCTACCGCCAAATTTGCTGGCGCTGTTTGCGGCTCGGGATCCCATACCGTTTATGCCGCCGGTGGACAAGTTGCCGCACGAGAAGAAATCTCGCGGCTACCTAGGAGTGGCCAAGTTCATGGCCGATTTTGAGGACCCCAAGGACACGCCGCTGCCGAAAACGGTGGAGACGCGCCAGGAGCGACTGGAGCGGCGCCGTCGTGAGAAGGCCGAGCAGGTAGCCTACAAGCTGGAGCGAGAGATCGCACTTTGGGATCCCACCGAGATCAAGAATGCCACGGAGGACCCGTTCCGCACGTTGTTCATTGCCCGCATAAACTACGACACCTCTGAGTCCAAATTGCGTCGAGAGTTTGAGTTTTACGGGCCCATCAAGAAGATTGTTCTGATCCACGACCAGGAGTCAGGTAAACCTAAGGGCTACGCCTTCATTGAGTACGAGCACGAGCGGGACATGCACGCCGCCTACAAGCACGCCGACGGTAAGAAGATCGACAGCAAGCGTGTCCTGGTTGATGTGGAACGCGCTCGCACGGTCAAGGGCTGGCTGCCTCGTCGTCTTGGCGGTGGTCTGGGCGGTACGCGTCGTGGCGGCAACGACGTCAACATCAAGCACTCCGGTCGGGAGGACAACGAGCGGGAGCGCGAGCGCTACCGGCTGGAGCGAGAGCGCGAGGATCGTGAAGGTCCTGGCCGTGGCGGAGCCGGCTCTAATGGGCTGGAGGCACGGTCTGGACGCGGTTTCGGTGCGGAGCGACGCCGTTCCCGCTCCAGGGAGCGACGCGACCGGGAACGAGATCGAGGTCGCGGCGCTGTAGCCAGCACTGGTCGGTCGCGAAGCCGTTCCCGCGAGCGCAGAAAACGGCGAGCTGGCAGCCGGGAGCGGTACGCCGAGTTCGACCGCAGGGATCGGCGCGACAGGGAACGCGAACGGGATCGCGATCGGGAGCGTGAGAAAAAGAAGAAGCGATCCAAATCTCGCGAACGGGAATCCTCTAGGGAGCGGCGAGAACGGAAGCGAGAGCGAAGGGATCGCGAACGTGGAACCGGAGTTGGTGGCGATGTCAAAGAGCGCAAGCCCGACTTCCGCGACATGGACGTCATTAAAATCAAGGAGGAGCCCATTGACGATGGCTATCCAACGTTCGACTACCAGAACACGGCCATCAAGCGGGAGATCGACGACGAGAATGAGGAGAAGTACCGGCCGCCGCCTGCGCATCACAATATGTTCAGTGTGCCGCCGCCACCCATTCTGGGGCGTGGCAATGCCAATCCGAATCCCAATCCCGACAATGGCCAGCAGAGCTCCAGCGACCAGAGCTGGTGGCGTCAATAGAGAGAGTCCTGGAGCCATCTTTAAAGGCTAATAATTGTAGAAATCAGCCGTCTGCGGGTCGGAACTATTTATTCAATCGACTCGAGGCGCAGCAATCCTGGAGAGAATAACCATAGCAATCCACGGTTCCATTTTACACAGCAAATTTTAAGGTACAGCTTGGAAAGACGCCAGGCAGAACAACATTATTAAAACCCAGACCGCTAAACGCAGAATTCACTAATGTGTGCGTAGCTTAAATCATTTAAATTTATAAGTAACTCTTAACAAATGAATATGAAAGAAAAGTAAGTAAAATAAAGCTAGCCCTACATGTGTTTATTTCCCCACCTTTGGTAAGGGGGTTAAAGGGAATCGGAGAATCAGGAGCTGGAATCCTTTCGGAGTCGAATATGGTATTTTCCCATGGTGGTTCCTGGGATTTTCTTACTCACTTAACTTAAGCTCAACAAACGCATCTTGAACACAAACCTTTGCACTAACCCGTGCCTTTTGTTTTCTCTGTTTTTTTGCAGTTTTCAATCAATTGAAAATCTGACTCTGACTAGTGTGAAAGCAAAGCATAAGTATTAAATCAAAAACGGAAATTAGTTCCGCAAGTATTCGTAGGCAAAGTCCAAGTCCAATATTTCAAGCCCACATCAGGTAATTTGGTCTACGCACAAACCTCACTAATCCATGCGTCTACCGTTCTAGGACCGCTCTAGAATCAAGACAGCTACCGATACTTCCCTCCTCTCCTCCGCTCTGGGTTGCCTGTCGTGGTGTGTAAGTTCAATCGGGCTAAATTTCAAATCCTTCCGAACCGAAAAACCCGGCTATGTAAGTTTCCCCCGGTAAGATTTCTTCGAGTGTAAGGGAGCTTTCCTCTGTTTGGTACACATTGCGAACTGCTCTGATGGTCTGTGGCAATCTACTTATCCATTACGCCTGTAACCAATTTACCATTTCGATCTTTTCATGTACGTTGCGCTGATAGTTATCGTACTGAAGAGGAACCCGCGGCGGAAACTCGCATAGAAAAGAAAACGGCACAAAGGTTTGGTAACTGGAATCGACTGATAAGGTCAAGTCTATCACGGGTCTCAGGTTTCTTCAGCCACTCCTTTAGGTCGTGGACATTGAATTGTGGGGGTTTTTTATTTTTGTATTGATTGGCAGACAGGACCCATGCGACTGATTTTTTAAAGCTATCAAAGATGTTGTTTGGGAGCAAACTTTCGTCCAACCTTCATTACCAAATACCTTCTCATTACCAAATAATAAAGAAATGTGGTTAGGCTGAAATGTTATTTTATTTAGATTCGATCATCTAATAAACACAGCATTTTTTCTTAAAACCCAGAAGAAATTGTTTTACTTTATCAGAAATCTCTGCTCATAATTTATTATTATTATATTATTATTATATATATACATCTAAGAAAACATTTCTGATTCAATTCTTGATCACCATCACCATGTGAGTTGCGCTAGACATATCCGTATGTAAGTCCAACCGTTTCTGCTGAAACTTTTCCTTCAATTTAAAGTTATCTGGAATAAATTTTTAAAAAAGTCTTATTTCTGCTGCAGACAGTCTATATAATTCAACTCCCACATAAACAATCGGAAAAATAAAGAAAGTAACTTATAACTTCGCTGCCTTTTTAAGAATTTGAGTGTTAACTATAATTTCAGAAACACGGATTCGTTTTTATAACAATCAAACGACTATGTCTTATAACCGCCATAAAAACGATCGAAAAATGTTTTAACATATTCGCACACAAATCGAAAGACGTTTTATAGAAAGTTTAATTTTATACCCTTGCAGATGGTATTATAATTCCAGTCAAAAGTTTTCAACGCAGTGAAGAAGACATTTCCGACCCTATAAAGTATATATCTTGATCAGCATCACCAGGAGAGTCGATCTAGCCATGTGTCCGTTTCTACGCTTGAAACTTTTCCAAAAATTGCCTTTCTACTGCAGATAGCATATATGTCGAAAAGAACGAGCCGGATCGGGCGACTACATCATAGGATAGGAACAATCGGAATTTTTTTTAATTATAACAGATGATTTTAATTTTTTTTGTTCTTTGGGATTTGGTAATATTTATTTATTATGATATTACGGGTTTATTTAAAAAAATCAAAAAAATAAAAATGAAAAACAAAATTATTTCGGTGTTTTTCTATTTTTAAAAATATTTATTTGAGATTTACTAAATATTTACTCTCAGAACTACGCCTTTAATTTTTGTCAAAATCGGACAACAATATCATATTGGCAGCTATAGTAAAAATCGACATAGCTTCATTGTTTTTAGTAATACGAGGTGTGTTCAAAAAGTAAGGTGACTTTGTATTTTCAAGAAAAACTATTAATTTATTTATCAATATTTATGTTGTCCCCTTCAAAGTAATCCCCCTCAGATACAATACACTTATGCCAACGGTTTTTCCAATCCTCAAAGCACTTCCCATAAGCACTTATCGGTATAGCCTTGAGCTCTTGCAGCGATGCAGTCTTTATCTCTTCAATCGTTGCAAATCTCCGTCCTTTCATAGGTCTCTTCAGTTTTGGGAACAAGAAAAAGTCACATGGGGCCAAATCCGGTGAATATGGTGGCTGAGGCATTATTGTGGTGTTGTTTTTGGCCAAAAAATCTCTCACAAGCAAAGATGAGTGAGCAGGGGCATTATCGAGATGCAAAAGCCATGAATTGTTTTTCCACAATTCTGGACGTTTCTTTCGTATTGCTTCTCGCAAACGGCGCATAACTTCCAGATAATACTGTTTATTGACCGTACGACCATATGGTAAGAACTCCTGATGCACCACGCCATGGTAATCGAAGAAAACAGTGATCAAAACTTTGACATTTGATCGAACTTGGCGTGCTTTTTTCGGTCTTGGCTCGCCTGGGCTCTTCCATTGGGATTGGGCTTTGGTTTCGATATCATAACCATATACCCATGATTCGTCACCAGTTATGACCCTTTTGAGTAAATCTGGGTCGTCGTTGACGTCATTCAACAGCTCTTGAGCGATGCTCATGCGACGGTTCTTTTGGTCAAAATTCAGCAATTTCGGAACAAACTTCGCTGACACACGACTCATACCCAAAACGTTTGAAAAAATTTCATGGCACGAGCCAAGCGATATACCGACATCTTCAGCAACTTCTCTGATAGTGATTCGACGATTTTCCAAAACAATTTTCGTCACTGCTTGAACGTTTTCATCAGTTGTTGACGTGCTTGGGCGTCCAGAGCGAGGCTGGTCATTGGCATCTTCCCGGCCATCTTGGAAGAGTTTGTACCACTTGTACACATTTTTTTTACTCAGAACAGTTTCACCGTATGCCACTGTCAACATTTCAAGTGTTTCAGAGCACTTAATTTTATTTTTTACACAAAATTTGATGCAAATCCTTTGATCCATATTTTTCGCTAGCAAAAAATCGCCGAGCTCGCAAAATAACTTGTAACTTTACGCCTCTCACAACCAAACAAAAGAGGATGTTCCATTGAAACTTGGTACAGATGTTAGGGAAGAGTGTACCAATATAACAAAACAAAAAAATCGATAATCGAAAATATGTTGCTCGCGAAATTTGAAAAGTCACCTTACTTTTTGAACACACCTCGTATAGGCATAGAAATCGAAATGTAACAACTGTAAGGGTATATAAACTTCGGCAAGCCGAAGTTTGCTTCCTTTCTTGTTTAAATAGCTACAAGGTAGAGTTCGCCGTGCTTGTCTACTTCCTTTCTAGTTAATTAATAAAAATGCATATAAATTGCAAGATATTTTTAATCGAAAATCGGAAAGATCGGTACATGTTTTTTTTAACTTAGGTATGTAGTTAATTTCAAAGACGAAATCCTACTATTATACTCTTATTTAAATTTAGGATTGCCGAAAAAAGTGCTAAATAAATTGTAGGCTTTAAATAGTGGAATAATTTTTAAACAAACTGAAGTATACAAATATGTTAAAAGTAAGAAATATACGTGTAATTAATTTTGGGTGCACTTTCGAAAAGGTCCGACCAGCGATTTTTGGTCCTGATAATGAATAAATGGTACAATTCTGGAAAAAAGTACATTCTGTTATATTTTTGGTAATTAATTTAAAATATTTACTTTATCAAAAATTTGAAAATGCATTTTGATAAAAAGAGTATGGATGAGAGAGTTTCAAAAAAGGAAATTTCTAATCCGTATACACGTTGAGTAAAAAAATTGATAATTTCTTAGGTATTATAACCACACCATCGGCTTTATGCCTATACTAAATGCAATGAAGCTATTTCGATTTTGCGTTGTATTTTGCCATCATTTCTATGGCAGCTATATGATATTGTTGTCCGATTTTGACAAAACTAAATGCGTAATTCTGATATGGTAATCATTACTTTATCTCAAAGGAATATTTTAATAAATAGAAAAACAACAAGATACCATTTTTTTCATAATAATTTTTTGATTTTCCTATGATAAAGATGTACGATTTTGTTTGATTTAAAACAGAAAAAAAAATTAGAAAAACAACAAAACTATCCCAGAACTCATATTTCATATTTAAAACGAATTATCTATTTGTACCTATTAAATATTTTAATTAGTAATGAACAGTGAAAAGTAACGTAATTCAAGGATTTTTTACAATTAAAATAATTAAGCAGAATAGCTGTTTGGCCACAAAAATCTTTGCTCAACCCTTTGCGGAATACCCTGAATATTTGTTGTTTTTTTTTGTAAAGTTTATTTACCAATCCATTTACCATCTATGCGATGTATCGATAGTTATAGGGTCAGCGATCTTCGCTGAGGAAGCACAATAAGGGTATTCCATTAGCTGTTAGATTGCTACAAATTCCATGTAAAATGGCCAGCTGAAATACAACGCCTTAAATTTATATTTGTCTCGAAACTATTATTACATTGGTAAACACGAACTTAACACATTTTTTCATACATAATGGTATTTTTTTTTTTTTATTTTAAGAGATATCTGCAAAAACCAATCGAAAGGAAGGGCTTTGCAATAATTTCCAGAACGCGAAGTGTAAATTTTTTATTAGCTCTACAATTTTATCGAAATGAAAAACATGTGTTGTTAAAGATTATAAGATTATAAATTAGTGTTCGGTAATTAGTTCGGCATTACTTTAGTGGTTAAGTGCATATTATATTTTAATTGGTAACATAAATGAAAAATTAAAAATTTCGACCCTGTTTTTAAGATTAACGTTATCGATGTTGACCAATTTCAGGAAACTCGATAGTATCGAATCGGCAATTTTTGTTCCAGCTCTAGTTTTTTTGGCGTGTAGCAGAAAGCAAAAGGAAGCCGCTTGTGGAAAATTTCAATAGCCATCGGCGAGCATCAAACCCCGAGAAAAGCAGGTAATTTCTTGCTGCAAATCACGTTTAGCGACTGCTCCTTAGTACTGTGAAGCATTATATTTGCTAATTTGTGCGTGTTCTATGCCGCATTTTGACTCGCTTCTCGTACAGCACGCCCGGCATTCAACGCTCCGCGAAAACTTCTTTGACCACTCAGCAGTAGCGACGAGAATCGAAAAAAAACAACATGTCTGACGAAAAGAAAGGCGGCGAAACTGAACACATCAACTTGAAGGTGCTCGGTCAGGATAATGCCGTTGTCCAGTTTAAGATTAAAAAGCACACACCCTTGCGAAAGCTGATGAACGCCTATTGCGACCGGGCCGGACTCTCCATGCAGGTGGTGCGCTTCCGCTTCGACGGACAGCCCATCAACGAGAACGACACCCCGACTTCGCTGGAGATGGAGGAGGGAGACACCATCGAGGTTTACCAGCAGCAGACAGGCGGCGCTCTTTAAAATTACTTAGTTAAGCTAGTTACTCATCCCTTTATAACTAACAAACAACAAATACAAAAAAATCAACAACATTATGAAGAAACAAACAAAACAGGCAGTAAGCATCAATTAAAACAAGAGTGCGTTTAGTACAACTGTAGATTTTGTCTGTACGCAAGACCACAAGAAAAAGATAAACTATTGCAGACAAGAAAATGGGAAATAAAGCATTTTATAAACTATACCAAAAGAGTTTTCCTGCCTGATCAAAGTTTTTTCTACCTTGAAAACCCGGCGCAAATTTCCCGCTTTATATCCCTCTTTCCACGCAAACACACACATTCAGATACATGTTCAATGCACGCGTGTGTGCAAGCAGGACTGGGCTGAACGCGTATGTGTGCGTGTAATTGGTATACATACACCAAGGGGCTCACTGATTTTGCGGGAAAAGTACATCAGTATGGACACCGGCAAATCTGCAAAGTCTGGGAAAACATAACCTCAATGTTCGAATGTATATTAACATTGTGTATGACATCATTTTATGGAAAAGTGCATAGAGGTAACTATAACCTCAAAATTTCGACTTACTACCACACCATGTATGTATGTGCAAGACTACATGATAATCGCATATGTATGTACACCATATACCTATGTATATATACGCTTACGTTTTTTAAAGTACAGTTGTGTACATTTGTGTATGGCTGCATACTTAAACCCTTACTTTGAAATATATGTAGGGGTAAAAAAAAACATTTAATCCATTTAGACAAGCAAAAGTGTTAAAACAATAAATCTTTTCAACAAATTACAATTAGTTTAATATCATCGGTCCACCCTACTAATTTTATATATACATTTATCAGTTCTAAATGCTAAATGGTTTATATAAGCAAGGCAATTTTCCGATAAATGGATCTTACCACATAGTTTCCCTAACAATATTGTTATATGAAGTTCAGCTTTTTATACCCTTGCAGAGGGTATTATAATTTTGGTCAAAAGTGTGCAACGCAGTGAAGGAGACATCTCCGACCCTATAAAGTATATATATTCTTGATCAGGATCACCTCCTGAGTTGATATAAGCATGTCCGTCTGTCCGTCTGTCTGTCCGTCTGTCTGTTTCTACGCGAACTAGTCTCTCAGTTTTAAAGATATCGAATTGAAACTTTGCACACACCCTACTTTCCTTTGCACGCAGTATATAAGTCGGAACGGCCGGGATCGGCCGACTATATCCTATAGCTGCCATATAACTGATTGATCGGAAATGCCATAACTTTCGTGTTTGTAAAGTTAGGAAGTTGGGATTTTCTATGGGTTTTATTTTTGGCCAATCAATCCGACCTACCAAACCTAATAAGGATCGGCCGACTATATCCTATAGATGTCATATAACTGAACGATTGGAAATGCCATAACTTTGGTGTTTGTAATATTAGGAAGTTCGGATTTTCTATGGGTTTTATTTTTGGTCAATCAATCCGACATATCGGATCGGCCGACTATATTCTATACATGCCATATAACTGAACGATAGGAAATGCCATAACTTTTGTGTATTTTTAAGTTAGGAAGTTGTGATTTTTATTAGTGTTAAGAATGCATCATATAAATAAATTTGGAGAATATAATTTACAGAATATTCTGCAAGGGTATTTCAACTTCGGCTCCGCCCGAAGTTAGCTTTCTTGTTTTAAAGCTTTCTTCTTGAATTTTTCCCAAACGTTGTCTTTTTATTGCAGATAGTATATACAGTCGGAACGAGACGGTTCTGTCGACTATATCATATAGCTCCCATAGGAACAATTGGAAATCATTTTTTTTTAATTATTACTTTGTTGTTTTTTATTTTTTTTTGTTCTCTGGAATTTGGTAATATTTAAATATTATTGAATTACGGTTTTAATTAGGAAAATCAAAAAATTAAATTGAAAAATAATGTTAAATTGGTGTTTTTCTATTTATAAATATTTCCTTTAAGATTTAGTCACTATTTACTTTATCAGAATTACGCCTTTAGTTTTGTCAAAATCGGATAACAATATCATATATGTAGCTGTCATAGCGTCATTGTTTTTAGTAATATAGACATAGAAATCGAAATATAGTCGTTTTGTAATAACTGCAAGCTCCAATTTTTACTTTAGTCAAAGGGTATTGGAATTCTTGATTGATCAGGAATATTTTCTTTTTTTTTTTATTTGCAAACGCCATTTTGGTCTGTAGCTGGATAGGTAAAAACTAATTTTTCTATTTAACGAAACTCTAACATTCTGTCATGTTTATTTGCAACAACGATTTTAATATGTATGTACACAAGGTCGGTTTTAAAAAAAGTGAAGGCACCAATTCCCGCTTAAGAATAATACAAAATCAAAACCCCGCTTACACCCATTCCTTTGGGTTCTTTAAGACCTTCATCAGCTTGCCCTCCTCGGACTTGGAGTTGGGCTCGTGCATGTATTCCCAACGGGCGTGCAGAGGGAGTGACATCAGAATGCTTTCGTATCGTGCTCCGGGCGTATATAATCCGAACTTGGTGCCGCGATCGTATATTAGGTTGAACTCTACGTAGCGTCCGCGGCGCAGCAGTTGCCATTGTCGTTCGTTGTTCCCGTACTCCCTATTCTTGTGCTTCCGCACCAGCGGCATGTAAGAGGGGATTACGGCCCGGGCGCAGCTGGATACAAAGCCGAAAGCCGCTTCCTGGTTGGGCGAATCGATGTCGTCGAAAAAGATGCCGCCTATGCCTCGACTCTCGTTGCGGTGCTTGATACGGAAATAGTCGTCGCACCACTTCTTGAAGCGCGGATAGTAGGTGGCGTCGTGTTCGTCGCAGGCGGACTTCAGGGTCTGGTGGAAGTGGCAGGCGTCCTTCTCGCAGAGGTAATACGGCGTCAAATCCGTGCCTCCGCCAAACCACCACTGCTTCTCCCCCTTGGCCGTCTCCACCTCGAAGTAGCGGTAGTTGAAGTGGATGGTGGGCACATGGGGATTCCTAGGATGGATCACGGCACTCACTCCGCTGGCGAAGAATGGCAGGGCGGCGCCCTCTTTTAGGTTCTTGCCACGCGCCCGCATCTGCTGGACTGCCGCCGGTGGTAGGGATCCGGTGACCACGGATATATTAACGCCAGCCTTCTCGAAGACATCGCCATCCTGCAGGACGCACGTGATCCCACCTCCGCCTTCCTCCCGCTCCCAGCGGTCCACCTTGAACTTTTGACCGCAATTCTCCTCAGCCTCCAGGGCGCGGCAGAACTCCGCTTGGATCTCCATAATCAGTAGTTCCATGCGGTGCCGCATGTTATCCTTGTCCTCTAGCAGACTCTTGGAGTCCGTGATGGGTTCGGCCATGAACCGCGACTTGTCCAGCTGTGTTCCCTTGACCTTTGGGTTGACCGCCTCTGCAGAATGTGCGTACGTGACCGCAGAAAAGCTGGCCAGGCCCAGCCCGGTTCCAAGGAGAAAGCCCTGGACATGCTGTCCTTTTGTTCTGCGGGCCAGTTGGAAGGTCCCCAGCGATACCAGGGATATCGTGTGACGAATCGCGTTCATTTTTTGTGCTGCCGCCTACTTCAAATTTGTAACTTAATTTAAGCACTTTCCCCAAACGCAGTCTATTTGTTATCTTTTTTCACCGGCATTTCTAGTTGCATAGTCGTCAGTGTGACCATGCCCCGGCAATTGCTGGCCAAAATATATATTTGGTAAAAGAAATTTATTTATATTTCGTTAACAAGTTAATGCCGTTAAAATGGTAATGCGACCAGTTTTTGTTCCTAAACCAAGGTCTTACTTCCCAAGCCTGGACTTGTAAAACTGTCAGTAAATATGTTCACACATAATTATACTCAAAACATGTCAGAAATGGCGATAATCAATCTGTCTTTCAAAACCCTGATCAGAAAAAAACATATATATATTATAAATATGCATATATATATTATATATAATCCACAAAAGGATTAAGGGTATTCCCTATAAAATGTGAATTGCTGAATAGTTAAATTCAATCGTTTAGGGAATATCTAATATTAGTTGGTAACACAAAATTTGATATCAGAAATTTGGTGTCTTGAAGATGGGATCGTCACGATTTTCTTGCCTCGTTAAGAGGTGTATTTGTTTGATTCTTGAAAAATGAGAAACAGATGTATGAAGAACCTCAAAACGGGCACACTGACGTCATTCGAAATAAACGACTACCAAGGCGCGTCGATCGCTGGCGTTGTGAAAAGTTAAATCAAGCATTTATTTGATTCTTTAAAAAAATAAAGTGCGCTGTCGAAAATACCGCCATAAGGTAGGTAATTAACTGGACCTAACTCTAAACCCTTTGAACTATATGCAATTTGCAATTAAGTCTTGCCATTGACTGGAGTCGTTCGCCCAGGATACATACGCACACAAACACGCTCTGCAGCCATTGAGAGAGCACTGTAATATGTCTGGGCTTAAAAAATTCCAAGACAACGAGGAATGGCGTCAGAAACTACGTGCGTTTCTCATGGCAGATCGGTAAATACGACCTTAAATACCTTCCATTGGATAGTGTTGCCCTAGTGTCCGATTCCATAGACATTTGATTTGTATCACTCCCTTTTTGAATGCCTGCATGTCAAAAACGAAATAGAATTGTCCATATATACATATGTATTACATAGTAGTGAATAAGCATTCTAACAGTTCTGTATTTCAGCTTGCCGAAAAAGCCAGTGAAGATGGATGAATCGAAAGATATGCGCTATAGTCTGGAGATCGATGAGGATCTGAGGAGACCACTGGAAGCCAGGAAGAAAAAAATTGAGGCTGCGAATCTCACCAGCCACACAAGCATCAATCTCAGCGAGGAAACTATGTACGAGGGCGTACCCTTGGGCAATTTGGATGATGGCGATGATAGCTTTAGTGCCTTCGAACGAATGTGCGACAAGACTGGATCCGACCCGGATAGCACTCTGTTCCAGTACCTGCACAGCGAGGACCGAAGTCAGGTGATGTCAAAGGCCAAGGATCGTAGTAACGATGATCAGAAGGAGATTGATGCACTGCGTCGCATGCTCGAGGCAGTAGGCACCGATGACGACCTGCTAGAAAACGAGAGTCCCGTCAAGGGAGTGGAGTGCACCCAGCTAGAGGATGTAGAGGCGCCGTCGCGCTTCTGGGACAATACTCTGGCCGCGATCGATGAGTGTGCGTCTGGGTCTAGCCCGGAACACAAAACCAAGGTCTCACCAGTCAAAATGGTGGGTCTTCTCCGCCCCTCGACCATCATCGAGGACAATGAACTGGAATCGGATGTATCTTCACACATAAGCTTCCATAGCGCTCGCACCCTGAAGACAAACGCCTCCAGTTCTTACGAAACAGCCACGGATAGTTCCCTCAGTGGAACGCTTCTTAACGTAGATGATCTGTTCTACGCGGCAATTGCCAAGGCCAAACCACCAGGAATGTCAAAGGGAGAGGAGTTAGAGCTTCTGAACGACCTTCACGGTAGTCTAAGGGAGTTGGCGTCGCTTTCAAATGAGGAAACGGAGGAGCCATTGGATGTTTTAGAGGACACCATAATTGAGTTGTCCTCTTCGGATGATGAGGAGGTGCAGCTCGTTTCAGAAGTGAAACAGGAAGATACCTCTACCGACTTGGGTAATTCCACTGAAAAAGAGCAAGCTGATGACAGCTTGGAAGACAAGGAAAACATAGAGAAGTCCTTGCATTTCAATGACACTATGGAGGAAATGCAGTACATGATGCAAAAAGGCATGGAGTATATGGCTGGTACAATTCCAGCTGCCACTACCGTCAAATCAAAAAGTCCAGTGCTACCCAAGCAAAACACGTTTGTGATTTCACCCAAGCAAACGGTTAAAACGCCGGCTTTTTTGCAGCCATCGTTACCGCTGCGCTCCTGCAACAAGTCACATACAGTAGTAGCATCGCCCAGTAAGGGTAAAAAACCGAAAAATTTCGACCTTAACATGGAGTGGACTAAGAAGAAGTTCTTTAGCGCATCTTCGGGCATTCCCCAGCGTCGCCAACAGCAAATGAAAATGCCGCCTTACGCCAACATCGTCAGTCCCATCCGTGCCTACACACAGAAGTCGGGCACTGCACCTCTGATGAGAACATTCCGGCCAACAAGTACTGACATGTTGACTTCCTTGGCCATCAGTGAGCTGGAGCAAGAATCCCGCTTGTGTCAGCTGAAGACCTTTTCCAGTACGCAGGCCGGCACATATAAGGCGAGTGGAAGGCAAGGGATTAAAGGAATCGATTCTACCGCACAAATGCTTCCCAAAAAGGCTTACATATCCTCGGAGATCAAGCACGTAAGTTGGAATTGACATCGTTCAATATGTATATGCATATATATATCTAGCAATGGCTGCCGCGACTTTGTTCGTCAAAGTTGAAAATATTTTAGGTTACCTTCTTACTAAAGTAAATACTAATGCAACCTACAAACATTAAATGCGTTGCTTTCGAAACTATGTATTAAAATGCGTCATACCTGCTACAGTTTTTATACTATCTTGATCAGCATCACCAGGAGAGTCGATCTACCCATGTCCGCTTGTCCGTACGTCCGTTCCTACGCAAACTAGTCCCTTAGTTTTAAAGATATCTGCTTGAAAAAGTTGTCTTTTTATTGCAGATAGTGTATAAGGAACGAACCGGATTGGGTAACTATGTCATATAGTTCCCATCGGAACAAATGCAGCGCGAAATCGACATAGCATCATTGCTTTAGTATTATAGGCTTAGAAATCGAAATGTAGTCGTTTTGTAATAACTGCAAGGGTATATACATTTCGGCTTCCCGAACCTCATTGGTTTTAAATGGTATTAAAATCAATATGTAGTCGTTGTATTGAATATTTTATTTTATTATAGCTGCAATGGTATATAAACACGGCATGCCGAAAGAAAATCACTTCAATAAATCACTTCATCTTATAACATGCCACCCAAATCGAGCTAAGCCAAAGAAACTTAAATAAGTTTTATCAAGTTTGGTTGAGTACATTGAAAATCCAAAGTTATGGAGTTACATTTTCTCCATGTGTAATCAACCTCAGTGCTGGGAGAAATACATGAGAAGGGTGGTGGCTTGGGTTGTAGAATTCATTTTCATCTCATTTTCAATTATATTTATTATATTATATTTATTTCTTACCCAAGTTTTTTTTTGCTAACTTTTACATTACTTACGAAATTTAAGTAAAATAATTAATTAAATAATAATAATTTTTAAATCCGATTTTGCTATTTTATTGACAACTTCTTTATTTAACCATTGCTTTTATTTGATAGGTGGTGGATGAGCGTACACCTATGCCCATGCCCAGTGTACCTCGGATTCAAAAATACCTTAACTCGGCCGTGGAACCGACTGTCCTACGTCACGATGGCAAAATGAAAATGCCCGGAGAGGCCAACAGAGCCCCGTCATCATCGCAAATCCCACGTCGCGCCAATCACAGCCTGGCTGATCTGTCGCTCGCATCAGGTGACGTGTCTTTGTACACGATTAGAGATGCACAGAAGTTTTAAGGCCCTTAAAAATAACACACTCGCTTAGTTAGTTTTAATATTGCAACGATAATAAATGTATTGTTTAACTAGTCCTAGTAAATGCCTTCGTTTACGTATCAACAAAATAAGAGAATCACTGGTTTCGCGGTTGAGGACCTTTCCAGGCGCGATTAACCTTTGATTCGGACTGCCGGCCCAGTTCGGTGCAGATGTACCGACCCACTAGGATGAGTTTGTCCAGACTAACTCCCGTATTAAGGCCCAAGCCGTGCAGCAAGTAGACCACATCCTCTGTGGCCGCGTTACCAGACGCCCCCTTAGCATAGGGACATCCGCCCAGGCCAGAAACCGATGAGTCCACCACCCGAATGCCATAGTCTAGAGAGACTAGGATGTTGCTCAAAGCCTGGCCGTAAGTGTCATGGCAGTGCACGGCCAAATTCTTAGCGGGAACTGTTTTGGTCACCGCGTCCAGCATCCGGCGCATAGTGCCAGGTGTACCCACGCCGATGGTGTCGCCCAGGGAGATCTCGTAGCAGCCCATTTGATACAGTGCCTCCACGACCTTAACCACAGCACTCGGCGCAACGGCTCCCTCGTACGGGCAGCCAACCACGGTGGATACATAGCCCCGGACACGAACTCCGTTCTGTTCGGCTGCCTTAAGCACAGGTTTAAAGCGCTCGATGGCCTCAGCAGCTGTACAATTAACGTTTTTCAGCGAAAACGCATTGGAAGCGGCTCCAAACACTGCCACCTCCTGGGCTCCCGCTTTTAGAGCACTTTCAAATCCCTTCAGGTTAGGCGTAAGCACTGGATAGCTGATCCCGGGGACCTTGCGGATTCCCCGTAGCACCTCCGCATTATCGCCCATTTGGGGCACCCATTTAGCGCTCACAAAACTGGTGGCTTCAATAGTTTGCAGTCCGGTTTCGGACAATTGATTTATCAGCTCGATTTTGGTGGCTGCCGGCAGCAGCTTGGGCTCGTTCTGGAGACCATCCCGTGGGCCAACTTCCACAATTCGTACCTGGTTATCTGAGCTTGTAGCCGCCGAGCGCTGTAGCATAACAAATTGTTAAATATAAGTTAAGCACCTCATTTTTAGAGACTACCTTTGGAATCAGACAAGCAAGTGAGCGAATTTGTGGAATTTTCATGGCCGAGTTTGTAAATAAATGTTACGTATGCTTCTTCTTCTTTCCTTTCAGCGGATAACAGCTGCAAGTCTAATATTCCCAAGATCGATTACTAACAAATATTCGATAACATTTTGATTTCATTGTAAGGGCATCTCTAGCAAAGGGGCGCGTAAATAGTAATTAAGAGAACCTAAATATATTCTTTTATAAAATCCTTTTTTAATCTATTGAGTTGGAAAAAAACGAAACCGTTTTCCATAATAATACAAATATATTTACTATTTAATCAATATTGTTCATCCAATAAAAAATAAACAAATATTGCGTATTCATCTACAAATCTCTTCAAGTGTGGGCATTATTGACCCCCTTCCTACGCCCATGCCGTGAACATATGTACATATGTTTGTAAATTAAACCCTTCAGAGCGCTTAAAAAAGAACTCCTTAATTTTTTAAAGGTGCCTAAGGTAAACTTCGTATGGAACTGAAACCAATAGAGAACTGTTCTTCGGAAGATGGGGATGTGTTTCAATTTGAGTCCGAGCACTTGGCTCTTCGTGGCAACCAGTGCTATGCAAAATTGCTGCGCACAATTGCCGTTCTACAGGCTCAAAGGATTCGTGTCCATCAGCAGATAGATGAGCTGGAAGCGTCGCAGAACGCCTACTTGGAGAATCCACAACTGCTGCTAGACAAGTTGCAGAAAAATGAGCCCTTGATATCTGATAAATACAACAGTACGGCTGTGCTTCCGGAGCTGCCTACCTTGACCAACACTGATGAAGGAGGTGGCGTTTATGCGACATCAGCACCGGCTTCGTGGACGCAGCCGCCGGACGAGATTAGAGACAGGAGCAACGGCCGATCAGAGAACTTCAATCGCTTGTGGACTAACGAAGAGCAGCGTCGTTTAGAGCAGCTTCTTATCCAGTATCCGCCCGAGGACGTGGAAATGCGTCGATTTGCCAAGATAGCAAAAGCCTTGGGCAACCGCACGCCCCAACAGGTGTTCAGCCGCGTCCAGAAATACTTTCAGAAACTGCACGATGCCGGCATGCCGGTGCCCGGACGCATACCCAAGCACCGGAGGCCGGGGCTTAGTAAGCCGAAGGTAAACTTACGCAGGTCAACGTTCTTTCCTGCTCAGAACATATCGCTGCAAATGCCGGAGGACGACTGCACACTGGATGACCTGCGGGTCCTTTCTCCTGCCAACGAGATGGCAGTATCCTCTGAAATCAAGATCGAACCAAGGACCGAGCCAGAACCCGGAGATGCTGATCTGGATGCAGAGACAAATCGCAAGCAGGAGCTACGTCTCAAGCTGCTATCAACCATACACGACGAAAAGCAGCAGATTGAGAATGGTTACGAGCCCGATCTGATGGCGCCCAAGTGTGCCGAATGCGAGGCGGCTTTTGTCACTAGGACGCAATGGTTCTGCAATAGTTGTTATTGTCATCTAAATCTGTGCGGAGACTGCTTGGCCAGCCAATTGATCGAAGGGCGCTTCGAACACCTGAGCCATGAAATTGTGGTAGAACAAGAGTCATGAAAGTATAAGACTACAATAAAATATCAAAAGTTAGGAAACTTTTGAATAGATCCGTTTACTCCATTCGGTTGTTAAAAACGGTATCAAGCCAATAGCTTTAGAAATGGACAGGAGAATATTGACTAGTCTGCTGCCAAGGAATCAATATGCACTTTTTGAAAATATGTAATATCTTTGTTAGCTTAATGTAATACAAATAAAACTTAAATGTAAATAGGGTCTCCCTTAAGTACGCATTTGGGCAGCTGACTTCGGTAGGGACTGAAGGCGGCTGCGACGTTTTGCCTCGAACTCGGTAGCCAGCTGCCAGGTTTCTTTGTCTAGCGTCTCCCTTCCCCGGGCAATGCCTAGTAGACGGGAAAGGACCAGCAATCCATGCAGGTCATCGGCATTGCTTTTAACATTTGCCTTGCGCATATCCACGAAGTCCTGTTGTATCATCTCAGTGTGCTCCTCGCTGACACTAAAGCTGCTAATTCGAGCTGTGGTCAAATACTTACGGAACTGCAAGAGGCGCGCCGGTTGCAGATAGTGGTGGGCTGCCTTTAGAGATTCACCAATGAGTTCCACGGCCTTAGTATCGGCATTGATCGGCATCACGAAATCGCTCTAGAAACATTTAAATTTTGTTTGAACTTTTAACATATGTAAGTCATACCGAGTCATAAAGTAACTTATTTGATTAATTTGTTCTAATGTCTGTTATAATTAATATTAAACTACTCTAATTCTTACCGGTAACATACTTCGTCCTTCACTAAGGACGAGAACCGGAATGTTCGCGTGGTAGCCGATTTGGTAATACTGGAAGTCACAGTTAAGCTCCTGGTTGTTGATCAGATGAGCCAAGTGCTGGACGGCAAGAACACCATTGGCCTCCAGCTTTCCTTGACTCATGCACGTCTCATCGAGCACAAGATGTGTGTGGGGCGCCAACTGTAGTACGCCGGATACCAGCTTGTTGGTCTCATAGTCCTTTCTGTAAGTTTATCCTTTTTATGCTAAGTGGCGGTTAAGTAATTTTGAATTTCCGACTCACTTTGGGGCAAAGGAAGCAGTGTTCATCGTCTCTAGGGTCATTGGCAGGTAATGGCTGGCCGGCAGTAGAAGCTCTAGAATTTCGTACAGCTTGGTTGTGAAATACTGCAGGCATTCCTTGGGTAGGTTACAAATGTTTAGAGCAAACTTTCCGATGCTTTGCATCTCGGAACGGCTGTAGACAGTTGAAATCAAATGAGAGAGCAAATACTCGGCAGCCAGATCGTCGTCAAACAGGCAGAGTTTGAGTAGCATGCGCAGATCCTTGTGCACGGCCATCTGGGATGGATTCGCCTCTTCACATGGCTCCATTGGTTGTCGCAGACTCTCATCCAGCAGAGGATTGGCATGTGGCAGCAACTTGAAGCCAAAGGCATGTATTCGGGGTATGAGAAAGGGCGATGGATGAGTTGCTTGCAGCACACTCAAGTTTTCGCAATCGTCAACCTCCAGGGTAGCGGCGTCCAGCGAGGAATCCACTGATAGAAAGCCCACAAAGTCCACTAGAGTGTTGAGTTGGTAGGTGTCGAAATCCTCATAAACCTTCACCATGCAGGCCATGCTTGGACGGTCAGGCAGTGGCGAATTAAGCAGATACTCGGAACTGAGAACAGAAGACCCCGAAGCAGCCGAGGGCTTCTCTTCCGCCTGGACCGCCTTAACACATTGCCGTTTGATTGTGGTCTCGCTAGCTCCGTCTACCTCCATTGCCTCCTCTTCGTCCAAAGCTCGCTTTTTGGCCGACATTGAAGATTCAGATACACTGCATAGCTTTATCTGTGGACAGCACTGTTTCTCGTGTTCCTTGCTCCAGTCATTCAAGCCCGGCACGGAGACCAAAAACATGGTTCGCCTCTCGCCATGCACGTTACTCTCGCCATTGTAGTCGATCTCTTCACCATTGGCCAGTTTCAAGCAGTCCCTGTACTTTCCGTCCTGCAGGCGCTTACCACCATCGGGGGACTTTATCTCGTAGCGCTCCAGGTAGATCTCTGGGTCCATCATGTCTTGAATCATGCCACGAAACCGCACCAGCGTCTGATCCTTTAGTTTGTGAAGTGGCGTGTAGTTCAGCAGGGGAATCGAGTGCCAGCAGCTGGAGTCCTTGAGCAGGTCCTTGTGCTGGGCGTCCAGTTCATCTGGCGTGCTTGGCAGGTTCATGGTAAAGCGCATTACTTAGTTCGTTTGAATAAATGTGCAAAATTACTTTAGGCCTAGCAACAAACAACAGCTGCTCTTAGCGCGCAAAAATCTAATAGTAGCATTTCGATTATGTCCATCGACGCGCCTATCGGTAGTTAGGCAATCGATTTTTGCACTGCAGGGCTACCGAGCCTCTGCCGCAGAACGGATGTAGAGGCGGATGTGCACATCCGCAAAAAGTGTACAATTTTTGGGATTCGCAAAAGCCCAACAACGATGAGCAAGAAGAGCAATGTGTGGCAGTTCTTCTACAAGGCCTCCGATACGGTGGCCACCTGCTGTATTTGCAACAGAAACTACTCAAGGAAGGGCCGCGGCACTACCTGCTTGCGGAACCATTTGAAGAGCAAGCACCCAGGAGAGTTCCTAACTCTCTCCGAAGACATCAAGTACCTGGATTTGGTGAAGAGAGAGATCTCTAACAGCTCTCCACAGCATCCCACGACGCAGTTGGAGTTAAATTTGCACGTAAGTAGGATAAAATAAATGGCGAATTCAAAATCTAAACTTCTGTTAATATCTTTAGTCAAATACTTTCACATGGGAGTTGATTCCCAGATCCTTATATATTTAAGTGTCTGTATATCCCGATTGTTTTGATAAATGATTTAGCCGTAATTACAAAAGTCAATTGAAAAACTTCTGTAATTTATTAAGGAGTTCAATGATAGGGCTGTAGCGGATGCGGATATATCCGCGTAGAGTCCCGCTAAAAATATGTGTAGCACACTTTTGTTATCCGGCTATTGGTAGAAAAAATTATTAAATTTTAATTTACAAAACTAAGAGATGTTAATACATTACAATTAATAAAGATATTTAAATGTTATTAAACTTAAATTTAGGAATCAGATCCAGATCCTTTGGACACCGAAGGCGTTTCCTGCAGTGCGCGCTGTGATGAGAAGTTGGCACTCATGCTTTTAAACCACTCCTTTGATTTCATTGAAGGACCCGAATTCAAAATCTAAACTTCTGTTAATATCTTTAGTCAAATACTTTCACATGGGAGTTGATTCCCAGATCCTTATATATTTAAGTGTCTGTATATCCCGATTGTTTTGATAAATGATTTAGCCGTAATTACAAAAGTCAATTGAAAAACTTCTGTAATTTATTAAGGAGTTCAATGATAGGGCTGTAGCGGATGCGGATATATCCGCGTAGAGTCCCGCTAAAAATATGTGTAGCACACTTTTGTTATCCGGCTATTGGTAGAAAAAATTATTAAATTTTAATTTACAAAACTAAGAGATGTTAATACATTACAATTAATAAAGATATTTAAATGTTATTAAACTTAAATTTAGGAATCAGATCCAGATCCTTTGGACACCGAAGGCGTTTCCTGCAGTGCGCGCTGTGATGAGAAGTTGGCACTCATGCTTTTAAACCACTCCTTTGATTTCATTGAAGGACCCGGGTTCGTAAATTTTGTTAGAGTGCTGCAGCCGAGATATGTGATCCACTCAAGGAGTTACTATGAGAATATACTGTGTAAGGATATACACATGAAAATGCAACAGCACATTAAGGAGCAGGTGGATCTGCTGGATGCTGTCTCGTTATCTACTAGTCTTTGGCGGGGTGACAAAGGTGAAGGACTGCTGAGCCTGTCTTGTTCTGGAATATCAATGGATTTTCAGACGCACCGCTTTGTGTTGAAGTGTGAGGCTTTAAATTACGAAAGGACTTCTAAAGTTGCATGTTGTATTCGAGATCTAATACCCAGCTTGGCGATAGAGGTTCCCAAAGAGAAGACACATTGCATCATCAGGGATGAGATGACGGCTCTGCCAGGATCACTGCCCGATTGCTGTGTTAATCGTCTGCAGATGTGCGTGAGATTTGCTTTACAGTCGAACGAATCGCTTCAGAATCTGTCATCGAAGTGCAAGCAAATAATTGACCATTTTGCTTCTTGTAAGATGGCCCACGATCATCTAAAATTTATTCAAGAGATCCGCCTAACGAGAGATCCGTGTACACTTTTACCTCATGATTCTTTTAAATGGAATTCAACCTTCCAGATGATGGCCAGCGTGTTCAAGATGAAAGATGCTATCTCCCTATATTGCGAACAGTACAGTCTGGTTCAAATATATCCTGATGAATGGGTAGACATTGATTTGTGCAACAAAGTAATGCAACCTTGTGAGGAAATTATTAGGATCTGGAGTAATCCATCAACGTCAACATCTTCGGTAATTCCACTAGTGGCCGCTTTGCGGGATTCACTTCGAACAGATGTCCACAATTTTGTTTCCTCTGTGGTAAGGCTTTATTGTTCTGAGTAAAGAGTATTTGTTAAAATTTTACGTTTTTTTAATGTTTAGACTATTTGCAGTTTTGCAAGAAAGTTGCTTGAAGAACTGGAAATGAAGTTCTCCCATGTCACCAGCGACATTAAATTTTTGATGGCCACCTATTTGGATCCGAGGTATAAGCAAGCCTTCTTTACCGAGCGAGAGGAGCAGTTGGTGGCCAACGAAGTTTTGCAGCTGCTCGCCAGAGTGCAAGAAGACCGCAATGGCCAGATGCCTTTGAAAATAATCAAAGTAACAGCCCCAATATCCGATAAAAATGAATCAAAGATTGACAGTATACTTGACAATATGCTGACGACTGGCTCTACTAATTCTCAACAGGCAACAACATCGTTTGGCTCCCATTCGCAGATTAAGAATCTACTATATTTATATAACTCCGAGCCTAGAATAGATAGGAACATGGATCCCTTGATGTGGTGGAAGACAAACATAAAATACAGTTCTATGTATGCCATAGTTCGAAAATATTTATCAGCTCCAGCCGCAAGTGTGGCTAGTGAAAGCTTATTTAGGGAGTCCGCACACTTGTTTTGCGATATGAAAACGGGATTAAGCTTCGAAAATGCATCTAAAATATTGCTAATAAAGTCTAACTTTATATATTGGGACAGCAAGGAGTAATGTTAATAATAAGATGTAAACTTTAAATACTTTATGTTCATAATTTAAGCATTAAACTTAAAACTAGTTGATCGCCCGGAACGTTTTGTTTTGCCCTTAGGCTGAATGTTTCCCATCGGGTCCTAGCCCCTGTAATCGGGATCATTGTGCTCCTCGTCGTCTTCCTCCTCCTCCTCTTCTTCATCTAAATTTTGAATTCGTTTTTAGTTTTGTTGACGTATAATAAAATAAAAACTTTGAAAATCTTACCATGATCACGACGTTTACGTGTGTAGGCCCGCTTGCTGGCGACTGGCGCTTGATCAGTTTCGCCATGCAGCAGAGAATTGCGATATAAGATCAATGGCTGCCATTCCTCAGCTCTGCTGGATGGCATGGCCGGTGGTATGATCTTATCTAGGAAACCCATGATCACCTTCTTATCTTGCTTCAGCAGCTTATAGTTGAACTCGTTCAGAACCTCCAAAAACAGCACACGTGTTGGAGCTCGCACCGGATCATCAGGTTCCTTGTTGGCAGCAAAATAAATGCCACCTCGATGAATGGCAGCCACAGATTCGCGATTCTTAATAGCATCAAATCCAAATGTGAGAGCAAATCTCTTAGCTAACTCTTTGAGGTCCACAAACTCTTGCGAGCTCTTTGAAACAGTTCCATCCTCATTTTGCTCCTGCAGACTCTTGAAAACCGTGATTAGGCTCAACAGAAGGGTCATGGCAAAGTTTACTTTGTTTATCTCACGAGCCTTGCCTAATGTAGCTTTGATAATGTCGCCATAATCGTTGTAGCACTAAAATAAATAGTTTGTGATTAATACCACACAGTTGTTAAATAAATTTCCCATCTTGGAGATATTTTCGTTCTTCCTTACTCACCTTGACATAATATTTAAAAATGCTTGCAGCTCGCATTGTTGGTATAATATTGTACACTACCAGCTTGCAGTAACATGCTAAGAAGTTGCGTTTCTTATGCAGTTCCTCGATTCTCGTTTCATCTTGGGCCACATCTTGCTTAAGGGAAAAAACATAGTGTTGCACAAAATTGTCCAAGATGAGATGCTCATCCATTCGCGACTTGTACTGCAATCCACGAATGTGTTCTATCTCACTGCGAGCTAACTTGTCAGAGAAGATGATCAGAAGATCACAGATTGACTGGTATGCCTGCAAACTCAATAATTATATTTTCTAAAAATTAATGTAAGTTTTTAATAACGAACCGCCTCTTGAATCTGCACTGTGGGACCATCGCGGGTTAGCTCAAAACAGGCTGCCATGAATGTATCTAAATTGCTGCGAAGTTCGGCCACTACCTCGGCCACATTGAGCGACTCGCAATCGTTCTCCACGTAGTAGAGTCCCCAGCTGATGGAGAAGTAACATGCCTCTATGCAATAGGCTAATGCTTCGTTGGGCAGACATCGGTCAACGTTCTCTTTGGACTGGGCCTCCTCGACGTCTTGAAACAGGGACTTAAACAGATCCCAGGGATTGAGGTTGTGCGAGGAGTACAAGATAGATAGGACCTTTAGGGTGATGGTTATGTTGTAAATGTCATCCTCATTAGGGGTCTCTTCTCCTGTGAAAACAATAAATTTTTGAAAAGAAATTATTTGGGTTTTAATAGGTATGTTTATAAATACCTTGAATGAGGTTGCGCCACTCCTCGATAGCGTCCTTGTACTTGTTCACCGCACTCTCAATTATGTTGGATCTGGCGATGTTGCATCTAGTATAGGTGGCACTTCCCTCGGCACATAGACATTCAAGAGTTTTTGCGCATGTTTCCAGCACCTCGCGTCCCGTGTGCATGCTCATTACCTGATTGATACGATCTAACAAAGCCTGTAAATTGCTCTCTTGTCGATTGGTGGTGTACAGATTAAGATCGAAGTACTGGGGTACTGCAAGAAGGTTCGCCAACTTCTCGCTGTCCGCCTGATACTTCTCCAGCAGCGATGGCAAAGTGACAATAAAGTGTTCGGTTAACTTGGCCTTTTCATCTTGAATAGCCTTTAATTCCTTAGCACTAAGCGTAAATTTTCGATTACTAGCGCGCCCGACCGGGATTTCTCCAGTGGCTGATTGTTTAACACTGCTGACCATGATCTCAATGAGCGTGGATTCCTGCTTGTTGTCGAGGACCTCCTCGTTCGGACCAGGCTCTTCCAGCAGCAGATCCGTCATACATTCCCAGTCCCTAACCATGTCATTGCTATCTATGAACGAATCCACGAGATAAGCGCCATGCTCGTGGAGCTCGGACTCGATAAAGAACTGCACCAAGTCCCGAACCAGCGGAGTATTGGGCATCCGTACTTTGCCACGTTTGGTCTTTGTCTCTTCCATGTCAGCAGTTAAATGGAACAAGCGAACGTTTAAAAACTCGGCGGCTGCCTGGGCCACACCACGATGAGAGGAGTAAACCAACTCGTAGACGATTTCACAATCCTTGTCAGCCAAAATCTCTGGGTGAATTCTGAAAATAAAAATTAATATCTCTCAAATTAATCCTTCTGCTTTAGATAACACTTTAGGATTGCACTAAATTCAATTGAACATACTTCAAAATACTGATCACCAGTTTGACGGCATGAACGGACACCTCGAACTCCTTGTCCAGGGTCATGGCCACAATCCTGTCCTTAAACTTGGACGTAAACAATTCTAGTTTGCCCTTGAGTTCTTCCTTCTCGTACAGCGGCAGCAACGACTGTAGGCAGCGCAAACGCACCTCCCCGATCTTGTCGTGGAGTGTCCATCCGATGTACTTTAGGTACGAGTCGTCAAGAAAGTTTTGCGGATAGTTCTCCATCCAAATGCCAATCTCGGCCATACAAATTGCACGTATGTCTGGGAGACTGTCCCGGTAGCGGTGGACAAACACAGATTTAAACATGTAGGTTAACATGCTTTTTATTTCGTCCATATTCTCTTCTAGTTCGGACCGTTTTGTCATTAGCGAGTCCAAGCGGTCAGAAGCCCGCCGATCGCGAGACTACAATAAGTTAAGATAAGTAATAAAATCTTTGTCAATAATTTCAGTCCCACCTTTACTCGTTCAGCTTCAAATTGCTTCGCAGCGTTGTCAAAGTTATTCGAAACAAGTAGGGCCACATCCACCAATGCTGTCATCAGCTTCATGGCTGCCAAAGTGGCCGTGTGTCGGAAGGCACGCACCTGAGAATCCGACAGTCCTGTAAGCAGGGAAATTACGTTATCCATCAAAAACTGGTCGTAGATGATGGAGTACTGGCACTGCTTCACCAGCGTTTGAACGAAATCGCAGAAATTATTTTTAAATTTTCGCCACTGAGTTCCGGTCATGATCAAGGGATATTCTCCACTTTCCTGTAATATTTAACAGTTAGATATGGAGCAATGTGGACATTTCCAATGGACTTACCTCGTCAAACTCCTCAGTCATTCGTCGGATAATGGCTGTGTGATCCACAGGATACTGTATATCCTCGGATATTTTGCCCTTGCAGCCGCTAGCGTTTATGAAGAACTGCATCAATGCGACCAGCGCTGTTTCCCGGTTTGCTTTGTACTGTTCAATCCACTGGTCAACAATGCTCTGGAATGAGAGGCCCGAATATTAATTGTTCGATTGCAAAGCAAATGGATTTCCTACGGCAATGGGATTCTTGGAGTGGCGCACAATGTAGTACAGACTATTCTCGTCTGTGGTAATCTCCCGTTCATTGTCGATCCGCTCATGTTGTCCTTTGTCCACAGGCTCCTTGCGCGGCCGGTCAACGCGTTCCTTGCGCTCTGCTGGTCCCTTACGGGTGGCTGGTGTCTTTCGTTTGCGCGCTATTGGCGCGAAAAAGTCATCCTCGTCGTCATCAATTATGGGAGGTTTATCGCGAACACCGCCCCGTGCACGTAATCTGGTCATCCGCTTGGTGGGACTATCCGCATCCGAGGTGCTTTCGTTTAAAGCATCGCTAAAACAAATAAATCACATTATTTAGAAAAACAGAAATGGTGGGAAACCAGAGTGTTGCACCTATGCAATTCGTCGTACTCCGGAGGCGGATCATCCATCCGTATGCGCTTTCCCCCGCGACGCGCCATCATTGTAAATATTTCACTGGATCCTGATTGGTATGTTTGGGTCAAATTATTAAGTGTTAAATAAATCAACACAATTTTGACCAAATGCGTCCGCTTATAACAAGTGATGGTACACCCCTAACAATATAATGGGAAAAATATCGATAGACAAGGGCTGTACTTAATGATAAATAGTCAAAATAAGAATTACCAACTGTGTACATTTCAAAGCAAAATTATAATACTAATTTCTCCATAAAAATGTATTTATCCATAAGCATTCCAGCGAAATTTTGTTTTAAATATTTTCTGCAGTGTTAAATAGCTGTCCAGCCCTGCATACATCGATAGCAACGACTAGCCGCAACGCTTCACCAAAAGGAAGAAGAAGAACAACAACAAGATTTTACTGAGCTACAACGTAAAGAAATTAAAATCATTATAATATGACAGACTTTGGAGGAGATTCTGGTGGACGGCTAAAGGGCGTAACTATAGTCAAACCCATTGTATACGGGAACATAGCAAGATCCTTCGGTAAGAAACGGGAGGAGGACGGACACACACATCAGTGGAAGGTCTATTTGAAGCCCTACTTCAATGAGGACATGTCCATTTATGTGAAAAAGGTGCACTTTAAGCTGCACGAAAGTTACGCCAATCCGAACAGGATCGTTGTGAAGCCGCCCTACGAGATCACGGAGACGGGTTGGGGCGAATTCGAAGTGGTAATCAAAATCTACTTCAACGATCAGTCGGAACGCCCAGTTACGTGCTACCACATCCTGAAGCTCTTTCAGTCGCCCGTCGTTGATGGCGAGCTCACTTCCAGCACCACTATGGACACCAAGAAGGGTCTGGTCTCGGAGTCCTACGAGGAGATCGTCTTCCAAGAGCCCACACAGATCATGCAGCATTTTCTGTTGCTCTCAGAACAGAGCGCCAATGGGCTTTTATCCCATGACACTGACTGTAACTACGATCTAATCACTATACTTGTATTAGTAACTTAAATATTTACTTTTCTAGTTGAGGAAAAAAAAACGAAAACGCTGGACAACATTGTCAATGTGAAACAGAAGGTCAAAGGGGAGATCGTTACACTTAAGGACAAACTAAAGCTGGCACGTGAGACCATATCTAAATTTAAGGCAGAATTGGCCAAGGTGCAAAAGCAACCTGCGTAATATATACATATGTACACCGTTTCTGCTGAAAAGCTATTGAAACATTTTAGAAATCAATTTCATTGGTTTTAAGAACCTATGTGTAAGTTATTAAAAAGAGGATACAATAATGAATTATGTTTTCGACTAAGCTATTTTATACTCTATACTATTTTATTAAGATTTTTCGTTAAGTGCGAATTCAAACTAAACCAAAATATTCATTTTTCTTTTCTTGAAGTACATTTTGCGATATATCGATGACTATCGATGTGAAAAGTTATGGATTAGCTGAAGCTTTCTGTTCTGAATATACAATACCGTTTTTCTTAATATCAAGATGACTTAAATGATGAGTGCCTGCTGTAAGAGCCCAAGCTTTCTTCAACCTTGAGCATAAATTTTAATAACTCTCCTTATAGTCAAATTATAGAGTATCTGGAGCTCGAAGAACAACTTATTCTATGGCAGGCTACTGAGTCCTTTTCACGTTTAAATAAGGTTGTTTCAAGCTTTTGGCAGAACCAAAACAAACACTCTTTACATTGGAAAACATTTAAAAATAAGGCGGTACTTCTTTATAACTTTCTGGAGTGCATCAGTTCTACGATAGTGAACGTAACTCTCGAAGATTTTCCCATAGATCAGCTGTATGTTTTCAGAAGTCATTGTTTTCCGATGGCTCGGATTCTGGACTATTCGGTAAAAAAATCCGATGTTGACGATGATATAGAGAGTCTGGTAAATTGCTTTCCCCTCATAGAGTCCTTTAAAGCCAGAATTGAAGGTAAGGACCATACCTTTGAAATACTAAACGGCCATCATGTCGCCAGATGGAAGCACCTTCGAAGACTGGACATAATTGGTGCTTCCAGACACTGGAAAACAAAATGTTTTCAAAAAATATGCCAGATATTGCCCCTACAGTTTTTGAGCGTCGCGTGGAGAGAATCGGAGGAAGACGACTATGTGGAGGCTATATTAAAATTACAGGAACTTGAAGAACTGCAACTGGAGCTCAATCTCGTCAGTAGGGAAAATACAAACAAGCTATTGACTTTGCCAAAGTTGCGAAAACTTCGCATTGATGAATTTAAAGACGTGGAGAATTTTTTGGATAGCATAGTCGAAATGCGGAGACAGGATGTTGTGGCACTCACCTGCAACGAGAACTTTTGGCTCTGGCTTACTCCCAACCGCTTTCAAAATGTGCGAAAAGTTTCCATAATTAATGAAGGAGTGGTGGATGGACTATGGTGTGCACAAAGTTTTAAAAACGCTATTAACGAATTTCCAAGATTAACAGAATTGTATTTGGAGAACATAACCATTTGGGAGACTGGTGATGCATTTTGGGACATGGTATACTCCTGTCCTCAACTCCAACTTTTACAATTGCAAAACCACGAGGTAGAGGATGGATTCTTAGAGTTCAGTGCGTCGACTATGAACAAGGCTTTATATCAGCGCAAAAAGCGTTTGGTCATACATTTTTCTAAAACTTGTCAGAAGGATTTGGTAAGTAATTTACTTGCTTTTATTTGAACAAGCCTAATGTTTATTTTATTCATAAGATTTTGCAGCTTTATAATCATTCCATGCTAAAGATTTTATTTAAAGTCATCAAGGATGCTTATCCAAATTTGATTGGTGGCCTTCTAGAACTGGAATTTACGACTAGAAAGGTTTTGTAAGCAAACAAATTATATATACATTTTATAAAATAATTAAATTGAACTCTAAATTAATATTTTAAAGTTTTTAAGATTTACGTATATTGTTGTCGCATAATAAAAGCAAAATATGCAAAATCCACTACTGAGATCCAATTCTCATTTGGAAAAAAAATAAAAGTTATTAAGTTAGCTTGTTTAATAAAACATTTTATCAAGAATATGGCAGTTTAAAACTTCTGACCAAAATAAAAGTACATTATAATAATAATTATTGGCACATTGATAATTAAATAATAATAACTTGTATTTTAACAGTTTGCTAAATAAATAGGTGTACGGTTTGAAAAAGCTTGTAAAAGATTTTCGTATGTATGGAATGTATGCTGCGCTAAATAAAGACAAATGACTAGCAACGTGACTAATCTATTAATTATTACCAAGAAGGATGTAAATTATTTCTTTTGTAATGAAAAAGAAAATTTCGAGCAGCCCAGGGCTCCTGAAAGTCCTGCAATGAAAAGTAGAGCAGCCTGCTTCATTTTCAGTGTGTAACTGAGTTGGGCTCCGCTCTGTAGGGACTTTTTAAGCCTTTCTTCGATGCTAATACTATTAGCTAGTCGTTACATAAGTAGTCTAGATCTCCGTTTCAAATATTATTAGTCAGACATCCGCAAATTGGATTTCATGATATAATTATAAATTATAGATTTACAACGTACAATCTTTTATATATTTTTTTGTCGAGAACTTTTTTAATTCACACTTTTGGTTGGGTGTTGGTTATAGCTATAATACAACGAATATTTGTTAAATTACACAACAAATAGCAGTAGATGACTAAATAACAAATTTGTTTATCGTAATTGATAACACTATGTTTGATAGGATCTGGAGGATTTTTTTCCATTTCGACTAGAAGTTGATAGTGTTTGAAAAACATTTAAGAGAAAACAATTTTTATTTCTATCGTGTTGATAGTTGATAGAAAAATAAAAAAAATGACTCCAGGACCTTTCAAAAATGGCAAAGACCACGTTAAATATTACAATTAAGTTTTAAATGTTGTTTAAGGATATGGATAATCAATGAAAAAAGTAAATTTTTAGTAACGTAATAGTTTTATATTTATGAACTGATGGTAAAAATATGGTGACCAAAACATTTTCCTTGTTCCTGCAAGGGTATATAACTGTCGGCTTACCAACGTTATCTTCCTTACTTGTTCACATATACATAGAACAAATATAAATTTAGCTGTTCAACAATACCAAGGCCGACTGTAGCTCATTGAACCAGTGAATTTTGAACCAGTGATTTCCACCGGCTCGTCGGCGAACGAATCAATGCAGATGAACCAGCGTCCCGGTTCCAAATCCAGTTCCAGCATCCCCACAGAATAATAAATGCCATTGTTTATTTGACTTGTTGAGTGCATGTGCTTGTCCGGTGGCTTCGGGTCCCGATCGAAGCCCAAATTACAGATACATTGATTTTATGGACCTGGATCGTTACACGTTAATGTGGCTCACGATTCCACATACACACACAGACATATATAAGCCATAAGTGATGCGCGATTGCCAAGAGTAAAAACTGTTAACTGCGCAAACGCAACCGCGTTTTTTGACCCAGAACCAATCGAAAAACGTAGAAGAAAGGTAAGTTGATGGATTTATCAATGTTTCGGATTCTGATATTTTCGGGTGAGCCCCGTCACTTGCAGCAGCCCCCTTAATGACGCTGCTCACATCCTCGCTGCTGCTCTTTTCGCTGCTGACGTCGCGACTCGAAGCAATTCCGGTTTCAGAGAAATCCCCCGCTCACCCTTCACCTGGCGTGCGAATTCTTCGCGCACCCGAATCTTTGGTGGCGCCCCTCGGAGACGAGGTGGTGCTGGAGTGCGAGACCAGTTTGCAACCAGAGCGCTTCGAGTGGAGCCACCGATCTAGCAAGTCCCCAGGAGGCGGGTTCAAATACCTTCGGACAGGCAACTCCAAGGCGAATGTATCCCACGAGGCGGCTATTTCGCGGCTCAGGGTGCTCGTCCGACCGGACACTCTAGGGGAGTACCGATGTATTGGCTGGTTCGGTCCCCTGGTGGTCACCTCCACCACGGCCCGACTGGAGATGGCCAGCACTAGCCTAGTGGGCCCAAAGGAATCGGTTTCACCCCTCCAATGGCGGGTCGCTGCAGGGAATTCGGTGCTCTGGCCCTGCGGTCAGCAGGTGCAATCCAATCCATCTGCCACTTGGTCTTACTACCGGAATGGAGTGGAAATTAAAGCCGAATTCCCCGGAACTAGTGGAAATGTCTTTCTGACCAATGTATCCTCCGAGTCCTCAGGCAGCTATTCTTGTCAGGCCACGAACCCTGCCTCTGGCGAAAGAATCCAGCCGTCCGCATCGCTGCACCTGCAGGTTACTTCAACCCAGAGGTCGCAAAGCAATTCCCCACATTGGCTCAAGGGCCAGCCCAACTCCCAAACAATAACGGCCCGAGAAGGAAGCTCGCTCCTGCTGATGTGCCCTGGGGTTGGCTCACCGCCACCCACTGTTGTCTGGAGCAGTCCCGATGTACTGGGAGCTGTTAAAAACAGGCGTTCAAAAGTATTTGACCATGCTTTGGAGATATCAGACATCCAAGTTCAGGATGCAGGCACCTATATCTGTTTCCAGGACAATGGAGTGCGTCCCGCGCTGGAGCACTATATACAAGTGCGCGTACAGCGTCCGCCGCAAATTGTGCGACCACCTTCGGCGAATCTTACCAACGAGGGTGAACGGTTGCAGCTGGAGTGCGAAGCCACGGGAGTCCCTACGCCAGAGATCTACTGGCTCCTGAACGGACACAGCAGCACAGATGATACGGAGGCTGAACTGTCCAATAATATTCTGATACTGCACAGTGTCCTGAAGCGTCATGCCGGCTATGTGCAGTGTTTTGCCCGAAATAGTCTGGGAGAGCACAGTGCGGGAACCCTGCTACAAGTTAATCCCAAGCAGATCCAAGAGCCGAGAGAATCGGGAGGAATCCACCGACCGAAGCCTAACCAGGGGCCCAAGCAGAAGCAGATGTTTCCACCATCTCCCCCAAATGTTACCCGACTGACCGATGAATCCGTGATGCTCCGCTGGATGGTGCCTCGCAACGACGGATGGCCTATTGTCATCTTTAAGGTGCAGTACCGCATGATGGGAAAGAGCAAGAACTGGCAGACCACCAACGATAATATACCCTACGGAAAACCCAAATGGAACTCGGAGATGGGCAAAAGTTTTACCGCCTCGGTGACAGACTTGAAGCCCCAGCACACCTATCGTTTTCGCATTCTAGCTGTCTACTCCAACAACGATAACAAGGAAAGCAATAAATCAGCCAAGTTTTACCTCCAGCCAGGAGCAGCACTTGATCCAATGCCAGTGCCGGAGCTATTGGAGATCGAGGAACATTCGGAAACAGCAGTGGTACTGCACTGGAGTTTGGCCAGCGATGCGGATGAAGATCTGATCACAGGATACTACGCTTACTATCGCCCCTCGTCCTCAGCGGGCGAATATTTCAAGGCCACCATTGAGGGAGCCCAAGCGAGGAGCTTTAAAATCGCGCCCCTGGAAACGGCCACCATCTACGAGTTCAAGCTGCAGTCCTTTAGCGCCGTCTCCGCTTCCGAATTCAGTGCCCTCAAGCAGGGACGCACACAGCGTCCCAAGACCAGCACCACCGAGGAGCCAATCCAACCAATGGGTGACCGAGATACGACCACGCCCAGTCACAACGAGACGTTCAGCATGAGTCCCATGCTGACAGGTACAATTTGTGGCGGAGCAGTCCTTATCCTACTTTTAGTCAGCACTTGCTTGTGCGTATGCCGGCGAAAGAGTTCTCGAGGCAGGGGAAACAATCAAAACAAGCCGAGAATGGCGGATCTACGGGAAGATTTCGTGCCACTGGGAAACTGCTCGCCCTCTAAGCAGCGCCAGCGAACCCGTCACATACATATCACCCTCAATCCGCTGGCTCAACAGCAGCAGCAGGCGATGGAGGAGAAGAACGACAGCGAACAGGATGTGGCTTACTACCAGCGACAGTCCAGCTACGACTACGATCCCGGCCTGCGGAGGATGTCCTCTTCCTCGCTGCGTCGCTCACAACGCACGCTGGAACGTGCCGGCGGCAGTAATGGCTCTAACAATGGAAACAATAACAATCTAAATCAATCCTCAGAGGTAGGTCCAGTCGAAAATCCCGGTAAGCCGGGTCGTGTACTAAAGAAGCGTCCCCGGTTGTCCAGTCGCTCCGAGAACCTTTCTTCCGGCAGCCTTAACAGCGTGGGCGTGTAATCGCAATCTCGTGATCTTTAGTCTGTACATCCTTAAGGCCGATGTATCATGCTATTCCTCTACCTCTGTTTTATCTACCATTTTGAATGACAAAACCCTTACTGTTTGTACTTATACGAATACCACATAGAGTTAAGGTACTTAAATAGACATCACTAGATTTATGCATGCATGATCGTTTAAGAACATAGCATTATGTCCATTCTATGGTAAGTCTTCCAAGTTTCGCGATAAGATCCCAATCTGTACTGATAGCTTCTTAATGACCTTTACAAAAATGACAATAAAGCTTGTAGCTTCATCTTTTTACCTTATTCGAATTTTTTAAAATAACAAAAAATAGTTTTAACATTAAAAAAAATAATGTCTAGCTTGGGCAATCCTGTAAACTTTACACTCTCGGTGCGATTCGTCACTACAGGGACTGCGGGATGAAATTATTATGCCACAGAAAAGCTGTCACGTTTGTGCAACCATAAAGGTTACTGTTAAAATTTATATTAATCGAAGGGTATTGATTTTTTTTTAATTTATGTACATACCAAGACTTTTATAAAAAATTGCGGTTAAAGTAAAGACAAGAAGAAAGTTGAAAGAAAGTATAAACGTTACTAGTAGAGTGAAAGAGATTACATTTTTTTGTTTTAATTTACCTTCTAACCTGTCCACGAAACCATTTTAATTTTTAAGACAGGATCACAGAACTAATACGGTTTGCCGTGATTGTTTCTTTACCAATAAGCTATTGCCTATAGAATGCAGTTTGTATGTTTTTGGGTACAAACAAATCGACCCAATCGTCTGGGCAAACATGCTTTACAGTTAGGTTTCAGTTTGCTTAAATTTATTAGGAAAATAAAACTGGTGTTAGCTTCCCGCCAAAAAATCAAATTCAATTTAAATAAAAATCTCATATTATGGTATTTTTATGGTATATCAAAAAGTTCAGCGGTATATTGCGGTGTGGCGTTAGGTATTTTATCGACAAGCAAAGGCGTTTGGGATTTAATAAGCTGTCAGCCAATAATTGGGTCGTCGTCAAAATTTCTATTAGTATCGTTTTTTCTATACATATTTTGGCCGAAAAATCAAATGAAGCGGTTAAGCTAAGGTCCAAGCTGCTCCAATCCCGCACAGAACGTAAGCCCCGGTTATTAGCTCGAAAAGTCACCAAATGCACGACTTCCCATTGTTTTTGCAGAGCCCGAAGCAGAGGGCCTGGCCTCAAAAACAATAGAAATCATTAAATCGCAACCGCACTGGGCAGGATGTCGAACCTATCCGTGGGCCAGATGATAATGGACGCGCAGCGCATGGCCAGCCGGGTCAAGGACCTGGACGCTCTAGGTACGGCACTCCTGGAGGAGGCGGAGACGAACAATCGGCTGGTGGAGAGCCTGCGACAATACCAGGACGACATAGAATCACTTAACCGCATCTCGAACAACAAGACCAACGCGGACATGGTCAATCGTATCCAGCAGCAGAACATCAACAGCTCGGAGATCCTCAAGGAGAACCGCGAGCTAAAGATCTGCATTGAGGACTACGAGCGCGTCATGGAGCTGATGATGCAGAAGTATCGCGAGCATACTGTTTCCAAGGTCTTGGACAGCAAGTTCAGCTTCAAAGAGCTGTACAACGAGCGCATGTGGCAAGTGATCCGGGAGCAGCGCGAAAAGATAAACGAAATGGCCGCCGTAATGCAGCGGGCGGCCAGTGTGGACGACGGCGTAGTGCAGCGGGAACTGCAGACCATTTCCCAGCTGCGCCTGGAAAACGAAACGCTGCGGGAGCTGCTCCAGATTTCCAAGCAATACGGCTCCGCTCAGCGACCAATCCGCGAAAGCGACCACCTGCTAGAGGAAAAGGCCGTGCAGACGGACAGCCTGGCGGACGACTCCGCCGACGATCTGTCCATATCGGGCGCCTCGGTGGAGAACATAAACAACAACTCGGTTATCCAAATGTACAACAGCCCGGAACAGCCGGCAAAGGCCACCGCCGCCACGAACACATTCAACACTGCCCCAGTTCAAAGTCAAAGTGAATCACCAGCACCCTTTGTGGCGCTGGAAACTGCTGCGACGGCTGAGCAGCCGGTAGCCAACGAGAACAACAACGGACCTGCAGTCAACTCAACCAGTGCGCTGCCGCCAGCGACGACGCCAAACGAATCTGACGAGCATCAGGCGCCTGCAGCGCCCGCAACATGATAGGCGCAGGTGCTCCACGTTGTTGTTTCATTTGGACTTCTTTTCGATCGCAGCGCTGTTTTATATTCTTTACTCACCCAGTCACAAAACAGCCCGCAAATGAAGAGGGCACACATAACCTGCATTAGGTCTTAGCGATTGATAATCTCTAAGTAATTTATACATACGCATTACAGCATAATGTCCATACGCATTGTAAACAATGAAATTCATAATTCAAAGGAAAGAAACCCACTCACACACACACCAATGTAATGTACAATGTACTCTGTCGATTTTATGATTTCTAAATAAATTCAATAACAAATCGAGGATTAACCAAATCTTTGTCGATTTAAATTCATTTTATGCGACGCCAGCAGCGATTTTAATCTGAATGACTAAGTCAAATTGTATAATTTATTTATATGACTCACGGCTTAGCAAACAACTTTGCTTAATATTCATAAGTGCGACAAAAAAAAAAACAATGAATAAAATAACCAATTCTCATAAGGGCTGACTTTCCCGCAGCATTTCCATACAATTTTAAATGTTTACAAGAAAATTGAATAATTATAAAACATAAATTCGAATCTTCGAGTTATAGAAAGTTTAAGCTTCAATCTAATGAGCTTTTAATAAAAGCGATTTTTGATTACAAAGAGGGGTTCTTAAAAATGCATCTTTCATCTTTCAAAAACAAATAATAGTTTTCATGGGAAAGTAAACAGAGAGACGATTTTATTTCATTTAATAATTACTTCCATTTTTTTGTATAATGCCTTTAAAAGTATACTGCGATTCTTCATGAACATAACATTCAAAATCGTTAGGATAGATAACGGAGAAATCTCGGTTGAGCTTCAAAAATTACACATTATTTTCAAACGTATGCAAATATATCTCACCGATTCTCATTGACGAAATGCGTTCTCTTAAGAAAAATACTTTACGTCGTACGACTGGTAGTTTAAGCTTTCAGAAATAATTTAAATTTAGTTTCTTGTCGATTTCCAACGCGTTCACAACCCAAAAACAGCGCCAGGGTATTGCGCCCGGTTCGCATGGCAGCTATCTATATAAGTATTTCGAGTGCTCGTGCGGTCGACGGTTATATTAAAGCTATATAAATATCCATGTGTGCGGCCCTGCCAGGGTGCATGAGATTGAAGAAAAATACAATTTGGAAGCGTTGCATTGCGTGGATCGTATTGAAGATATTGTAAACAAATATTTTTGAATCTCTCAGAAGAGGCAGCCATTTCCGATATTTCCGAAAAGTCTTGCATTTGAAATCCGCTGGAATATTTATAGGAAGTACGCTGCTTATTAGGAAGAAAAAAAACGATGCTATTTATAAATCACAGCTAATTTCTGTGTTCCTAAATGTTTTGTATTAAGTGAATGTTCCAAAATTAAATCAAAATATCGCGAACAAGGCAATAGCCTGTTGTGTGTGATCGAAAGTGAAAGAAAGGATTCGGGGATTGCATCCCTTGAAATGAATGTATATGTACATGGTGTAATCGGCAGGTAAATGCCGCTGAATAATCCGAAGCAAGACGCACAGAATCCCGACCCGACGGTTACGCAACACAGCTGAAAGATCCACACCGTCTACATCCAAGAGGCTGGCCCCATTCCCCGTCTTCCAGCCGCAAATTATTCTAAATGCGGAAGTATTTCGTGTGAGTCGATGGCGTTCTAAATTAAGTCACCGATTTTGCCAGTACCGCCGCAAAAAAACAGAACGGTTCAGATGAAAATAGATTAAAACGATGATAATTATTTATAAACGCACTAGGGATTTGCAACGCTCGAAAAAGAGTGAACAAAGTGAAGAGAAAGGAGTGGTGAAAGCTCCTTGCCTTTCTCTGCAGTTCGCTCTTACGTCCAATTTTTTGTTTTCGCCTAGAAACATGCGCAAGCGAAACCAATTCGCCTGCGCAACTTCCACCTGTGCTAGTTTATTTTCTCCTTGCTCTCTTGATCTCTCTAAAAATACACAATGGATCAGATGGATACATATTTGTTATTGTTTATATTTACCATTTATTTTCAGTTGTTTACTGTTTGTAAGTAGTGCATTGCTTGAAATTACAGATATAAACAAAATCTCGGCAAGTTAATTGGACTTACAAACATATCTTGATATAAAAAAACAACTTGGCTATAACTTCGATTTTTTTTATTTTTTTTATCAAAAATACATATTTTTAAACAAATACTAATTTTTTAAAATTTAATTCAATTTGTTTTGAAACCAAATAGGTGAACAGATAATTGCAATTGATTTATCACCTCCCTTACTCCCCTATTCTACGTCCTGGCATTATCAATTTTTGAAACAATTAAGCCTACTTTTGATAATAGCCTCTTTTAGTGCCAGTAGACTTCGGAAGACGTTCTATTGATTGCCACATTTAAACTGTAATTTGTTTCTTAAAAAAAAGTTTTAAGTACTTTAGTACATTGTCCTATGAATGATCCAGCAGTCTTAAAATATTTGTTTCCAAAATCAACGAGAACTTCGTTGAACATTTCAACATTTGTTTCAAGATTTCTAAATTACAATACAAAACATATTTTTACTTCCTTGATAGTAAAACTAAGTGAATGGTGAATGGTATCCTTTTGATCCAAAAACTTGCTTTCGTATGAATGTTATCTTAGTTCACAGTAAATTGCTTACCTGAACCAAGCACATACAAAACAGACCACTACTTCTAGCTAAAAAGTAATGGATTACATTTTCTTGTTTCAGTCATCAGAGCTGTAAATGGTCCTCATATGACATCGTTTTCGCTTTGGTTTCCCCTAGTTCAAAGAATTAAAAAAGAACAGTCAGTAGTTAAATGCAAAATGCAAAAAAAAGAAACGATTTTTGATTTTAACTATATAGACCTTATTTAAAAAATAATATTGGTTATCTATTTTTAAACCCTAATAAAGGGGTATAATTTCAGTCTATGTTTGCAACGCAACGTTTTAGGAGCAGAAGAGAGTCAAGACTTGAGATTATAGTCAGAACATAATAATATAAAAAGCTCATGCAAGTCTTAGTTAGATCTGCAATGGTTAAATATTAGATGAATATAATTTCTAGTTAATCTACTTTGCACAGAAATGTTTAGCCGGGGCTATCATCCTAGTTCAGGCTCTGGAAAGCCTTAAGTAGAATGATTTTGTTTGTATTAATTTAATACGGTCAATATGTATTCCGTATTGTAAACACCTCACGGGATGCCCATACTCCAATTTCGGACGGACTAGCGAAATAAATAGAGTCTTAGTGACATAAGGATCGAATTCTTTTTACCACCTTTTAATAATAGCAAGCACAAATCTAGCTTTATTAACCATGGATCAAAGATGATCAGAAAACTTTAGTTTTAGGTCTGAAAGGACATTTTGGCGTCCTAATAAAAGTTTGTTAACAAGAGTTCTTCTATCCAAAGAGTAGTAGGTCGCTTATTTTATAAAAAGTTTCCACTTAGAGCTGTTTAAATTTTAGTACATTATCCCGGTACCAGTCTTAAAACTTATTAAGATCAGATCTATTGTAATTCAAAAAGGGAGGAAATATCCTTATACTGCTGGCATAATATACCATCATCAGCAAACATAAGTTCACAGTTTAAGATTAATTACTTATAACTAAAGGAAGGTTGTTAAAAAAGAAGCGGTCAAAGATGGCTTTCCTGTAAGGCGCCAGAGGTAACAAGGAGAATATGAGAAAGAACATTTTTAAAAAGGACCCTTTGTGCCCTGCCACGCAGATCCATATTAGGAGATCAACTGGAAACCCTAACAAAGTCAAATGCTTTACTAAAGTCAGTGTAATTCACCTACTTTTCAAGCCCTTTATCACAAATGAAAAGAGCTCCAAAAGGTTAAGGGTTCTGATTTACGTTTTACAACGTGTAGACACGAAGATATAATTGATCTGCAGATGAAGAGTGGGTTAAAAAAAATATGAAATGCGGATTTAATTATATAAATTTATACGCACAAAAATCGTCGTTTTGCTAAATATTTTATTTTTTTAAAAGCTGCAATAGTAAATAAACTTCAGCTTGCGAAGAACAGAAAGCACTTTTGTTAGTTGTCGGTTAAAATCAGGCTTCGTAAAGCAGTACATATGTTTCGAAGTTTGAAAATTGAACATTCTAATTCTAAACAAACAGTTGGTTGAAAAAGTAAATCCGTCCTAAACATGTCTTGGTGTATTTATTTAAATAAACAACAACGAAAGCAAACTACGGCAAGCCGAACGGCTACATTTCGATTTCTATGCCTATATTACTAAAAACAATGGAGCTATGTTGATTTTGCGCTGCATTTTGCCATCGTTTCTAAAACAGCTATATGATATTGTAAAAAATATATGATATTGTAAAAGCGTAATTCTGATATGGTAAATAATTACTATATCTCAAAGGAGTGCGCTATATGGTATGAATGTCCGATTTGAATATAATTAAAACCGTAATTCCATAGTATTTAAATATTACCAAATCCCAAAAAACAAAACAACAAATTAAAAACAACCCTTGCTGAGGGTTTTATAATTTTTAGTATTATAGGTATAGAAATCGAATATTAGTCGTTGTAATAACTGCAAGAGGATATAAACTTCGGCTTGCCAAAGTTTGTCCCCTTTCTTGTTAATTGAAGAATTTAAGACTTTAAAAAAAAAATCCAAAGTTTTAAGGGAAATCGGGGCTTAACCCAGTAATAGTTGAATACCGTTTAAAAGGAATTATTAATAAGAAAATAAAATACAAAATCGTTTGACACTATTTTCAAAACATTAGCTATTTAAAAGTAATGGCCAAGTGCATGAAAACAACTGCACTTTGGTTGACAACGTTCTACTGTTTGATGTGCGTGTACAACATTCTTTTCTTGACTTGGTTTAATGCCAGAAATTCTTTAGTTTTGTATAGAACCGGTCGATTGGCATTCCCAATGTTGATCGCGCAAGCCATATATACATATGTGGATCCAAATGTACTAAAAATCTAGAAAACAAAATGTGCTGAAATCTTTTGCTATCCTGTTTAGTTTAAAATATAAATGAGTTTAAAATGAATAACTAGAAATTATAATTTGTTATTGATTAATATTTTTGACAAGAAGCAATTAATAAATAAATTAGTTTTTGTAGAAGAAATAATCAAATTTAAAAAACGTATTCAGGCATTAGCAAACAGAAATGCTTGCAAGCCCTTGAAGTTTAAATTCATTCTACAGAAGCTTTGCGATTAAACTTTTATTTTGGTGGCGCTGCAACGGATATCTCATATTTTAAACATTTCCAATTACAGAAAAAGAAAAGCTGATAAGTTGTACGAGAACAGATGCATCATCTGTACCCATCGCTAAAAGGCGATCAGCTCTGCCCCCTCGGCTTCCATCCCCAGACTCGTTATCCTACGCGATGTAAGCGCTGCTTCCGGGATTACAAGGAGCATGGAGCCCGTAGAGCCGGCGAAGAGGTGGCCGCCTCCTCGCCTAATCTCTCAGATGCCCAGAATTCGCGGTGAGTCTTTCGAATAGTTAAACCAATCGGATCAGAAATTAAACTCTTTACCTAGACCCTCTTCGCGGACGTGGACGTCAACTCAGAATCTTTCCAGCGCAAACACAACCAACGGCAATGATATAGGTATGAGTGGAACCTGTAAACGTATTATACAATGTCGTTAAAATGTATGAAGATCGTCATCTGTTAATTAAAGGCCTTATCATGTTTTTTTATAACATAAATGTGTTCTCATAAAAATTAAAACTAAATAAAGGATACGAGAACTTCCATTTATCTTCATTTACTAGAAACCTAATATAAGTACTAGATTTTGTTGAGTTGTTAATCAACAGTTTATTTAAAATTAAATCAGTTTGTTTACATGTGTAGCAATTGTGTTTGTTTTAAGAATTTTTAGTGCCGGTTATTATTAATACCTGTATTAATAAACATTTTACTATCGATTTCTCAATGCCCAGGACTCACGAATTCACGAATAAAGTCACTAAAGAGCTCGTCAAAAATTTTCAATTTTAAATCTTTCTTTTAATAATATCTTCGAATATTAATCGGTGGCGCCACATTAAAATTTCAACCTTTTTAAAAAGTTGTTAGCTTAAAAGTGTTTTTGAAGGGGTAACATATAAATTTGCCTGTTTCAATCATTTTGTTATTCCGATCTAGGTTTTTTGTATCAATCCCTACATTGAGAAATCGTTTTCCAAATATTTAGTTCTTTAAGTTGCTTAAATAGACGTTACGAATCTTAATCACGTGTTTGTTTTGTATCTCTCTCACTCTCACACTGCGTTTGCACAAAAACCAACACCAACTGTGCCATCTCTGTCGCTCTGTGTCTGTCTCTCTATCTCTCTCTCTCAACACTAATATCTGCATTCAATGAACCGCTATTGTTAACTACTACCATGCGTCGCGTGATCTGTACTGTGCTCCCGCTCTCTCTCTCGCTCGTTCCGTGGCATCCGTTTGTCGCACTCACGTATGCGAGCGCAATTCAACGCTAATTGCAACCTCCAACTCACAATTTGCGCCTGCATGCCGGCACCTGACGTCCTTACTGAACCCAGTTGTCCACTTCAATGTAGAGCTGAAGAAGCGTCCGCAGTCATGGGCCTCCACGCCGGATATCGACGAGCCGGACGATGCCGGACGCCGTCCGCAAGCACCGACCACCAGTCGAGCAGCCGCCGTCGAGAATCATGATGTGGCTGTTACGTTGAAGCTGCCGGTGCCGCCACGGCGACACACAACCGCCTTAGACATCAAGGAGGTAAGATATGGATCGTCTTTAAGAAGCTTTATACAGATTTTGTATAGAGATGTGGTTTTATGCTTATATACATACATACATATGCATATTAGGTTGGCCGCCAAATATTTTCAATATTTATTCTCTCCCTATGTTTTATATGTTTATGTATGTACATACATATGTATACATATGTAGCCTTCCACACTTAAAATGTTCTATACCTTCTAAAGTAATGGTAATAATAGATATTAACATAATAAGAATTGTAGTGTTAGTTTTGACATATTACAACATTTTGAAATAAACTTGCGCTGCGTCAGAAAATAAAGAATCTTCATGCTAAGTCCCAAATCTGCGGGGGTTATAGTTTCCTAGATCTCAACGTTCATGGGGACGGAAAGACAGACGTGGCTTACTCGACTATGCTATTGATCCTGATAAAGAATATATGTAAATACTTTATAGGGCCGGAAACGCATCATTGCACTAGTTATATACTTTAATTACTCTACGAGTATCGGGTATAAAGATTTCAAAAAATGGGATTTTTCCTCTTCTGTCCCAAAAAACCAAGTCCTCCTTCCTTATTTCCTACCAAAATAAAAGAGGCTAGTAAGCTCAGTAAATTATACTCGGATAGTTTCTCCTATTTATTTACCAATTTTGTGTGTACAGTAACCTAGTAAAAGCCGGAGATTCTTTGATTCTCCTGATAAGTAAACAACCTACAGGCTGCTCGTTTTGTTTCAAATGCAGAAGGCATTTGCCTTTTAAGAACGTTACCACTTACGCAAAATGGTATACCTTATCTTTTGAAATTCGTAACTTCCAACTTTTTTGGAATTATTCCCCTTCCTAAGAAGGAAATACAATTACAGAGGTATCTCTAAGTTGTCCGCTTTTCCAAAGGTTTTTGAAAAAAATTTTTTTTCCATTTCAACATCGATTTATAAGGCGACAAACCTCATGGAGTTAACGTCTTGTGTAAACAAATGACATCAGCTACAGCTACATACAGCTACATTATATTTGTATTTTGCTTTAGGCTTGTTTTAAATATATCTCTTAAGTTGTAACAGCTTTATAAATTTAGTATTACAAATCTTTTTTCTAATACTCATCCTGTGCAGGTGGAACAAGCTCTATTACCGCCAACCCGTGTCACATCCTCACCCAGTAAAACTTCAAGTATTCCAGATGAGTTAGTCATCCTATCGACAGACAGTCTAGCAGAGCGTGTCCGCAAAATGAATCTTCTTAAGAAACAGCGGAGTCTGAACTCCAGGGAAAACAGTCGGGAGCGTTCCGTTCCACGGAGAGAAGAGTGAGTTTAACAAAATATATTTGATTTAGTAATGGCTGTATAACCAACCATATAAACAAGCTTTTTATTGAAAAGTAAACCTTTGGAAAGCCATTTTTTATAATATAATTTAATCAACTGATTCGCAATGTATTCTTAACCATTAGAGAAAGTGAGTCCACAGCTGTCTCAGCACCCGTGGTTCCCGATCGTCCAGAGCGCAGCAAGTCCGGAACTAACTTAAATCAAACGCCCCAAGCCGAGCTGAAGCGAGCCTCCTTGCCGCCAAAGAAAGTGGCGGTCCCAGCCATCACGACATCGTCCAGCACCAGTGGCACCACCTCCCTGAAGATCTCCACTTCCGGCAGCGAAGTGAAGGCCTCGTCCTTGAGTTCATCGACGAGCTCCAGTTCGGTTCGCCGCAAGGAGGTGGAACCAGTGGTTAAAAAAGAAATCAAAAGACAAACCGTACCCGCAGCATCGGCATCCCACTCTAATAACAGCACCATTGCCACTCCATCCAAGTCACAGGACTCACAGGCTATGCAGGAGCAAATGAAGACGCTGCGAGAGGATCTGGAGACGATGAAGACACGGGCTGAAAGAGCGGAGCGGGATAAGAGTGATATTCTTCTGCGGCGACTGGCCTCTATGGATACCGCCTCCAATCGGACCGCCGCCTCGGAGGCACTTAATCTCCAGCAGAAGCTGAACGACATGAAGGAGCAATTGGACCGCGTCACCGAGGACAAACGCAGGCTTAACCTGCGAATGAAGGAGCTGGAAAACAAGGGCAGCGAGTCCGAGCTCCGAAGAAAGCTGCAGGCCGCCGAGCAGATTTGCGAGGAGTTGATGGAGGAAAACCAAAGCGCAAAGAAGGAGATACTCAACCTGCAGGCCGAGATGGACGAGGTGCAGGACACGTTCCGCGATGACGAGGTAAAGGCTAAGACCAGTCTCCAGAAGGATCTCGAAAAGGCCACCAAGAACTGTCGAATCCTCAGTTTTAAGTTGAAGAAGAGCGACCGTAAGATCGAGACCCTTGAGCAGGAGCGGCAAAGCTCCTTTAACGCTGAACTGTGCAACAAGGTCAAGAAACTGGAAGAAGAGCTGCGTTTCTCCAATGATCTCACAAGGAAGTTGCAGGTGAGTGATCATAGAGAATTATAAAAATGCATACAAAAAGAATTCTTCAAAAACCAGGCAGAGGCCGAGGAGCTTCGCAATCCGGGCAAGAAGAAGGCACCTATGCTCGGCGTCCTGGGCAAATCCACATCGGCGGATGCCAAGATCACCCGAGAGTCCCTTACACGAGGCGGATCCCAGGAGGATCCTCAGCACCTTCAGCGCGAGCTACAGGACTCGATTGAACGCGAGACGGATCTGAAGGACCAACTGAAATTCGCCGAAGAGGAGGTAATGGCACATGACTCACAAAACTCACCCGAATAATCATTTCACCATTTTCGCGAAGCTTCAGCGATTCAGGAATCGCAAGCAAAACCGTGTTAGATTCAGTTGTGGCACTCAAACCGCTTCTGACACGCCCCTCGAGGTGATGGCTTTTCCTCGAGGCACACAAACTTTGGCCATTAGCCAGAGCGAAAAATCTACCAGTTTGGAGAACTTGGTGACCTCTAAAGAGGCTGTTACCCAAACAGATCTTGAATCGATCGATCCAAATGCTTCAACGGAACGGGAAACAATGCGGTCCCCATTTGTGGGACTTTTTCCACCTTCATCATCCGCCAGGGTCGGCCAGTCTGGTTCCTTGCTCTTCCCCAGCGCCATTTCGCGTATCCTTATGACTGGATCAGGTACCAAGAACCTAGCCAGGAGGATTAGTCGAAGGATACGATCCGAACCAATGCCTTTTCCTGTTTAGCAAATATTTGTAAAAGTAGTTTAAGTTCTGTTCCTTAGACAGAGCTCTCCAAAACTATTTTTATCCTCGAATACGATCTCTGAATGGTCCATTCAATCTACCCTGTGCCTCACTCTTCCTTATTCACTTGCAATAAAAAAAGTTTTTGTGTTTCAGGCTGAACATTTGAGGAAAAAGGTGACTCGTTTCGAGGATGAAAATGAGTCTTTGATGATGCAGTTGAAAAAAATGGCAACGCGCTCAAGAAGTACGAACCAAACGATACACCCAAGTAGAGAATTGATTTAACTAAATAATTAACCTTAGCTCGTAGACAAGTTAATGAAGTTGAAATCATTTAAATCGTACAGCCATGGTTGTCACTTTGACAGAGTCAACTGATTTACAGTGGTTTACAATGATTCTAAAAAAATTATCAAAGGCGACGTTTTTGGTTTAATTAAGTGACAACCGTGGAATTTAACCGTCATTCACTTAGGCTAAGGTCGCAAAAACTCTTTAAACAACGCGACTTAACATATATTTTTTCCTTTTTTTAACATAATTTTGAGGGTTTTAATAACCAACTAACTTGATTTTTCATGCGCTTATTAATGAATAAACCGAATCAGTCTTTTGCCATTTTTTGCGGCTGCTCATTTAATTAACTGTATCTAATCAAAAAAACCCTTATCTAAATTTGAGTTGCTAATAACTAACTAAACCCGCAATTAAAATAAAAAATATCAACTTAAATGATAAATAATGTTCTGACCTACCATTAGGTCGCAAGCTGAGTCCCACACCGCATCCTCACCGACTGGCACCCGAAGTTCACGCCGATCGCGATGAGGGAATCTCCGACGAGGATGATCCCGCCGAGCTTAGGATTCTGTTGGAGCTTAACGAACAGGAGGCCTCTATTCTGCGGCTCAAAGTGGAGGATCTGGAGAAAGAGAATGCCGAGTCCAAGAAGTACGTGAGGGAACTCCAGGCCAAGCTCAGACAGGACAGCTCCAATGGCAGCAAATCCTCTCTACTGAGTTTCGGCACCTCGTCCAGTGCGGCCGAAAAGAAGTTGAAGACCCTCAACGAGGAGTTGGGACAACTTCGCAGGACGCTGTTGGAAAAGGAACAGGCGGTGGACAAATTGAAGGATCAGCTCAGCAAATTGGACACCCTCGAAACCGAAAATGAAAAGTTGGCCAAGGAAAACAAGCGTCTACTGGCGCTGCGAAAAGCGAGCGAGAAGACCGGGGAGGTGGATCAAAAGATGAAGGAATCCCTGGCGTTGGCCCAGCGTGAAAGGGATGAGCTAACGGCCCGTCTCAAGCGGATGCAGTTGGAGGCGGAGGACAAGCTGCCACCACGTTCCGCCAAAAGAGTCAACGACCTGACGCCCAAGAGCCACCTTAAAAAGTGGGTGGAAGAACTGGAGGACGAAATTGGCGAAATGCGTGTCATGCTCAGTTCCAGTGGAACCGAGCAGCTCAAGGCCCTGCAAACGGCCAAGGGAACTCTGGAGGAGGACTTGAGGAAATGTAAGCAAAAACTGTCCCTGGCCGAAGGTGATGTCCAGCGATTGAAGCTTCTGAACGGAGCCAGCAGCAAAGTCGGCGATTTGGAACAGAAGCTTAAACAAAGCGATGAGGACACAAAAAAGCTAAATTCAAAGATGAAAGACTTGGAGGAAAAGGTCAAGAAGCAGGAGGCTCAATTGAAACTTGGTGAAACGACAAAATCTAGTTGGGAAACGCAAAGTAAGCGGGAGAAGGAGAAGCTGTCCAGCCTGGAGAAGGACATCGAAAAACAGGCCAAAGAAAAGAACAAGTTGGAGGACAAGATCACTCAGCTCGAGGCCGATCTGGTCAGTGCCAAGAAGTCATCCGAAAAGAGCAAGTCCAATCTGGAGAAGGAGATCAAGGATCTCAAGACCAAAGCAAACAAATCGGACAGCAAGCAGGTGCAGGACCTTAAGAAGCAGATGGAGGAGGTCCAGGCTTTATTAAGCTCCGAACAGAAGCGCTACGAAGACCTCAACAACCACTGGGAGAAGCTCTCTGAAGAAACCATTCTGATGCGAGCGCAACTCACCACCGAGAAGCAGAGTCTCCAGTCCGAACTGAGCGCCCACAAGCAGAAGATCTCCGAAATGGACACCATCCGCATCGAGCGCACCGACATGGCAAGGAAGTTGAGTGAGGCCCAGAAAAAGATCGCCGATCTGCAGGCCAAGGCTCTCAAGGCCGTCAATGGCAACGGGAACGAGTACGAGCGCACCGTCCTAAAGAACAAGCTGTCGGAGAAGGAGCACGAGTACGAACGGCTGCGTCGGGAGAACGAGATGAACATCGACCTGGTCTTCCAGCTTCGCAAGGATAACGACGATCTGAACAGCAAGCTCAGCGACTACAATAGAATCGAGCAGGCCCAATCTTCGCTAAATGGACACGGAGCGAGGCGCGAGGCAGAGATCAGGGAGCTCAAAGAACAGTAAGTTAACTTACATTTATATTTTGTATTATTAGTATTTAATTACCTGATTAAACTCTTTTCAATTAAAACATTGATTCGATATGAAACTCCAGGCGGAGAGAGTGTATTAAAGGGTATTAAAACTTCGGCTTGCCGAAGTTAGCTTCCGTCCTCGTTTTACTTCATTTTTTTATATTCTGCCTAAGTTTTCAAATTATTATATTATTATTAAATTATTATATACAAAATTGCATTTATTTGTATTTTTCTTAAATTCCATAAAAATTAATTTTTTTCCATAAAGATTACAGAGCACCGAACTGCAGATGAAATCCGAAGTGGCCACTGTTCGACTTCGCTATGAGCAACAGGTTAAGAACCTTGGCGGTGAACTTAACTCAATGCAGGTAAGAAAAAATAAAAACATTGCGATATTTAGAGATAAGCCATGTTCTTTCACAACAGCGCCAATGTGAACGGTTCAAAAAGGATCGCGATGCCTTTAAGCAGATGCTGGAAGTGGCCCAGAAGAAGATTGGCGACCTCAAGGCCAACAACACGGGAAGACAGAGTCGTGGATCCATGCACAGCAGCGATGACGATGACAAGAGCAAGATTGCCTACCTAGAACAGCAGGTATGATTACATATTTTTTAAGTTGTACAATTGAGTCACTGCCTGCGACATATTTGGGCGCTACTGATCATAAATGGTTACGGGCTTGAACTAATTTGTTTTACGATTGTAGATTGGCCATCTAGAGGATCAGTTGGTCGAGTCCCGCCTGGAATCGAGCAAGATAAAAACAGAACTCGTTTCCGAGCGCAGTGCCAACGAGATCAAGATATCGGAGATGCAATCGAAGCTCAACGAGTTCGAAGAGGAGCGCGTCATCGGGTCGGGCAGCACCAAGTTGCCGGGAATGAAAACCAAGCTGGAGCTGTCCTGGCAGAAGGAGCGCGAGGATCAGCAGCGACTACTGCAGGAAACCTCCACGCTTGCGCGAGATCTACGCCAAACCCTCTTCGAGGTGGAACGGGAGCGTGACAAGGAGCGACTGGAGTCCAAGCGGAAGCTCGACCAGATCAAGCGGGCCACCGAAGAGGAAATGGAAGAGGGTCGCAAAAAGATTGCCGAGCTGCAGTGTGATCTACTGGAGCTCCGCGATGTCCACGCAAAGTTGCGTACCTCCAACGAGAAGTTGAGGCGCGAGGTGAGTGGTATTATATTGCACCAGGAGGTCTATTTCATTAGATAAAATGAAATCGTTTTAAAATGTATAATATCATACCTTTAATAACCCTTGACTGAAATGCATTATTTGTGAATTTTAATTATTCGACCTTAAGGCTTAAGGTCAAAATAATATACAATTTCTAATAATAAATAACAAGAAATGCTTTACGGTGCTTGAACTGGAATGAAAATTTTATAATTTCTTCTTATTCAAATAGACTACTTTTTTTCTTTTGTTATATTTATTGTTAAACACGCCACACAAGGAGGGACCTTGTTTTCGCGTATTGTCAAATTAATTAATTTACCTTCCCAAGCCAACCGTAGAACGATGGTTGCTAAATGTGTTAATTCATTACCTTATTCGTGGTGAGCTTGATAGCCCCGACTTAACTCTTCTGTGTCAAGTAGATTAACTAGAAGTTATATTCCCCTAGTATTAAATTATTATCGATCTATCTATGACTTGTTTTGACTATACTAAACTTATCGCTATAATCTGAAACTAAAAAAAAATATATATAATATGCAAGTTGCAACGCGCCGCATGAGCGACTATATCATATGGCTTTTATAGATAATTTTGGAAACATATTTATTAATTATTACTTCGTTGTTTTTAAGCATACACGCATTATAAACTTTAAATGGTCTATATAAGTTTGGTTATTTTCTTGTTGATTTAGCAAGTGATGTAGTCCTTCTGAAGCATAATTTTTTTTTTCCATTTTTCTTTTAAATTTTCTTGAAAATTTGTTGTTTTTTGTTATTTGTAAACGCATAAATGAGAAGATAAAGTAAACATCAACGAATGCGATCTGCGTTATTATTTATTTATGAAATATTAATAAAAAGAAATAAAGAACATTTTTACGATTTTATATCAATAGATCTTAAACATTTAAGAAAGCATTGCAATTATAGGTGTATTTTGCCTAGATACAACACAATGAACTGGGTTTCCAATCCTTACTCATTTTACCGGTGCCTTTTTTAATATGGTCACCAAGCATTTTGACTATCCCTTACCCACTCTCCCCAAAATAATGCATTATCGAAAATAAATAAATTCATGTGCAATTGGAATTTCACCACTCACCAGTTAATACTCAATGTCTTTGATTTCAGCGTGAACGCTACGAAAAAGAGCTGATAAAACGACGAATGGAGGCAGATGGCGGAGATCGTAAGGTGGGCGCACTTTTGCAGACCGTGGACGAGCTGGTGAAGATTGCTCCCGACTTGAAAATGGTCGGCAGCGCGGGATCAGCCCGCAGCAGCAGCTCTGGGTACGACAAGAACTTGCGTCCGGATCAGCCGAATGTGCGTCGCAGTCGGTCGCCATCGCCCACCCTGAGCAGTTCTCAGATCACCAGTGTCCTGGCCAGACTGGCGGAAGCCTCGGAGGAGCTGCGCAAGTTCCAGCGGGTGAACGAGGACGAACAGGAGCGCAGCCGGATGAGGCGGAGTAATCTGCGTCGAGCTGCCTCCCAGGAGAACGATCCGCACGGCAGCACCAGTTCGGTCGCAAGTGCAGCTGGATCGCAACGGGGCGGAGGTCGGTTGTCCCGGAATTCGTCAAACAATGGGAGTCTGATTCGGAAGAGCCTTTCACTGGACCACTCCATACAAAGGGATCAGGTAAGCTGAGCAAAGAAACTTTCGCGAATCATTATGATTTAACTGTCTTATTATATATACACTTGGCCCTCGCTTAACACGGGGGTTACGTTCCTAGAAATCCTCATGTTAAGCGAAACATGGATTCAGTACAAAATAAGGGGTTACGTTCTCAAAATTCAAAATTGGCAGCAAAAAAAAAATGTATTTTTAAATTTGGTCTGTTTTTATTAAAGTTTCATACATTTGTTCAAAAATAAAAATTGGTATTAAATTAAAAAAGTTGCTTCACATAATTAACTAACAGGTTAAACTTTATAGAAACTTAAAAATGTTCAAAAGTATGGAGTTCATATATTTCTATTTATATCGAATTTGAAATGCATTTGGTAGCATTTATAGTTTAAGCCAGATTGTTTCAACATGTTTTCTTTTTTGGTGGATCCTTATCAAAAAAAATCAGTCATTTTTGATTGTTTTGTGGCTTTTAAAGCTTTATTTTATTTTGCAATCGTTAAGAACGAGGTTTTTAGCGTGTTAAATGCGGGATGGAAGCAAATTTGTAACCGTGTAAGACCGAGTTCGTGCTAAAGGAGTCCGTTTTAAGCGAGGGCCAAGTGTATTTTAATATATGAAAATGTATTTGCTAAATTATATTTACAAATTATATGGGCAAAAATGGTTTATATCATTAACATTTTACATTTAAAAACAAATATATTTGTTGTTAACACCAAATCAACTTCAACTGTGCTCGCAGAATATTTGGCGTCAAGACGACGGCAGTGTGTCCTCCATGCAATCTATAGACTCCGAACTGGGTGGCCTGGTGAGGGACTCCAGCTTGGACTCCCGCCTGGACTCGCGACTATCCGGTGGGTCCACCCAGAGCGACATACCACGGGGACCTCGCAAGAAGAAGAAGGGCATCATGGGCAAGCTGCGCAGCCTGACCAAAAGCAGTCGCAATTCCGAGAGTGAAATATCAGTGAGGCTAAGCCAAAGAAAAATATGTGGTCCTTCCCTTCCAATAAATGTTATCTTCTGGTAGATTCAAGGATCTGACTCGGACATCAGCGTCGCCAGTGACTTGAGATCGAGCAAGAAGGATCTTCGAGGCCGGCTTTCGGGAATGTTCAAGCGTTCCGGCTCCAACTCCCGCAGCGAGAGCATGGAGCGGGCCGGAACCGATCAGAGACCCGTGGCCGTCACTGTCGTGGGACATCCTGATGGACCGCAACCACGAGAGCCGCCGCCTGCCAATTCCCTCACTCCCAGACCCATACGTTCTGTAAGATATTCGAACTCTCATTGAAATGTGGAATTAATCGGATTGCCCATTGCAGATCCCCAAGCCGCCCAGCGGCGGTGCACCCACGACACCAACCACAAGACGTAGAGTAGCCAAGTAGTCGCCACTGGTTAATAGGTTTCAATCTCATAGGATTCATCGTAGCTGCAGACGTTCGAATAACCCTCGCTCTCATTGGCTCCCGAATTGGAATGTTTACTCTTGCCAAGCCATCATAATTATTTGTTTTGAATAGTTTACTACATTTTTATTTGAACTCTCAGCCGAAATAAAGTCATTTTCAAATAATTCCTCAAAAGTCTGGTTTCTGATCTATAAAGGGGAACTCCTTGTCTACTTCTATAAGGAAAAAATGTACATATTCTTTATTTTATCGCAAGGAGGAAAACCAACATTAATGTAAATCAATCCAGCGGATAGAACGCCCATTAGAATTGGACATGTGGCATGAAAATGTCCCCAAAATGTCGTTGGTCTATCCAAATGGGCAACAAAAAAGGACACGGAACTAAGAAGGAATAGCACCACAAGTTCCAGCATTGAAATTTATAGAAGTTCACACTTTCCTTTTCCGAAAATAAATACATATTTATGCCCTAACAGGAATTTCAAATGCTTTACGAATACTTCTTTCAAACTTAGCTGTCATTCCAAATCCAAATACTAAGATATGGACATTGTACATACGTACAATTTAATCCCAGGAATGATCGATCAGTACACGACTTAAATAAAAAGAGTGAGTGACATTTATTCTATTTACTTCCAATTTATGTATATATTCAAAGTATTTTGTTTTGCTTAAAACTTGTTTTTACTTTCATGTTTTGTTTGTTTTTTACACACTACATTAATTTTGTTTGTTAAATATAATTTCAAAATGTATATTTAATTTGCTTATTGTTTTTTACTCCACTTGTGTCTGTTATTTAAATGAATTCAAGGTAAAACAATATAGCTTAAAACATTTGCTTAGGGTTTTTTAATAGACCAATCCAATATGCAAACAAAGTTACACGTTTCAATTTGATGTCATTTTGAGTAAGTGGCATGTTCAAATAAGTAAAATCTATTGATTGAATAGCCCTTTAAGGATATGGGTAGAAAGGGAGGATATATGTGGGTTGTACGTAAATCCAGTGCGAGACGAGACGTATGTAGGGGGTACGTTGCATTATTTATTTGTGTAGTAATTACTTATCGCGTTTGCGTTTCATGCTTGCTTGAGTTACATTTATACATTTATGGAAATTTTTATTGGAGATTAAGTTCAGATCAGTTTTCAGCTTCCGTTTTCGGCTCTGGTTCTTCTTCTGATAGGTAGTGTATGTGTTTGTCTGTGTTTCTTGTTTTGCACCAGAACATGTATATTTATAAATCTTTGTATGCAAATTTTCGTTTACTGGCTTATTTAGGTTGTGAATTTTTGTCTCTTCAATGCTTTTCTGTTGTTTTAAAAGTTGTTCGATTAAGTTTTTAGCATTCTTTAGTATTAGTAACAATTTCCTCACTTGCGGCTCTTATTCTCGTTTTGTATGTTTAAATCCTTATTTCCTTTTTTATTTTTTCGATTTTTGTTTTGATATTACTTAGGCACTGTGTTCGTATTACATTAAAGAATTAATTTAAAATTTAAATTTAGGTATGTATAAATACATTGTAAAAAATTTCTTTAAGTTTACCGTAAACTAAAATCTTGCAACGCTATATGTATTTCATTTTTAAGTTTTCCTTGTTACTCTCATTATTTTCCTTTGTTGATGTCCTTGTATATATGTATGTAAGTTAAGTTAAGTTTAATCCTGACCTGAATGCCATTTCTTAAGCACTGTACCACGTTCGCCCAGCTGCCATCAATCGCTAATGTTAAACTCCTATTTATTCCTTCGCTATCTCGATCTAAAAGTACGTGTAGAAAAGTCTAGAAAATGATTTAAAATGAATGATTGGAAAATGTCAAAACGTAGCTATCTCTCCAGTTTCCCTTCAAGTTTCCGTTTCTCCTACAGACCCAAGGCGCAACACTTATATGCCTAAAATCGTTACAATCTGGTTTACAAGTAAGTCCTATATATTTATATGCATTTTTTAGGAGGTTTCTATGTGTCTCTGAGTTAGTCGTACGTTCGTACAACTAACTGTTTCAGTATCAGTTTAAGATTCCAGTTTCCTTAGTTTCTGTTGGTAAAAAATTCAAATTCATTAAAGGTTTTCTTTTTGGCTTACAAACGCTTAAATCTTCATTATCATGATTCGGTTTCATTATTCTTATGTACCATGCTACCTGCGTTTTGTTTTGTTGCTGACTTTGTAATTTATATTATGTAGCTTCCCTTTCTTCTTATCAACAAAAATGGAGAAAATAAAATCTACTTTTCATAATGTACAGAATTGGCTAGGACGAAAACGAAAGAAATTCAATTTGAGTACAATTTTAGTGGTAACAAAAATCTTATACGAACTTATGTTGGTAGCCTATTCATCAGTGATTTATTCGAGTTACGAGTTGTATAGTTCAGTGTTTTAGCCTTTTTCTGTTCAACATTGACTCGCCATGAACTGCTCCTCCATTATGTTGCCTTTCGTTTACAGTCTCAATTTTGTTTTTTTTTGTGTTTTGTTTTATTTTGGTTACTTTGCTTAGTTTTCCTCTTTTTTTCTGTTTTTCCTTATTTTTGTCTATTTTGTATTTATTATTAGTATTATTAACTACATACAAATTAGTTTTTGTTCACTATTCTCTGCATTTGTTACATTTTAAATTACCATATACATACATACCTCGTTTCGAATTTTTGCTTAAGAACGAACGAAAGTCGGGCTATAAAAGGGATGAGTGTGATGTCGACTAACTAAGTATTACATAACTTGTCTCTTAACTTGCAGGTATTAACAACTATCATTCAACTTGCTTTGATTTTCCACTTCTCTTAACCGAATACGTATTTTTTCCTACCCAATCATTGGGAAACTGTTATTGATATTTATGGGGGAAATCATAAAAGAGAATCAAATTGTAATGCAGATACAAAACATGCCACCCACATACATATGTAGAATGTATGCCTGTTGATCTTTAATCTTATTGATTTCATTTATTTTTTGGTTGTTCTTGTACCTCTGAGATGTCCTATATAAATTTATTCGTTACAAAAAGGTGTCTTAGGTGGAATCGTTTTGTCTTAGGAATTTAGCTTAGATATCTGTTAAATCTCATCTTATTTCAAATCATTCTAGTCTTTAATCGCTAAGAGTATTTCATTGCATGAAAACACTCTCATTTTTGGGGGTTAGAAAAGCGGGAGGTCTTGGGGATATGGGACAAAACAAATTTAAACTTCTAGCCTGCTAGCGTAGTTAGAAAATGATCTGAGTGTACCGAGTTTTGTGTGTTTGTTCAATAGATGTTCTTAGCTTAACACTAATGGTACCAGTCGACATTTCCGATTCGTAAACAAATTCGAGAAAACTTAATTGTAAGAATTATAGATCGAATGTATTGATAAGTATCAAGTTCATTTCTCTCTTCTCCTAGAGCTATTTTTATGCAAATACGTACGTAGAGCTTTACAATGTATACAAAAAGCATTCTCTTCAGTGATTTTTGGTTGCATTTTGGCGCATCATTCGTAAGTTAGCTTATTAGTATGTTAAATAATATAACCCTTACATTATTGTTTCATCTGTGGTTCCTATAATCTCTTCATTAGAAACGTCGAAAAGTCGAAACCAATCTGATAAAAACAAATGCAACAATAAAAAGTCAAAGGAAATGTTGGATAAGCTGTAGAAATCAAACCAATACCGATACACAATGGTCGATAACAGTCAATCATTAATTGGCCAATAAGTAAACCAACAATAATGAATGAACAAAACCCATATTCACAAAATGACATCAAATGTGAAAGGAAAATAAACGAAACAATCTGATTTTGGTTATTATTTTGCGTTTCTGGTGCTCCAATGTAAATGTGAATTCTCCGGTTGCCTGGACATATCGAGTTCGTTCACCTCCGTTGCGATTGGACTTTGTCTGCAACAATTTTTTCAAGTGTACTTATGTGTGTGTGAGTGTACTGACAAACATTTACACTTAATTTTAAATTTTCTTATTTTCTTCTCTGTTTTAACTTGAAAGTGCAACACTTTGTTTAATACAATATTTAAATTTATTTTACTGTTAAATCGTTATATGTTATAGTTAATATGTATATAATATATATAGTTGTATATAGTAGGTTTTTCAATATAATTTTTTGTTTATTTATTACGTTTACGATGCACATATATTGTATGTAGTTTATTTTGAATATCTTTTAAGTTTATGTTAATTAAAACAAATAATTTTTGTTGTATTTAACTTTTAAACAATATGTTAGAAAATGAAATTCTTTTACAATTAACAGTCAGTGTGTTTTGTCTTCTAAAAAGTTCTAACCGCTCGAATTAGGTAATAATTTTACTTTAACCGCCACCTAGTAAATGTTAATTATTTAAAAATTTTTCTCTTCAGATAGGTTTCATAATTAAGACGGAAATCATATTCAGATATATAAACCACCTGTAAATAAAATGGTTCATCTTAAATTACATCAGGTTGATTTGTTGTCCATTTTTTAACATTATTTTAAACCGCTGTTGATTTTTTATTTTTCTGGGTGCACTCATAGCAAATTAATGATGGTGTTGTTGGTTGCTGCAATGCTGACCGATACTAAAATGACAAAAGTCAATAGCACTCCTCTCCACATACTTTGAACTCGAAAGCTGATCGATCACCTGATCGGCCGATCCACTCGCGCGTCATGCCCTCACCTTGCCGCCCATTTCGCTGACCTCGGCGTGACCTCTTCGACAACACGAACAAAAAAAACAGACACATACAATCACACTCAGGCACGCACACCGATACAAAACGATACAGTGAAAAGATAAAGACTAAAATTCAATAAATTTTCATTTGTTTTTTTTTGTCAAAAATCGAAACGTTTTTTACACGTTTACTTTACTCGTTTACTTGCTCATTGTTTAGCATTTTTTGCTTTTGTTGTGTTGATTTTTTTAAAATTGTATAATTAGTTATAAAATGTAAGCATATGTATTGTAATTTAAACGAAATTAAATTAAGAATTTATATCTGTAGGATTTGTTTTGTAGTAATAGAGTACAAATTATACGAAGAACACTAAGCAATAAATCACCGAAAAATAAAGTAAAGTATTTGTATTGTATATTGTAATTAAATGTATGTATTGTAAATTGATTTGTTGTAAATAAACAAATTAAAAATTAGTGTATGGTATTTTAATAGAAAAAATTACTTCATATTTTATAATATATGTGTATGGTAAATGTATTAGCATATAATATGTATGTTTCTCATTTTGTTTTTGTTGTTTTTTTTCATCTTTTCGTTTTGTAATAATAAATTGTAAAATCGCAATCATATAATCATCATTAAAATAGTTTACTTTCATCTTGTTTTACACACAGTGCACGCTCGTTTAAGTGAGCGTGCATAGTAGTTAAGAGTAAATATGTATAAGTAATTAAAGATATATATATGTTATGTTCATAATCAATTAAAGTTCTTCTCTTCCTTTTCTTTTCCTTTTACCCTCCTCTTTTCTCTCTGTGTCTTGCTTCTTTTCTTGTTGTTGGTATTAAATGGGGTTAAGTGTGAGTGGGTGTGCGTGTTGATGGTGTTGTTGTTGACTGATGTTTTTGTAGTGCACACTTTTAGCTGGTTGTAGTCGTTGGTGGTTGTTGTTCCTTCTGTTGATGTTGTCTGCTTGGCAAACGATGAAAATTTTTTAAAAAAATGTGCAACGCAACTCTAAGCATCGTATTTTGTATCTTGTTTAACTTGTCCTATTCCCTCTGCCTGCCTCCCTTTTTTACTCTGTACTTTTTACTTTCATTAACTGTAGCTTTTAATTTACGTTTTCTTTTGCTCTTTTTTTACTCTTTTTTCCTTTTTTGTTTCCTTTCTATATATACTCCTCACATATATATTTATATATATATTGTATATAAGTATGCATGTATATAGTTTTTATGTTTATTGGTTAAGAGTGTGTTTTGTTGATTTCCATATCCATTATAATCAATCATCATTATCATGCTGCTGCTGCTTGGCTTCTTCACTTCGCTTTAACTAAATAATAAATCCAACGCACTATATAATTCTAGTTTCAAGTTCAACTTTCGCTTAGATGTAAACGACCACGTACGCTTATTAATTAGGTTTCTTTATATATGTAGTTTAACTTTTAGCTAGTTTTTGTTTTGTTTACTTTAAATGGTAAATTTTTAATTTTGTAACGTATCTTTCCCAAGTCAGTACCGCCCTCTCTCGCCACCACTCTCTTTCATCTAGCGACCTGTTAGACGATAAAACAGTTGCCGATTAGAACCGACTTCTGTCTAGGTACAAATGCAAAGATATGCCGCCATATCTTTAGCCACGTCAATGAGTCACAAAAGCTAAGGCAAGCACAGAGCTCTCGGAATCGACTACATATATAGCCGGTTCCTTCTCAAACCCTTACTAAACCTTGTCGCCTGATCTAGAAACCGGGTGGTGGCGAAAGCAGATCGGAGACCGACCTGCTCTTGCTTTAAAATGTACAATTTCGAATTTGTATTTACTAATTTTAGTAATTAAGGGATCTTTACTTGTTTACTCTTTAAATAAAATTAAAAGTTCTTATTTTCTTTGTGTTGGTATTTCGCACTCTATTCTTGATCTTCTTGTGTCTAATTAGCTAAACTTTATACTTGTAAATCATTACGTTTAAATCTTCACATTTCTATTTTGTTTGTTAATGCCATGTATCATATGTTTCTAGGGGTTTTAGTTGGTTGGGAAGTTCTTGTTAGTTGATTCTGGCTGGTTGGTTGCTGAGTGTGGGATACAGGAGAATGTTTGTTTTGTGTGGTGTTTATGAGGCGCATGAAAGAAATAATATTCTCTTGTCTGAATGTGTGCTGATGTTTTGCCTATGAATTACATTACTCGCTGCTAAAGAACATACATGTATATCTATGAATCTGACTTGTCGCTAGGTATTCTCGTGTTAAATTTGTTTCGCTTTAAATAATAGTTGTACAAGAGTTTTAAATATTAATTTCAACAACTGATCTGATCTGAAATTAAAACGAACAGACGACGCTTTAGCTTACAATTACCACCATCTTTTCTGTCTTCTTCATCATTCGCCGAGGACGACGCCGACGACGACATGTTGCTCCGCTCTGCTACTCCTCCTCCTCCTCTTCCCTCCACACGATCATACTCCTTAGACAGCTTGCGAGGTTGCATAGGGTGGCTGCGTGGAGCTATCGTTGCCATACGCTGACCGCGGTCCGGCTCCGTAGTTGGACGCACCCTCCTGCTTCACGTAGTTGCTGTAGTCGTAGTCGTAGCCGGAGCCATAGCCGCCGTAGTCGTACTCAGATCCGGACTTGGATGCCGAGTTCCCGGGTCCGGTACGCGGCATGCCACCCACGGGTCCGGTGGTAGAGGGACCGCCCGCTGCCCAGGTCTGGGCTCGCGAGTACATGTCCGTTGCGGTGCCCGCTCCGGCTCCTGGTGCCCCAGTGGGTCCGGCAGAGTTGGGTGGCATATTCCAGGAGTTCCAGCTGCCACCACCCGATGGTCCCGAAGGGGCTCCGGTCGACGTCGAGTTGTACATGTCATAGCCGCCGTAGCCCTGCGTCTGCTGCGGTCCAGCGTAGTTCGACCACTGCGGTGGCGGTCCTTGGGGTCCTGGCGGAGCTCCCCAGCCCTGGTATGATCCCGGACCGCTGTTACCATAGCCGTACTGCTGCTGCTGCGGCGACGTACCCCAGCCCTGATAGCCAGGCATCATGTTCGGCGCTCCAATAGGCATATTCAGAGGCGGTCCCCCCATCTGACCATTCTGGCCCTGCATCATATTGATGGGAGCGTGGTGCGGTCCCCAGTGGCTGCACTCGTTACCCAGCTTGCCATAGGCTCCGCCCACCGTGCTGTTGTTGGAGTTCTGGCCGCCAGATCCGTCGCGAGGCTCGGCCTTCTTGATCTCGACCTGAGGAGCGGATAAACAATGGTGATTAGAATTTTTGCTTTATATATAATAAATTCGTTTTTCAAATTAAAACTAAAGTAAACTTAAAAAGTAAAGGATCTATATTTTTTATTTCATTATTTCATCTTAACTTTATTTAAAAAAAGGTATTGAGTTTTAAGAAATTGAATGAAACGAAAAAACTAGAACGGATCATTAAACATCCTAAGTTAAACCAATTATTTTTCAACTTTTCCAAAGATTTAGTTTGTTTCATATAACAAACCAAAATTTGTATAAGTCATTGAAGATTTTTATGAATTCATAACGGATATAATAATCATAATGCATGAATGCAGAAAAAGCAATGCAATCTAGACAAAATAATTTTAAAATCATTAGTTCGAAGATTTATTGAAGTACTGATAACCAGCCTATATTTAGGAACTTTTTATACCCATGCGTGTTCTGTCAATATATTATATTAAATCTAAAAAAAAAGTTTGGAAAGTTATACGTTAATAGCTTTAATACTGCGTTAATAAACTGCTTAGAGCCGGTCTATTTTAGGGATGCTTTGGAAAATAGTCAAATTCAAGGGCAAATATCATAAATAATGATAAATAAGCACCTTTCTCTAAATACAAAAAAAAGTTTCTAACTTGATCCGATCGTTTATATAGAATGTAGACACCTGATACGTGTTTTCAAACTTCAACTCCCTGTATAAAAAAGTCCCGATTTAACTGCACTGCAACAAACAGACGGACGGGTTTCAATTCTCCTGGTGATGCTTTTCTAGGATGCATATGTCTCTTTTATAGCGTTGCGCATTAGAAAATTTAGATTATTGATTGATTTCACAAAGGAAAAGTATTTTAATGGTTGGATCCCCATGGATTACCACTAATTCCTGCTGATCACCCACCTGCTTGCCATTCAAGTTAATGTACCGCTCGTTGGTCACGTGCTCCACAGAGGACTCTTCCTCGAAGGAGAGGAAGCCGAAGCCACGAGACTTCTTCTTCTCCTGGTCGTACATAATGACCACCTCGGTGACCTTGCCGTAGCGTCCGAAGAAGGTGCGCAGATCGGTCTCGGTGACGTTCGAGGGCAGACCGCCCAGGAAGACCTTGTAGCCACCACCCTTCTTGGGTTTCTGCAGCGTGCGGGGATTGCACGGCTTGGGGTCGATAGTACGGCCGTCGAGCGTGTGCGGTCCATTCTGCAGCACGTGGTTTACGTTGGTGGGGTCGGCAAAGGTCACAAAGCCAAAGCCCCGCGACCTGCCGCTCTCGTTGTTCTTCATTACTACGCAGTCAATGATGTCCCCGAAGCGGCAGAAGTAGCGCGACAGATTCTCCTGCGTCGTCTCCCAGGACAGGCCGCCCACAAAAAGTTTGCCCCTCTCGTCCTCCTCCATGATGTTGTTTTGGTTGTGGTTGTGAGCTATAGCGCCGGGTAGGTTCTCAATAATTGACGTAATCTTGCCGCTTTTTTATTAACACGGGGAGCAAAGAAATTAACTTGTGTTCGGTTGGTTGCTTTTTTTGGGGGGAAAACTTTTTGAATTTTTACACTGTTACTGGTATTTTTGTGGTTTTATATGTATCTAAGGTTGGTTTCAACGTTGCCAAAGTTCTTTTCCTTCAAAACAATTAAACAAAAGCCACGACGTTCACACGTAACTTTCTATCGTAACATTATTGATGTTGTTGTTGCAGACACATGGAAAGATACAGATAAAAAAGAAATCTGGTTAATCAAATCGTTACACAAGAAAAAATCAGTTAGTTATCAAATCGAAATTAATTTTTACGACATAAATTTATAATTGTATTTTGTATCACATTAAGAAGTATTCTTCATCCAAATGCCTCATTTGTCCTACGATTTTCTTTGTTTTCCCGCGTAATAAAAATTATTATTATTCATAAAATGTCTTATAACAATTTTTTTCTATGTAAAGATTTCAGCTTCGAATGGGTAGAAATCAATGGTATGAAAGACGCAGGTAGGCAGAAAAAGAGAAAAAGCGGCAAGAGCAACCGGCCGGTACACACACACACACAGGCAGACACACACGCAGCTGAAGACATTCCTTAGTACGTGTATTTGTGCCGACTGCTTTTTGTACACGTTCACAAGATTCCTCGCTTGTTTGCTGATCTTGCTCCTATGCTCTTCTTCTTTCACTTGCTTTTACACGGCTACGTGAAAGCATTGTTTTCTTTTCGCTGTGTCACGAGCGGATTTATTGTTGTAACCAAGTCCCCAGCCTCACTAACACACACATGCCGCCAATCAATGAGAACAACGAACTATTTCCAAGGTAAAAAAAAGTTGTCGCCGGTTCACTACATTTGCGCGCCATTTATTAGGGATTTTCAGGTAATAGCCAGATTTAGGCTAAGTAAGCACATTTTCACAAACATCTTTACATTTTTGTTGATAACGCCACCATAAGTTCAATTTTAATGGACTTGGTGTCAAATAAACCTTGTTTTTCTTTACTCGCAGTTCTCTCGCAGACATTTTGACCATTAACAAGTGAAAAAACATGTGGCAACGCCATGTGTGACGTGAACGCGAATAGAAAGCGAAAAGCAAACGTACCAAAAAGCAATGCCCTCAAATAAATGTTAATTCCGTCAAAAGAAAACACAAACAATTCTTTAAAGTTTTCCAGTGGCTCGGACCGAAAACAAATTTTTTCTGGCGGAGTACTCGCGACTGAACTGAATGAATCGCACCGAGAGTGTGTGGGAAATTCACCACGGCAGAGGCAACGAAGAAAAAAAAACAAAATGGAAGACGTGCCTGATAAAAAAAATGCTTCAACAAAGAAATGTTTTCGACTCTTCATTCTTAGAAAAGGGAACACTTTTCACTACATTTTTACGCTTTTTGGCTGAAAAACTAATTATTAGCAGGAAAAATCACAAAGTTACAGATGCACACATGTTACACCAAGAACACTTTCTTATTTCAGCTACCTTATTTTCCGGGGAAATATTGGCGAATTTAACCAAGATTTCTACTACGCAATTTTACAATTTTCGCACGATTTTTTTTATTTTGCACCGCAATCTGCTGTTGCTGTATTAGTGCATGAGTTGGCCGTACGTGAGCGCGTGCAAGCGTGTGTGTACGCGAATGGCCGCCGAGCGTTTGGCGGTGCTGTGCGTGTGCGTTGGTGTGGTGTTATACATAGCATTTTTTCGTATGTATGTATAAAAATATGAAATTTTCCACTTTGATGGGTGGAAGTAGAGTGCCGAAAGTGGCACGGAAAAACGTTGAAAATTGCACAGACCTATGCTTGGCGAGAAAATAAAAAGCGAGGAAACAGTCGAAGAGTCAAACGAATTTTACTTACACACATTCACAACCACACAGCGAGCAATGGCAGCTGCGTCAAGTATTCAACTTTTTTTTTTGGAAAGGAAAGGCTGGGCAGGCATTTTGTTAAAGCACCGTAATTGTTATGTAAATGCGATTTTCAGTCGCTTTCCATTCTTACCGTTTGTGCCAAGTGTTCGTCTGTGGTTTTTTAAAGATTTCGCACTGCAAATTCACTAAATTTAAGTGTTTTTTCCTTAAAAAACTAGCTTATAAATAATTGTATGATTTTGATGCATACGATATTATAACCTAACTTATATGATAAATCGCCGCCACGTTTAATGCTGTGTGACCGCCGCTCGCCAGAAAAAAATACCATAGGTTTCTGGAAATTAAATACAAAATACTCGTTTTTGTATTGAAATATACTAGAAAAATAAAAAACATTTTTAAAAATCTATTTTTGCACAAAAATTAAAACAGTTTTATGTATTTATTTGGAATTCAAGTTTTCAGATTTGTACAGTTCTTTATTGAAAAATGTATTTATTTTTAAGAAACATGAAAATTTGAAGTCTCTAGCTTTAAAACTCACCTCGTTAACGGCATAGAAGCTCGCCTACAGAAAATAAATAAATTGTAGGGTCGAAGATGTCTCCATCACTGAATTCTAAACTTCTGAGAAAAATAATAATTGCCCCAGTAAGGGGATTTTTAAGAATTGTTTGAAATCCTAACAATGCCTTCTAAATGGATAAGCAAACAAATATTGAATAATTTATGTGATCCTTTTAAATGAAATATCCCTAAAATCCAAAACTGCAGAATCAAACATTTTATTTAAGTGACAAATTTTAATTAATAAAAAACATAAAATTCTGTGTATGCGTAGACGCGACGGATTTCAACTAATAAAATTTACTTGGTCATATCTATAAATTTGTGTCAGCCATAATAATTTTTCTTTACATATAAATAGGAACCGGGGTTATAGCAAACAATGCGGAATCTTTATAAATATAGCCCCTATTTGACTGTAAGCTCATTAGAATTACTTTAAGAAAAACCATTAGAACGGAAAATAAAATTTTTTGAAGTATTAGATTCCCAAAACGGGGTTGTCAGTGCTAACCATGTATTTTCCGAGCCTGCGATCCGGCGTTGCCAGACCTTTCTGTTATTAGAGGATTATTATCAGACGTTTGAGCATAGCTTTTAGTATTTTTTTAAGAGTAGGCAGGTTTGTTATAACGGTGTGCCCACGGTCACTCTGTTTGCTACCCGGTAAAATGAGTTTTGCGCTGCATTAAATAGAAAATAAACATACGAATTCCCAGTTGCTGTCCGCGCTAAGTGATTAAAAACGATTGCCAGTGCGCGTTCAACCAATCAAGCTTCCCAGGAAGGCGGTGGCAAGTGAATTTGCCCCTTCATCGATTTTTTCTGCGCGGCTCCTGCTGCTGCCACATTAACACAGCCCAGAGAAAAGCGAAATAAACAGAAATGTCGCGCCATCCGAGCGATAGGAAGGTGTACGTGGGCGACCTGGGCAACAATGCCCGCAAAAACGATCTGGAATATGTTTTCGGGGCGTACGGCAGTCTGCGCAGCGTCTGGATCGCCCGCAATCCTCCGGGCTTTGCCTTCGTGGAGTTCGAAAGTGCTCGTGATGCGGCGGATGCGGTGCGCGGATTGGATGGGCGGACGGTTTGTGGACGTCGTGCCAGGGTAGAGTTGTCCACTGGAAAGTACGCCAGATCTGGTGGTGGAGGAGGAGGAAGTGGTGGTGCCGGAGGAGGAGGTGGAGGACTTGGAGGACGCGACCGTGGTGGCGGAGGCGGTCGTGGCGACGATAAGTGCTACGAGTGCGGTGGCCGCGGGCATTTCGCACGCCACTGCCGCGAACGCAAGGCCAGGCAGCGACGCAGGTAAGTGCATTTCGCAGTCGCCATTTCCCTTTTTCATTCATTGCCATTGCCAAAAAATGATTCCTTTTTGTAACATGGCGAGAGATTCGCATACATGCATACATACAAACGTGTGTGTGTATGCCCATGCAAAAATGTTGAGTTTGTTTGGTCTGTGGTGAAAATTTTAACCCGCATTCGAGGTGAAAAACCGCCCTGTTAGGCGCCAGCGACTCTGGCTTGTGTTAACCTCAACAGCGTGCTGTTAAACGCGAAGTGTACTGTAAAGTGCAGAGTGTGGAGCTGTAGAATAACAGCACGCACACGTGCTTGGTCAATGTATTTATTACTATTAAACTCGGTATATTAGTTAACCGCTTAGATTTGAGAAACTATCATGTTTTAATGAGCTCGTTTATGATTAAAACTAAATCAAAATTAAATAATTTTTTTTGTCTAGTAAGACTAGTTTTGCTTTCTGTCAATATTTTAAAATTTAAAGTTGACTCAATAATAATTTATTTTTGAAAACATATGTTAAGTTTTAAAAATATTTATTGAGACTTGCTACAAGTCCGGAATTCATTTAGATGATTTCCACAACAAAAAAAAATATATAGTTATTAAATCTGTGATTAAGCGTAAAAACCAAATTTAAGAGACGGTAGCACAAAAAATATTCCATAAATTTTTCAAGGGTATAAGACAGTCTGTAAACAAGGCTGTTATTTGTTATTCCCCACCCTCAACGGTTCGTGGAGAATTATTTACAGTGGTGCTGTTAAGCGCGGACCGAGTGGCAACGCCGCCGACTGCTGTCACACGTGCTTGTGCTTCATTTTGGATTTTTCTTTTACACGCGGCATACGATAAAGAAGGTTAAGTTGCTGCTGGCCGCTAAGAGTTTCAGTGGTTTTTAATTGAATTAAAATTTTAACTAAATGATCAGAGTGTGACGCGATGTTTGTGCTCTACGAAACGCCGGCGGGCTACGCGATTTTCAAGCTGCTGGATGAGAAAAAGCTGGAGCAGGTGGACAATCTGTACCTCGAGTTTGAGACTCCGGAAAAGGCCAACAAACTGCTGAAACTAAAGCACTTTGAGAAATTCAACGATACCACGGAGGCGCTGGCCGCTGCAACGGCGGCGGTAGAGGGCAAGGTAGCCAAACCTCTAAAAAAGACCCTTAAAAAGATACTCGTCGACGACGTGCAGTCCTCGCTTTTGGTCGCAGATGCCAAACTAGGCACCGCCATCAAGGACAAGCTGTCGGTGCAGTGCGTCTACAATACAGGTGTTCAGGAGCTGATGCGTTGCATCCGTCAGCAAGCGGACAGTCTGCTCGGCGGGCTGCCCAAGCGGGAGATGACCGCCATGGCTCTTGGTCTTGCCCACTCCTTGTCGCGTTACAAGCTTAAGTTCTCACCGGATAAGATCGACACCATGATTGTGCAGGCCCAGTGTTTGTTGGATGACTTGGACAAGGAACTGAACAACTATATGATGCGCGCCCGCGAGTGGTACGGCTGGCACTTCCCCGAGCTCGGCAAGATCATCACCGACAATATTGCCTTCGTTAAGACTATTAAGTTGGTGGGCACTAGGGACAACATGGCGGCTAGCGATCTGTCTGATATTCTACCTGAAGATGTGGAGGAGAAGGTGAAGGAGGCGGCCGAGATCTCAATGGGCACCGAAATCTCCGAGGAGGATGTGCTAAACATTCAATGTTTGTGCGACGAGATCATATCCATCAACGATTACCGCATTCACTTGTACGATTACTTGAAGGCCAGAATGATGGCAATGGCACCAAATTTGACTGTACTTGTGGGCGATACTGTGGGCGCTCGGCTAATCGCTCATGCCGGTTCGCTGATTAATCTAGCCAAGCATCCGTCGTCCACCGTGCAAATTCTGGGCGCCGAAAAGGCCCTTTTCCGAGCGCTAAAGACCAAGAAGGATACGCCAAAGTATGGTTTGATCTACCACGCCCAGTTGGTGGGCCAGGCCAGCCAGAAGAACAAGGGCAAAATGTCGCGTTCTTTGGCCGCCAAGGCATCGCTGGCCACGCGAGTGGATGCCTTCGGGGAGGAGGCCACATTTGAGCTGGGTGCGGCACACAAAGTGAAGCTGGAGTCGCGACTGCGACTGCTGGAAGAGGGAAACCTGCGCAAACTATCGGGCACTGGAAAGGCCAAGGCTAAGTTCGAGAAATACCAGGCCAAGAGGTGGGTTATAATAGCACTAAATTATGTAAGAGTAGACCGATTTCCAATGATGATACCCAAAAGGTTTCGCAATTATCTGATTACGATGACGATAAACCTTGGCTGTCTGAGCGAAATTGTGTTTACCATCCGGACATTTCTTGATTGTTCTGTATGTTAATGTATTCATAAATTTTTCAGCGAGGTGTTCACTTATCAACCGGAGGCCGACAACACCTTAAATGTAAAGAAACGCAAGCACTCTGAGTCCGAGCAGACGCCTGTTAAGAAAGAAATCCAGGATGAGGTCAAGGAGGAGACGGTTGAGGAGGATTCGGAAGTCAAATCCGAAAAGAAGAAGAAAAAGAAGAAGAAGCAAAAGGACGAAGAAGCGGTTGAGCCTGAGGCCGACGAAGAGCCGACGCCAGCCAAGAAAAAGAAAAAGTCCAAGCACCAGGAGTAATTCCCCACCTTGACTAGTTTTAGGTCTTAAGAATTAGCATCCTAGGTAACCTTACTGTAAAGTATAGGATTTTACAACTATTAACAAGAGTAAAGTTTTTGTTGTACATTAGAAATAAAAAAAAATATTTGAAAAAAAGAGTTGTATTCATATGGTTTTTGGTTCAGGGTCAAATTTTCCCAAGCACACTGAATATAATTTTAAATCGATTTTTAAACACATTTTTAGTGGCGTTATTTAAACACAAGCTAAGTAACACAAGCTCATGTGTTTAAGTAACAAGCTAAGTAATACATAAGCTAATGTGTTTAAGTAACGCCACTAAAACTATTAAAACCAAAAATCTTCACAGATATAAACATCCTTCTAAAATATACTTAAATATAAATAGAGAAATACTTGAAAGTTTACAAAAACATTAAATTATGTGAATTCTTTTTTTTAATTCAAGATGACAAATTTATTTCATAGCTCATCAAAATATGAAATTGAATAACGTTGGTTTGCCCTTTGATGTATAACTATTTTTATCTAGATTTATTTTGACTGAATTTATACTACCCTCAGCAAGGGTATAAAAATTAACGGTTTTTTTAAGTGGACTACCACAACATAATTAAGAAAAATCTATGATAAATCGTCGGTTGTATTATTTTGACAGCAACTTTATGTATGAATTTGTAATTCATCATAATTTAAAATACATCTTTAAACATTTGCGTTAGCTGAAAACAAGTGTTCTCAAGCATTTCTTGTCTCAAGCCTTACAACATTTCTTAGAAGCTGTTCCTAAATTTGGAGGCCAATCTGTCGCTATGGACGAGGCAAGAAGTTCGATTGACTGCGGTGAAGAAGCCAGTGAAGCAGAAAGCTTTTACGTCAGCTCCAGAGGTTTGCTTGCATCATGACATGAAGCCAGGCATTTAAAGCATTTTGTGGTCCAGGGCATGCTATATAAAAGTGAATGCAACTGGTGCCAGTCGAACAAGAAAACGATGCGAGATGCATGGTCATCTGAAGCTGCTGCTGCTCCTGGGACTCCTGCTGACCTACGCGGCGGCCAAGAAGAAGGAGTCATCGTCATCTGAAGAGGAGGAGGGTGGCGATAAGTACGAGAAGAAAAAGTTCGGTGCCGAGGAGCACAAGGGTGAGCACGGACACAAGGAACACAAAGAATGGGAGGAGGACGAGAAAAAGCACCATGAGCTGGAGGATCATGAGCACCACCACGGCGACAATGGATCGAAAAAGAAAAAGCATTACGATGAGAAGGACGAACACGGCGAGAAGCATGAACACGGCGCCCACAAGAAGGGCGGCAAGCATCATCACAAAAAGAAGCATAAGAAGGGCCACAAGGAATTGGAATACCACAAAAAGTTTAAGAAGGATGAGTATATCAAGGAGAAGAAGTTCTACGATGACGAGCACAAGGGTGGCCATCACAAGAAGTACGGAAAGGAACACCATCATCATGCCGAGGAGCACGGCGAGCACAAGAAGGGCGAAAAACACGAGGGCGGCAAAAAGAAGGGCCACAAGAAGCACCATGGTCACTACAAGAAGGGCCACCACGACGAGGACCACAAGAAGTACAAGAAGGAGCACAAGTACGGGGACAGCTTTGAGGAAAAGAAGGAGCACGGCGAGAAGGGCTCAAAGAAGCACGGCCACAAGCACTACAAAAAAAAAGGCGGAAAGCATTAAGCACGAGACAAGTCTGTAATAGGCTAATATTAATGTGATGTTTTAAAAATTGTGGTAGTAAAACCGGGCAAGGTGTTAATAAAAATATTCATTGTATACTGTCTTAAGCTTCTTATTAAAGTTTGATCCCCGAAACTAAAGGGGAGTACCCAATGTTAAATATAAAATTGTGTATATCTGAAAAAAAACTCCAGTGGATCTTCTGCTTTCAGATTTTAGATATAATCATTATCATTAAATAAGTATTAGCTTAACAGAAAATACAATGTGGGGCCGAGATCACTATGGTTATTATTCTTAGGTTTAGCCAATTTTGTCTATTAATGTTCGTCACGTTATTTTAATTTTAATAAATGAGAGATTGTTTAGATTGCTCTAAAAAATATGTTTAGCAGAGCAATACACAATTTTATATTTAATGTTTAATGTTTATTAAACAAATACCACAATAGGTCGCAAATGATAAAATACAGGTTATATTCGGCATGGGATAAAGTTTTTTGTTTACAATTATTGAGCTGATGTGTTTTCTGTTTTGTTAAAGAAAAGAAAGAGATTTTTGTTGAACCATTGTCGGATAACAGTTTTACTATTGCTATAGTTTATATCTATCAATCTTAAACTTCTGTGTCTTACTTACTATTTGCTAATAACGATCTATGTTCTTTTCCTATTGCAGAAGCAATTCGTTCAGCAGATCTCGCAGCACATCCCGTCGTCGACGCACTCGCTCCAAGTCCGGCACCCGTTCCCGCAGTCGGTCCGCCGTCTCGGTGAGCCGCCGTTCCGGCCGCTCGAATGGACGCGACGAGAACGGATCGGCGTCGCGATACAGCGACCACGAGCGCAACGGCAGCGGAGCGGTGGACTCCCCGCCACCGCCAAAACGGCGCTATGAGGACGATGATGATGACCGGGTCAGGGGATCGCCGAGGTCACGTTCGCGATCGCGATCCGCGTCGCCGGCAGTACGCCGTGGATCACCGCCCAGGCGTCGCGGAGACTCATCCGCCTCTCGGTCCGTGTCCAGGGACTAGCGACAGCGAACGGATGCAGACAAAGCCCGTGCTAAGATGAGGGCCTGAGCTGCAACCCCCCGATGAATCCGGCAAAGTGGGGTGACCACACTGGACGGACTCCTCCCCTCATTCCCAAAAAAAAACCTCACGTGTTACAAGACAGATTCCCAAATACTTTTTCACGCAGTATCCATCTACGGTTTAGTTGTCCCAGAACCACCATATTAGTTAAGGGTTTTAATTTATAGTGGAACTCGAGTATGCATATTTAGGTGTTCTTTTGTTCCAACTCAACAACATAAGCACATGCAGAACAAAGAAGAGCACTTCGGAGAATCATTTGACGGAAAGAAAAATAAGATATAAAAATGGATCGGCAGCTGCAGATTATCGATCTAGTCAAATTTGCTATGTTAATTGATTTGCCTTTGGATTTTTTTTGCTAACCCTGGAATTATACTCGAATGTGCAGGAGACAAAGCATCGCCACCATTTTCATGTCAATTCTACACATTTTTTCAACTTATACTACTCAACACACATGATTATTCGACTCCAAACTTTGTATGATGTGTTTCAATATTCGTAATAATTAAGTCTTGCAACAGTGCAGAATAATTATTCATACATTGATGTCGTAGTTAAGTATTAAACAAATACATATGTATGGATTCTTGAGATGTGTGTTTGAATTATATAGCAAATGCGCTGAACACTAAAATACACAAATATTCAATCAATAAATTAAATGCCAAAAAAATTGTTTTGTGTTTGAAATGAGAGGGGACCTAATTCGATAAGGTTTGGTGTTGTTTGGTTCGTCTTTAATGTAAATTTGGTATTCTTTCCGCTTCGAATACAGCCACACCGAGCCCATTTTTTGTGTTACCAGAAACCCCTTGCTTCATTTCAGAAACACAATAATAATAAACATAACCTTAAATGTTTACCGCTACGGTTTCGTTCATTAGAGTTAATGGATCATACAAAACTATGCTACAAGTTAGTTGTTCATGGCTTATTCATAATTTTAAATAGTAACTAAAAACGAAATCACGCGGGTCAGCTGTTTGACAAATTCAACAGGGCCCATTTTGGGCATACCCTCAGATGCTGAAGAATGTAGATTTTTAAACGATTCAAACATTCAGACGTTTTCCTCTTGCATCTTTTTTTTACATAATCTAAATTAAAAGTTTACAACTAATGAGTCTTCCTCGGTCTTAATGTTCTTTTTTTTTTGGGCAGCGTTATTTTTGACACATCTCATCGCCTTAGATAAAACTTTTTCTGAAGCCACCGAAGGGACCACTTGACCAATAGCATCTAAAATAATTCATTATTGGTATAATACAGAGGCGTAAACATCGTGTAAAAAATTACCTAAGAGCGCATTGAACAAATTTTCATAATCTTTAAGTTTTTTTTTGTTTCCAGTTCCGTCATTATTATAGGCCATGATGATTTCTTCGGAAAAAATTGATTTTATGGTTAAACTCACTCGTCCCTGGCCCAATATTTTTTTCATATAATGTATCTGAAAACAATTGTATTTTATTCTTTTTTAAAAAAGTCTATAGAAAAGCTTACATAGTTTCCCCTGGTCTCCTTGCATATCTTCGCATCGATCTCCGCCAACTCCGCATCCGACGAAATTGGGAAATCATCATCGACAGCAGTATCTCCTAGTCTCTGCCTCTTCGATTTCATTGACTGCTTTACGAAAGCCGTAAGCTTCGTTACCGACTCCGTCAGGACTCGCATTTCTGCGCGCTGGGCTAAGATTTGCCTTTGGAGTTCTAATTCATTTCATACATTAATAATAAAATATGTTTATGTCTTTTGAATTTTATAAACTTACCATCTACCTTCGCAATCAACATGTCATTCTCTGTAATCACAGGCAAAAGGTAAACAACTAAAAATAATGATATAAATAAAATACGTACGGCTTTGGGGGAAGTCACTCATACTCAAAGAGTCACTGATGAAACACTGAGGAATCTGGAAACAACAGGGTTTGAATTAAATGTTTTGAATCGGTAATACGGCGTTAGTATATTTGAGAGTACTACTGAACTCGGCAATAATAACAAAACTGGTACAGTCTGGTATATCTGCCTTGATATATTTTTAGTATTTTGTTCGTAGGCTGTTATTTCTCGGCGCTTCAGATACGGCCACACTGATATTATCGCATTCCTCCGGTTCAATTTTGTTTTGTGTTTTGTTTTGCATTTTTACCTAACCTATTCCATTTGTTGCCCCTGCAGTTTTTACAAACAGTTGTGAAATCCGGGAAAGTGTTTCGCCTTCCACCGCGGGCAGCCGGACAGCTACAATGGCATTCCGCCAGTCGGAGCATGAGATGAGCGTCACCTCGCTCGATTCGAGTGTCGAGCTGCGATCGCGTTCCCCATCGCCGCAGCTCTTCAATCCGCGCAAGCTGCGCTTCGCCGACGACGATTTTGACAAGGACTCGCCCCAAGGAGCGAGTCCGCAGCATCCTCTACAGCATCCAGAGAAGCTATTCTCCGGCGCAGAGCAGCAGGCCAGCAAGGACGTATCCATGTCGCCTCCGTGCCAGAAGGTGCGTGCCTTGCGCCTGTTTAGCACTCCGGCCACCCCAAAGACCATCCTGCAAAAGTCCACGACCCAGTGCAGCAACCATCTGTCAGCGGCGGCAGCGGCAGTAAACGCATCCCGTCTGTTGGAGCGGCCCCGATCCCTGCCTCTGCACAACCGCAAACTTCCCACCCAGGACACGGCGAACGTTAATCCCTTTACGCCCGACAGTGAGTATCTATGTACCTGCCAGTTTGTAGCCTTTATAATTATAAATCCTTAACTAAAGATTTCACGGACATTAAGGATGTCTTACAGCTAAATTAACATTAATAAATTTATCATATTATAAGTCTCAGTCAAGAATCTTAAATATATACATAAATATTTATGTTCTATTAAAACTATTTTTAAATTGGCCATAAAACTACAATATAAGTCAGCATATGAGTTTTAAGTGCCAGTCTTTTCCTGCTCAGCAGTTAATAGGTCAATTTTCAGTTCATAGACATATGTTATCCTTCAAATATAGCAAAGTAATAATAATAAAACTCAATAACTAAGTACAATAACTTTAGTTCCGTTTTTATTATTGACATATTAAACCATTAATTTATAGTCCAAGTCCACGACCACTATTCTGAATCATAATGCAGAGTTAATAACAAATCAAATATCTTATTAGGGCTAACCAGTAACTCAATCGTATTAATAAGCCAATTTAATAAACTTATAATTCCCAACCAATTATTATTGTTTGTAGGCCTCCTGGCTCACAATAAGAAGCGTTGTCGCACGCAATTTGGACGCGAAAACCTCAACCTGAATGTGAATGCTATGCAAAAGTATTTGCTCAGCGAAGCCTGCGACGAGGATGCGACGGAAGAGGTGGGCGACACACTCCGCGAAATCCATCACCAAGCTCCTAAGCGGCTAGCCCTGCATGACACGAATATAAGTCGTTTCAAGCGGGAGTTCATGCAAGTTAACGTGATCGGCGTAGGAGAATTTGGCGTGGTGTTCCAGTGCGTCAATCGACTAGATGGGTGTATCTACGCGATTAAGAAAAGCAAGAAGCCAGTGGCAGGCAGCTCCTTCGAGTGAGTTTCTATCAGTGACCCCAGATAAGCATGACTTAATCTTTCAATATATTTGCAGAAAAAGAGCCTTAAACGAGGTCTGGGCCCATGCTGTTCTGGGCAAGCACGACAATGTGGTTAGGTACTACTCCGCCTGGGCGGAGGACGATCACATGCTGATACAGAATGAGTTCTGCGACGGCGGGAGCTTGCATGCGCGGATCCAGGATCATTTCTTGGGCGAGGCCGAACTAAAAATTGTACTCATGCACGTGATCGAGGGCCTGCGCTATATCCATTCCAATGACCTTGTGCACATGGATCTGAAGCCAGAGAACATATTCTCCACCATGAATCCGAATGCACACAAGCTGGTTGAGGTCCAACCGCAGCAGACCAAAGACGACGATGGCATGGACAGTGTTTACGAAGAGTTACGCCACTCGGAAAACTTGGTAACGTACAAGATCGGCGACCTGGGCCATGTGACGTCGGTTAAAGAGCCCCATGTCGAGGAAGGCGACTGCCGCTATCTGCCCAAGGAAATCCTCCAAGAGGACTACTCGAATCTCTTCAAGGCCGATATCTTCTCGCTGGGCATCACGATGTTTGAGGTAGCCGGGGGTGGTCCGCTTCCCAAAAATGGACCAGAGTGGCATAAACTGCGAAACGGCGAGGTGCCAGTCCTGTCAAGTCTGAGCAGGGATTTTAACGAACTGATAGCCCAGATGATGCACCGAGATCCCGATAAGAGGCCCACATCGCAGTCCATATTCAGTCATCCGTAAGTTGCTAAAACCATGAATTATATTTAAAAAAGTGCAAAATATTCGTGCTATCGGTATTATGAGTTCTTTCTTATTTATTTTTCGGAAACTTAACATTTACCTAAATACTTGTTCAATTTCCAGAATTCTGAGCGCCGTTGACTCCAAGAGCAAGCTGCAGCTCGGTCTGGAGCTGACTGTGGAAAAACGCAAGAATGAGATACTAATGAACAAGCTGAGGGATGCCAAAAAACAGATTAAACTACTCGAGCAAAGGGGTACGTTGGGGAAAGTTATATGAAAAATATAAATACAAAATTTGTTCAAATTATAAATGCTAAGAAAGCTCTGCATTTGTACAGCTATTTACTTAAAATTAAATTAGATCAACTATTGTTTTATGTCAAATTTCTAAACTTTTGTTCATTTTTAGTCAACCTCCTTGCAGTGACCAACAATCCGGATAGCCTGGATGGGCAGCGATGTCTTCGCTCCTTCACGCGACGCATGCGCACGCCATTTTCGAGCCATGGCAAGTTCGATAGCATATCCGATCGCAACAAGAACGTTATTACGAATATCTGATAAGCTCGCCACTCATACCGAACCGATAGCCAAACTCTTCCGAATCGAACGTGAACTAAGCTCACATTGTGTTACCTCTTAAGCGTATTCATATAATCGATATATATTTTAAAGATTTCGCGTCGCTTAATCCTAACCCTTTTCACCCCGTGTATTTCAAGCTCAAGGATTTAGAAGCATTCGTAATATAATATATATATTTTTCAAGCTCAGTGAACTTTTCTTTGTAGAGAAAGCACGATCGTTCTAAGAAAAGGTCCCGTAGATTTTAAGATTGTCGCATAGTTGTAATGAGTATTGTTTTCGAAATTAAACTATTTATTATGTTACATGGAAATCGAAATTACAACATTCCATTCGTTAAATATAGCGAGTGCTATCCCCTTAATGTCATTTATTAATGGGTTTGGTAATAAACATATTATTTTAATTCAATTTAATATTAATTTTCTAAAAAAAATATGCTTTAACGTGGCCATGGCTTGCAAAATATATTCCTGATCAACATCACTCGGCGAGTTTATATAGCCATGTTTCTATTCCCTTTCATAGCTCAGTTAGAGACTCGAAACTACTGCAATTGTGTTTTTGTGTATATGTGTTCGCAGATCTACTTTGAAATCGCCGCTGATTGGACGACTTATCCTATAGATGCCATAGAAACGATTGTTTGACTTCGGCAGACTTGAATAAATTTTAAATTTCGCTGTTTTCGTCTTATATAATGTTGAGTTGCCATACTTTTGGCGGTCAAACACGTTAAATATTGCAGATCGGAAATGATGTAGCCCAAGTCAGACATTAATTTTCGGTATTACTTTATTATCAATAATTCCCGTTAACCCTCTACTACATAAAATTCGTTTCAATTTAGAAAAACAAAATTTTTAAGAAAATCCATGTGTATTTGTGTTAATAATATACATTTTTAAAAAGTTTTATTTTTGGTCATGTAGTAAATGAAAAAAAGCCGTATATAACTATTTGTCAATTTTGGCATAAAAAGTAAAATTATATTATTCAAAAAAACTTCATTATTGTTAAAAAAAATGTCTCTTCAACAAAAATAGGTTCTTTTACAAGTTTATAGTTATTCTGAAATTTGAATTATACTCACTCCCGTTTTCCTAGGTGGAGGAGTTTGACCAAAACTTATGGAAATACAAAATAAGGCAATACAACAAATGTTAACAAAAAAAATTAATTATTAAATATAATTAAAACGGAATTAAAAAAATGGAGCTTATTCTTTTATATTTTTAGTAGTACTGTTTTCCTACATAAGTGTGAAGAAATCGTGGGGTGTGTGCCTTACAGGTATTGAAAAATTCCGTGCAGTGCATGTACCGCTGATCCCGGCTTATTTGTTGGGAGCCTATATCAATTATGAATATTTTTTCGGTTTGAGTGGCTTGTAAAATCTTAAATTAATTTTTCATTCTTTTTTGTCGAAGTTTTTTAAAATACAATTTATTTTTTCATGTGTATTTTTTATTCTCTCTATGTTGAAATTACTTTAAATCTCCATTATTTAAATTGCAATTATTGAATATAATAACAATATATACTATATTTTTGTGTTTTCCAGTTTTGAATAGTTTTTCTCATGAAGTAAATATTTATCAGAATTGTAATTTGACTTTTTTATTGAGGCACTGAGACTAGATGTAAACTGTTTTGAATAAAATATTAATTGGTGGTCAAAATTGTAATGGTCTCTACTAAATTTAATATTTTTATCGACTGTTATTGCTTCAGTTTGTCTGGAAAACCTTAAAAACTATTTTTTTTATTGTATATAAACTTGGATTACCCTTTAAAGAGCTCCTACATTTTAAATCGCATGTATGATACCCTTAAAATCTTCTATAGTTCGGATTCTGTTGTCGGTTGCCGCCCTGTTGCTGGTAGTTATTATTTCTTGGGCCATTGTAGTTGTTAAAGTTGCGCTGTTGATTGGAATTGTCCTGGTTGTATCTCTGATTATGGCCATATTGCTGTCGGTTATTGTAGTTGCCCTGATAGCCACCACCACCACCCTGGTGCTGGTTGTAGTTATTATTGTAATTGTAGTTATAGTTGCGACTATTGTTCTGATAGCCCTGTCCGCCATTTCCTCCTCCCTGGCCATAGCCACCTCCTTGACCGTAGCCTCCTCCTCCACCCTGATTATTTCTAATTCCAGCATTCAACATGCGATGCCCACTGTCCGGAACATAGGCCCTATTCAAATGGCTGTTGAATCCGATGACGGGACGATGCTTCTGTCCCGTCTGCTCGGTGGGCAGCACTTGTGGGGGATCCACGGCTTCGGCCAGTCGCTTCGCTTCGAAAATGTAGTCGTCATCGTACTCTGGATCCTTAAAAGTCGTCGTCACAGTTGTGTTGTCACTAATGTCCGACAGCCCTGAGATCGGAGACCTCAGAATGCCGCCGATGGCAGTGTTAAGTTCCGTTTTGCCTAAGGTGCCGCGCATTCCGTCAAAGGAGATGGCTTTGCACTCATTGCCATCAGATTTCTCGCTTATTTTATTGACCTTCTTGAAGTGAGGGCTCTGTTTGCTGACGTACAGGTAATTGTCGCCCCGCTTGTTGCGCTTCACCTCCTCTCCCGTAAGCTGATCATAGTAGGGAACCAAGGCCTTGAAGAGCCGCTTCTCATCTACAAAGGGCAGCAAGGCCACTCCCTGCCAAGCAAACTTTTTTCCATTCAGATCGATCTTAAAGTCCTCCGGATAAAAGTCAATGATTGGGGACTCCGGACTGGACATGAGCAGAGCCCACGGTTCGGGTACATGGGAGCTACTGGCTGCCGGAAAGACGCCCATCAATTGCTCCAGAGGATTAAATGGCTTTGTGCCCTTTTCGAACATTGTGGATAGGCCCTGGATGTTAACGAAATCTGATGCGAATGGGGCATAATGGTACGGGAAGTACCAATTCCAGGAAGCACAGCCCTGATAGTAGTACTTCAGCACCCAGCACAAGCCCCGGACGTACTGCAAGGCCACGGCGTAGCGGAACTGTTGGTTTCCTGGCGCCACATCGAACTTCGACTCGTAGTAGCGGTCCTTGAAGCCGTCCTCCCACAGCCGCACCTCGTCGTTGTCCTCCTCCTCCTCCTCGTCATCCAAATCGGCCTGGTCACTTGTTCGTTTTCTATTCCGAAGGGCAGCGGCTTCCTCTTTGTAGTTGCCAATGCTTTTTTGCTGGCTATTTGGTCCCACGGCGCTGGCCCCAAACGCCGACTGATCCAGGGCTCTGTGGTCCTGATTCCTGTCCTGCCTCTTCCGCGCCTTGTCCCTGGCCTTGAACTGCTGTTCGCGACGCTGACGGCTCTTGAAGATCTGGTCCTCGGCATTGCCCAGATCTGTCATAATCAACTGCACTCTGTCCAAATTGACATCTCCCGAGTCGGTGAGATAGCCCTTCGTCTTGTAGACGCACTTCTTGTACAGCTCCACAAGCCGATCCACTGCGCCCTCGCGAATCTCCAGGCTAGGCAGATGAGGTAGAAAATCATTACCCACGAAGAAGCACATAAACACCCAGTCGTCGAGGGCTCTTTCAAAGCTGTACTCGAAAGGAAGACTGGGCATCTCGAGCGTCTGCTTTAGGTACTCCCGTAGCACGCTCAGCCGCACAAAAATGAACTTAACCTCCGCCCCAATCGGAACATCGGGTTTAAAGTTGGCGCCCGTCGGGGCAGTGGCACCCAGGCCCACGCACTTGTCCATCTCGTGGCCAAACCCATTGCAGATGTCACAAGGACGCGGCTTATTCGGCAGAAACTCCTCGCGTATGATGGTGAAGTTCGGCTCGTGGGTGGCCAGCCCCAGCATGATAAGATCAGCATCAGCTCCACAAAGGACGTGTTGTGTGTTGGGATCGTGATCCGGCTGGGCGCGCTGCTTGCGTATGTAGTCCATGATCTTGTGTTCGCCCTCGCCCGGCACATTGGCGTCCGACAGGATCACTTTGATACCCTTCCAGGCTGGATTGTTGTTTAGCCGATCGTGGACGTAGTAGTGCAGGCACTTGCTCAGCCTGTCCATGAACGGTGTGCCTGGCGTGATGCAGTTCGAGTCGAAGTGCTCGCCCTTCTCCTTCTCCGGCGGCAGCTTGCAGCCACGGCTCAGCAGCTCCTCGCGGATCCGCTCAATCTCTAAGCGCTTTTCTGTGGTCTCCTTGGCCGCCCGGAAGCGACGCGACCGCTGCTGGTTCATCTTGGCCCGAGGAGCCACCCCATCGATGGCCATGTAGAGCACCTTCCGGGGACGCACGATGCCAAACAGACGGTCGATGCAGTCAAAGATGGCCACCATCATCTCGTCCTCGTTCTTCGGCGCGGGCTTATCCTCTGGATGCGTGCACGGATGGATAATGCCGTTCATGTCCAAGTAGAGGTTGTCGAACTCTATCCCATTCGGATTCGGCTGGGTGGCGTCCTCGTAAATATTGCGGCCGGTGTCCGGGTCCACCTGCTTGTTCTCGTTGCACTCGATAATCACGCACGGGTACTTCCGGCTTAGCCAGCGAAAGAATGCTGGAACTCCCATTTTGACGATGGTTTAAACTCTATTTCTTCTTTTATTCCTGTGAAACTCTCGTTTTCTTCGGTCGTCTTCAACTACAATACAAGCATGCTTCAGCCAGTGGGACCGTAAAAATCATGCCGGGATAAATATACCTAAAAGAACCAAAAAAATACCGATATAATGTCTCCTGTTCGGGCCATACATCGGTATAGGCGATGTCGAAATTATAAGTAAAAATGCGAAAAGAGTGATTGAATTTTTATTCATATACATAATAACTTTACGTCCTAAAATATTTGAACTGAAGTTTTGCACCTTAAGAAAATTTAATTTAAGTGTGACGGCCTATTATGTAATTGATAAATTGCCTCTTCTAGTTTGCTACTATGTTCTTAATTTTTTGTTTATTTTAGTGATAATATGTTTAAGACTGGGCTAAGTGTGCTTAATTCTGGAAATATGATATCTCAAAAACTCTCGAAAAAGAAGCTAGACCTGCTGGTAAAAAGCCAAGAGGGCATCACCGACCATTTCTGGTACCTTTTGCAAGGCTGCCAGATTTTCAAAAGCGACTCATGTGGTTGATTCGATTCGTAGGGCCGTTTTAAGATCGTGCAATGGCCAAGATACTACAGAAATACATAAAGTTCTCGGACAAGGATCTGGAAAAATACGCCAGCAGCCCGGGGTCTTGCGTAATATGCATCACGACAGACATGCACCTGGCGATGGGACCATACGGCATGGCCAGCTTCAAGCACTCGCTCCACGAGCTCCTCATCCGCACCAAGGTGGGATTCTACGACGCCAGTCTCAACGGCATCGTCCTGGCCATCAAGAACATCAAGGTGCTGGGTCACACGGCGGGAATTCGGGCCGATGACCCGACTATGCACCTGGCCATCAATGCGGACTTTTATGTCTTCCGGCCAGAGGCGGGGGCCATTCTGGACGGCGTGGTGCGGCACGTCAGCAAGCTCCAGGTCAGCGCCGTCATCTACCGGGTCTTCAACACCGCTATCCTCTTCACCAACAAAAGCCGGAACCGAGAGAACATCGCCATGGAGCAGGAGATCAAGTTCCGCATAAAGAGCTTTGACATCAGCAACCTGATGCCTTACATCGAGGGGGAACTACTACTTGATGAGGGCGTGGAGCCAAAGGTGTGTTACTCTTCATCCGTATTTTATGGTGTCAGTCTCGGGAATCTTAAATCGATCTTCGATCTGATATATATTTATTCAAGCTACTGCGGTAGGTTCCAGTATCCGTTTTATTACTTTTAGTCAGATGTTTGGATGTATCTGTATCATCGAAATAGTCTATATAGATTTGTCGTCTGTTTCATGTTGATGAGTTTGCTTAGTTCAAAAGCACTCGGCAATATTTTTACTACGAATCCCAGTTTGAGTGACTAATCTGAATCCATTATACAGTAGCTGATATTAGAAAGATTGGGCCCAATTTGCCATATGCGTACTTTTCAGACTTTCATATGGTTTTCCTTAATCGTGGCCCAAAATACTTTTTTTGAAGTATGTACACAAAACGGTTAAAAAAAGGATTCTTTATGAATTGTCATTCCTTCAACAACGCGAAATGTGACACCGAGAATTGGATTTAGATACAAATTCTACTAAAAGATACATACATTTTACTGACATTTTTATTTACAGAATCAATCCATAAAGTTTGGCAGCCCCGAACCGGAGGAAAAAGATGTAAAGGAAGAAGACCCCAATGAAATGTTAGATGCCCTTTTAGCAGAAATAAAGAAAGAACCTGATTTTCTCCCACCAAAGGATCCACAAAAAAAGAAAACTTCAACAAAAAGAAAGAATGGTCAAAATGATGACACAACAAAGACGAAAAAACTGAAAAAAGAAATAAAAAGCGAGCCAATATAGCTTTAAAATCGATCGTTGTTAACTTTTCTGTATAGTACAAATTAACAATTATATAATGTCGAAATGAACGAATTCGAAATAACTAGGGCTTTAAGCTGATTAAATTTTCTACTAAAATCGCAAATCAAGAATATTTTTATCCCCCCAAGCTTTTGGTATTATCCAAATTATAGAATACATAAGTAGGCAAATATTTTACCGTTTAGAAATCTTAGCTTGAGCAATTTTCCAAAAGCTTCTTAACAATTTGTTTGCCACAACCACGTAGAATTGCCGGACAGCTAAAATTGATTAATAGCAGTCAGTTTTTAAAATATGAATAAAAATATTTTGTGATACATATGTATTTCATACAAATAGAGTCAATATTTTACAATACATTAAATACAATATGTGTATCATAGTTATAATATCTGGATTTCTTTTACAAATCATTAAAAGTGTTTCATATTATTTTGATTTCGCTAATTATTAAATAACAAGCAAATATAATAATATGAGATTCTAATCGTACACCAAAAAGTAACATAAACTATACACACAATAATAACACTTGAAAGTATATTCCTACACAATACATTCTCCATCACGTCTACAAGGAACATTTACATAATGTACAAACATACATAATACATACAGTACGATTTTTTGCATTGGGGTCAGAGAACACAAAAATGATCCTATTTTTGATTTTCCTTCGGCAGAAATTTTGGGCAGTGAGTGGGAATTAATAGCGAAATTTACTTAAGTAACAACAATGGCCGAACCTGTATAACTTGAATCTGCCAGAAGCATATAAATTGAAAGGGGAAAAAGTAATCAGTTGTGAAAGGAAAGGCAGTGATTGTGAGGCACAGTTAAAGTGAACGAAAATGCATACAAATTCAGAAGAAGTTACAGTTAGAAAGGTTCGACTACATAAAAACTAGATTAAATACGTAAACAAGGGTCACAATGGTTTCTAAAAGAGCTAAGATTGCTAGACTGAGATTTCCTGAATATGTACACGTTTCTTGCCGCTGCTACTCCCCGATCCTGTCGTGGAATTTCCGCCCGCTCCTGTCTGCCGAAGTATGCCCGTCTGCTGCTGCTGCTGGGCGACTAGGAAGGATCGAGGAGGGGGTGGGGGCTCGGGGATGTCATCATCCCGTGTGATTTCCGAGTCATTTCCCGCCGCCGCCTTGACAGCCTCCTCTATCGCCTTAAAGGACATCTGATCGGAGGACTGCACAGCGTAGTCGAATTGCTGGGGACTGTTGAACTGCAGCGTGGTGTCCACAAAGGATCCCCGCTTGCTGCTCATGGCCGATGTGGATTCCACCACCGTAGGCAGCGTGCTGTAGGTGACCATTTCAATGGGATCCCCAGGCTTGGCCTTTAGCAAATCCAATGTGCCCATGGAGCACGCGCCCCAGGTGTCCATCATCAGGGAGGTCTGACCAGTCGACGAAGACGGTGGCAGTTCCACCAAAAGCTTCTCCTCCTTCAACTGCTTGGTTTTCTCATCGTAGCAGCTGTACTCCCCGAACACCACGCCCACACCGCCCTTGCTGTCCACCACCGAACCGGTTAGGGTGTACGCATCTGCGATATCACCTGGACCAGGGACACCAGCTCCTCCGCTGCCACTCATCAGAGCGTTCAGCTTCAGCATGCTGGAGTTCTTGCTGTTGTCGCTCTCCTGCAGCTCCTCCTTGGTCTTCGCATCCCGGGCGCGCTTCTCGCGCTGATGATAAATGCCCGCGAAAATCAGGACGTTGAGGATCAGCAGAAAGCAGCCCACGGCCACTGTGGCTATCAGAGCGGTCGTATAGCTTTGGAACTGTTTGCCACCCAGTCGTCGAAGCAGCTCCAAATTGCCAATGATTCCAGTGGAGGCGGTGGCCAGGTCCTTTTGGCTCTCCACGCGAGTGATCCCGGTTCTATTGTCCTTTGGCGCTTGGGTGGTGGTCAGTTCCGACACGGACATGGCTCCATCGATGCCACACTCTGCAATGGATTCGTTGAGAAATGAATATGGGTACTACTTGGCTAGGCCATCCATCTTACCAGTGGTTGTGGTTGCTCCCGTGCCAGTGGGATTGAAGGCTTGCGTGGCATTTGTACTTGGACTCTTTGGGGGCGGCGGTGGCGTCGTTGTCCTGCTCCTCTGCATGATGATAATGTTATCATCTTCGGCGGGCCTTGTCTGCAATTGCGGTCGCACAACGCCTTCGAAAGCGATAAAGAAATACATTTTTAATAGTGGAGGAGTGCTGGGGATTAAAGGTTCAATATGGGGCTTACCCTCATAGAGATCCCTGTTGTTCATGTCGTCCTGGAACTGGTGATGTCGCATGGACTGGTCATTGATGTTGAAGTGGCGATGCAGCTGGGGAATGAGGTTCAACCACATGGACAGCTTATGACCGCGATAGTGGCTCTGAATGTTGGCCTTATTTCCTTGAATGTCAAATTTATATCAAGATCGATGTGCATTTAGCCCATCTCATAACTCACCTAATTCCACGTACAGCTGGTTGACCACGTCGTAGGCATCCCAAAAGGGCAGCTCGTCGCCATCGTAGCTGCCCACATCCCGATCACTGGAAATTCCCAGTTGGGTAAAGGCTGCATCATTGCTCCGCAGTCTCCTCCGGATATAGGATCGCTTCTCGTGCATGGCATTACTTCGGCGCTGATTGTAGATCACGGCCAGATTAAGAGCCTCGCTGAGATTGGGATTGGTGAGATCAGTGGATCGCTTTTTCTGCTGATGCAGGGCGGCGTCTAAGATTTCGTTTGGATTGGGAGCCTCTGACTTTGTCGTGGACTGGTTGGGATTACTGAGAGTTTGAGAAGGGATTAGGATCATGGTAAAGATATTTAATTTTTAATTAGCAACCAAAATCACAGTTTATCATTCTATGCTTTACATTTTTTTGTTTTATTCATAAGAAATGGTTTACATTCGCACTTTGTTTCTTTAGTGCATTATCATAATGTTAAATCAAAATTATGTTAAGAGACAATTTCTAGATAAAATATATATACATATACCAGTAATCGGTATGAATTGGCGATTCAAAATATAGTTTGGTTTTTTTTAAGTTTCAATAATTGTAATTGTTTCTTTATAAATATTTGTCAAGCTAAAAATAAAACTTACTGGATACTTGTTATTTATCAAGCTGAAAATAAGACTCGACAAATAAAAAACTAGTAATAAAAAAAACGTGATAAAATTATTATTCGAACAATAAATAAGACTAGTTTAACTTTAAAATTATAAAATTAGTTTATCTTTTCAGGAACAAGCGATTTAAAATTGATTTTTCAATTGAACAACGGCCATTGCTGACACTTAAAATGCTTTATTTTACTCTAGTATACATTTTTTATTGAATAATTGTTCTTTATTTACCCGGTTTTAGCGAAGTTGGATAGATATCGCAGCATTAGTCGTCCAATTTGGCGTTCCTGGGTCGTGTAATTGTGGGGGAAGAGCGGGGACATCGGCAGACCCAACCAAAAAGGCACATCTTCGCCGCGCACGGAGCCGGTTCTCTAAGGAATGCGAATCTCGGACTTAGTTAAATTTTTGTGAGTGTACTTTCCCTACCTGTGGGTACTCCTCCTCGACTGTTTTGTGTTTGAAGTGCAGAAAGTAAGACTGGCCCCCTCGCAAACTGTGCATATAGCCCAACTTAATCAGCGGCGAAGCCGTGTGGCCATCGCTCAGAAATTGCAATGTGGCATCTCGGGAGCTAAGAGGATTACGTATCGCCTTTTCCCAGTCGGTGTACTCATTCTGGAGAATAGAAATTATGGAAATATGTACGATATGGACACCATTAAAATACCCTTACCTTCAAGACGGCAAATATTTCGTTCAGATGGTAATGAAAGTTGTTGCGCACAAAAGTGCGTAATATGCGATCCCGTCTAGTCTCATTAAATCCAAATTCCAAGTCTTGGGCACTCAAATCCAAATAGGACTCCACAGATGTAAGGCAGAAAATGAGGTCACGTTTTGGGAAGTTTGCATATTCAATTCCTGAAGTACTGTGAACATAAAGCGAGTCAATATACGAAAACGGGTTGGAATTCGTTGTAATTAACTACCTAACAATAGCTGAGCCCAGGGGCAACGTGGTGCTGCCCATTGGATTGGCGCCGGGCGATATTACAGTACCATCCACAAATGGAGCGAAGCCCACGAGGAATCTGTAGAATTTAAAAATAAATTAAAAATAAAAAGTATTTAATAAAAGGCGGTTAATGCTTTACGGTAAATAAAAAAAATTTTTTTATGTTTATCTATCCTAACCTCCTTGTAATTTATTATTTAAAAATTGTGATTTAACTTATACAAGCGTTGCGGGTGCGAGGATCATTAGAATTAAAAACAAGAAGGACATGAATTCGCCAAAGGAAAGGAAATACCCTCTGCAAGGGTTTAAAAAAGGCAATCCGTTTTAACGGCTGTTTTATCGTATTGACTTTAACTTGTGCATTAAGTTGAAGGTATCAGTAATTTCTGTAACTTTAGCCTTAAGGAAATACGGTAAAGACTCGAATCGAGGACTTTAAGATTCCTTCACGTACTAATTAGTTGAGCCAAATACGCATTACATTTTATTTTTGAAGGGAAATGTTTGCAATCGAATTGAATTTTCCTAGATAAGGATACTAAAATATTACTATAAGAGGTGACCGGCCTAGAGATTGAACACGGTACCACATAAGGTGTGCAATGTTTGATGAACAAGGATATTTACCACTTAAGACATACTTTTCAACAAAAACCATTCCTATTCACAGAAGTGCCGGCGGAATTCGAACTAAAGCATTTCGTCTTCTTGGTGTTTACTCTTGCAAGAAGTTTTCTTTTTATTTTTTTTTTCAAAGGCAAATTTCAGCATTCATCCAAAGTAAAAACTGTTTTCACTGCCAAATTTCAATACTTGATTGTAGGGACGGTTTCTCTATTTTATTGAGCTAATTTACTTATTCGAAAACATTTTTTTTTTCAATATCTTTATCAAGCTCGAAGCTCCAAATTTCTCCCCCAAAATACAAACTAGAATCTAAACATTACTCTGAGCAATTTGCTTTTTCTCACAGTAAGTTTAGTCCACATTG